GTCAAGAGTGATGACTGTAAAATATTTTTGCTTTGACAGCACTGAACTCCTTGAAAAAGCAATGCATAATCATTATACAGCTGGTCAGAAAAAGCCTTAGATAGAAGCCTCCGATCGTTAAACAATAAAGAAAATGTGCTGCTTTGATGACACAAAACAATAGTGTGACCAGATGGACGTGTTGCAGGTTAATATTTGTTGCTGAACTAACCTGGAAAGCATCAACATTTCCCAGTCTGTACTGCACATGGCTGTCCACCACAAGCTTGCTGAGTCGCAGCACCTCTCTGCACAAGTGAAAGGCGTTGCCGAATCGGGACTTCTTTCTCTCCTGGGGGACAGAAACAAAAACAGTTCAAAGTCAACTGTGAAATAGTACAAGTAATGGACTTTAAAACAGGCTAGTCCATGTTTTAAGCTTTGCTGAAAATCTGGGTTTACATAATTTGGAACATCCAACCCCACCCCCCCCAAAAAAAACTTTCTATGTTGCACCATTTAACCTTTTTTTTTTTTATTGTTTAAGCAGAATTCAACGTTCTGAACACCAGCAGACGGATTTGCAGAGGAGATTTTACCTTTGTGGTCAGTGTCTTGACAGGCTTCAGGTTGAAGTTGTAGTCAAGATGCAGGTAGTTGAGGTTCTTACGATGGATCAGCAGATTGAGCATGTTGTAGCCCTGTCTGCAAACCTGCAGGCCCACCTCCACCCAGTCCAGCTTTGTGGACTGGAAGAACTTGGTGGCCTTGAAGGAGCGGAACAGATACCTAAAAAAACAACAGAACAGATCTTAAAATGTAACAAACAGATGAAAACCGATAAACTTGAATTGCAAAGGCAAGTTTAAAAGGAAGTTAAGTTGATTAAGTGTTCATGTATGCTCACCTCTTCTTCTGGGCTTTGGGTGGTCTGTGTTTGAGAGCGTTGAGCACGTAGTACTTCAGCAGTTTCTGGTATGACACACGCACTTTCACTGGCTGTCCTGCAGGACAGTGCTCACGGTACCTGGAGGATAATTTAACAACCTTCCTTGAGTTTCTCAAAATTGATCATTTCATATATTGACTGAGACGCAAGGCATTTTCTACAAAGCTGACCCATCCGTTTTCAATCTGTAAATGATGATACATTTAGTCTGGTTCCAACATATTGGTAGCAATCTCACCAGTTCTTGATCAGGGGGATATCTATGGCACGCCTTGTGCGCCCGGATCGGAGGTTGAAGGGTCTCGGTGCCCACAGCAGAGCGATTCCATTGGCAGTGTTGTCTGTGTAGAGTGGGGTCTCCTTGAGGAAGGGTTCCACATACTCAGGGAGCTCGAACTCTTCATCTTCATCAGGCAGAGGCTCCTGGCTCTGGGTTCAAGAAATTCAAATGTATTATTGACTTCTAAAAGCAACGCCCAAATATAAGAAAATGGAGTTACACCCCAAATCAATTTTAACTTGATGTCTGAATGGTGACGGGTCAACTGCTACTGCAGCCAAAGTAAAAGTCACCATTACATTTCAATATTCCTCCAGTTCTTACGCACAGGCAAGCTGGCCAATGCAAGTGCGCCTTTGTAAGAGGGCTTAATTAAAAAAAATGTGATGAGTTGTGAGAAAATTTGATCAGACTTTTATAATCAGCCACAATCATCCACTTACCTTGACAGAATGCCTGTGTGAAATGGGGTTGATCAGCGGGTCAAAGTAAAATGCTGGGAGATCTGGATCCTCTGTCTTGATGAACACCACGTTGGGTGTATGATACCTGCGATAAAGAAGAAAAAAAAAGTCATGAGTACAATATAAATTATGAAAGTCAGTAAATGCAGTCATTTGTAGTCACATTGGAATATTTGTTATTTAAATTTGATAAATTTACCATGAACAATAACTCAAAAAGAAATAACTAATTTATTCGTGGATTGATTTCTTACCAGGTCAGGTGGACATGGTGTGGCAAGTTGTTGTACAGGTAGGGGAAGGCGATTTTGTACTCTGTCCTGATAGGCTGTCGAATGATAATCTTGTTGATGTCATTGAACTCATTCCAGTCTTCATCCCTGTAGCAGACACACAGTGGATCAGCTTTAGTACAAACCATCTACGCTTACATGTTTGTTTGTGGGGTTTTTGGGGGAGAGGGGGTGTAAACAAATGCATTAAAAGCAGGATGTCCTTACTGGAGGTTGATGTCCCTAACCAGAGGCTCAAACTTTGGTCCCCCAGGGATGGCCATGTTCAAAGCCTTGGAAGTGAAGAATGCCTTGAGGTCAAACAGATAGAAGTAGTTGAAATCCACCAGGTCCGTGAGCAGCTGATTGGCCAGGCGGTACAGGGTGGACATCATGGGCAGTGTGAACTGCCAGCGACGGTAGGTGGTGCCATTCACAAACCTGAGGAGGGGACATGATTATGAAAAATCAGCTGAATGTGTAAAACTTTGACTTTAACGATTGATGTGATGGCGTACTTGGCAGTGTCTTTGAGAGGTTGGTGCTCATAGAGCCACTCTGCAACTGAAGAGTCCTCCTCAGAGTCCAGCTCCATCTGGATGGCCTCCAGTGGTTCCACATCCAGGATGTTGTCAGCGTAGTCCAGCGGCGGCTCCTCATCGTCAAAAGGCGGAAAGCGCATCCGCTTGAAGTGCCGACGATCACGCTTCTCACGCCGCATCATGATCCACATGGTGCTGTGAGGAGGATACAGAATACCAAAGATTAGAAATATAAATGTGTATAATGCACGTTGTGTGCACTTTTCAAACATGCAAGAGCCATATACGACATGAGAACAAAGGCATGATCCCGCTCTTACCCCCACTGGGCAATGTAGACTGGCTCGATGACCCAGGGGATTTCATTCACAAAGGAAATCGCTCCAGTGATGTGGTAGAGGACTGGCACATCTCTGATCTGTTCCCAGGGCATGGGCATGTTTTCCAGCAGCTTCAAAACAGCATGGGGCATGTACTTAAGGGCACTGTTCAAGAAAAAAGAAAGACACAGGATGAGCTTTCTTCTTTTTATAAACCAACAAACTCTGCACAAAAACATTCAGTTTTAAGCTTACATGTGCATCACAATCCATCTAGGCTACTCCTACATGTTAAACGCAATCCAAAAAAATACAGCATTTGTCAAATCTAAACGCTTAATATGGTTGGAATTATATTTACCCGAGGTACACCCTCTTGTCATGGCGAAACTTTCTATTAGTCATGTCTCCATGGTCCCTGATGATCTTGCGGACATGTTCAGGTGGCATGTCTTCTTTTTGAGCATCCACAAAGCCAAACTTTCTCTTTTCGGAGTAGCGCTTTGCCTGCAAGTGCTGCCATTTTCTTGCTGTAAATTGAGAAAAATTAAAACAATTACAAAAGTGATTGGAGAGGACTTGCAATATAACGTTGTGATTTTTCGTGCTGCATTGAGTGAAAAAACATACCTTTCTCTTGAAGTTTTTCCTCAGACATATAGTCCGGGATGGTCACAGGAGGGGGAACACCTGGGGGCATCCCTGGGGGCATACCTGGAGGGACCCCTCGGTAGGGGAAGGTAGCTGCCATGGCGCTTTACTTCTAACAACAAAAACCACCAAACAACGAACTTTAATAAACACTAGCACTATATGGCCTGCGTGTAGTCATCTCTGCATGACATCAAGGAAGTTATAAGTTTCACGTTAACGTGATTAAACAGAACGGCCAAATCCATTTAAACTTCTCGAATACATCAACGGTAGTTATCTAACGTTAGTTGTGTTTTGTAACGTTGGTTTTATCAAACCAGTTGTGTTTCGTAACGTTAAAATAACGTTATGAAAATGACGTTACGAAACACAACTGGTTTGATAAAAGCACACATTTGGATCAATCACGTGAATTCCCAACACTTTATAAATGTAACTATTGCACGTGATCGAATCTAATTATGTGAAAGTAACATACAATTATTTGGTTAGCCTACTAGCTTAACAACATGGCTCCCATACGGTACAACGTTGTGCAAACCTATTGTACCTTAGACTTGAGTCATTACCCTTTTGGTACATTTTACAGTGCAAAAATGAATCAAAATATTTGTTAACAATAACACACAAAAAGGTCACAAAGAATTACGTCGACGTTGGCAGACTATAGTTAACCTTAGTTGATTAGTTAGGCCAAGCGTGGACGAAGCGGTAAGCTAGTCACATGCTAAAGCTAGCATAGCCGCTAACTGCTGAACGTTAACGAAAAGGAGAAAGCATACAACACCACGTACCTCGCTACCTTCACTTCCTGTATATGTTCCTAACGTCGCAGACAGCCGTGTTCCTCCCACAAAATCGGCTACCACAACATTTCTCTTTTCAAAGTTGTTTCGTCTTTTTTTTACGAGCCACCGTCGTGTTGATTTGTCTTCATAAGAACGCACGACGGACGACGGCGGCCACACGATGAGCGCAGCTCGCTGGGAGTCACAAAGCACCGCTACGTAAATTTAAGTACGTCCCACACGGCGAATGGTTGGTGTGCTACGTTGAAAAATACGCTAAACGTCCGCCAAGGGCAATTTTGTAAGTACCCGTATCACACCACTTCCGGAGTACTACTGCCCTCTGTAACGCGGGACTGAGAACTGCAGGGATTCAACGTCAAGCAGAAAGGCACACCGATATGAACTATTTTCTTCTATAGATACGTGGATCGATCAATCAATAAATCAACTAGTCGATCATCTTTTATTATTTTTACCCCACTGCTGTTGAGCTGAAACATACGATTAGAAGACGACCGCCCAGTGCATTACTTTGACACAACATTAGGCCTACAAAATGATGCTTAGCCCCGGCATATATTTCATTGTGTGATTAAAGTACAGACTTACAGAATTGTGCAGTGTGAATTTAGTTGATTTAGCAATAAACGATGTTTTTCTTTGGTTTTTGCCTTTTTACAATGAACAAACGTAATACAACGAATTGCAGAAGTTTCAAAGCCGTATGCTTTTATTTTGAAAATTACAATGAGCCGGAAAAGTGGAGTAGGCCGATCATTGGCGAACGGGGAGGACACATAATTACAGTCGTACTTCGACAAGTATAAATTACGCTTTTTAGATATACGCTACAACGCGATTGCTTTCCCCTTAGTCTGAGGCACTTTTTAATGTTTTTGTAATGCTGTCTGACGTAATGGCTTCTTGTGACGACGTGCGGGAAAATGTAAAGGTAGGCCCTCTCCATATTGGTCTTTGGGTGAGAGTTCAATTTTCTGCAAAAGCAGTTCATGACATGTATGGCATAGAGTTGTTTAATCTATCAAATAAATGCAAACGATAGGAAGAGGACACATTTTTTCTATTTTTTCTTAATTATGGACCTTTTTTTAACTTATGTAATATTTCTCAAGATTACAATGTTGAAGACATGCAAAGGTAGTGAGGATGTTATTTTTATGACACTAGTTTCCACGTGAGGCTTTGTAGTTACATGTGCACAGACAGTTGTTGAACATATATCGACTATCATGTGTGCAGAAGTACTATGGCAGCCGACTGGAGTCCTCTGGTGATCTCCAAACAAGTGCGGCCTCCTGCAGTCTCCCTTGCCGCCCACCGCCAAGAAGTGTCATGGATGCACTCAGCCTGGTTCACCCAGAGGTAACAAAAAAGTAAGGTATGCAATCCTGTCCCGGCTTTACTTTTACATCCTCTTAAGAAATAACTGCAGTTTTTTGGCTTTTTGCATACTTCCCACCCACAACTTTCTCACATCAGCAGGTGTCATTGGTATGAGAATGGACGCTTTTGAAGCTAAACTACTTGACTTTTCAGCAATGACAAGAGCACAGAACACGGACAGGGCTCATACAAATCAATCACGTACTTGCAGACATCATACATGATCCACATTCTAAAAAGGAATTCGTGCACATTGTCCATTACTGATGGGCTTCAATTCAGTGATTTCTTTTTTTTTTTGGCTTCCGTCAAGGTCTTTATCATTTTTGTTGTTGTCCACTTTCTGAGAACAACCTTTTTCTCCAGATTCTTTGGCTGCGGCCTTTCCTTCCCAGCGAAGCTGGAGGGCTGCAGAGTCCTGGACCTCGGCAGCGGCTCCGGCAGAGACTGTTACGCCTTCAGTAAACTCGTTGGGCCGGACGGACACGTGACTGGGGTCGACATGACTGAGGAGCTGGTGATGACGCGCACTCGTTCACGCAACCTTTTTGACACTATATTCTTTTTCTACTAATCGACTCGCTTCTCTTTAGATCACGGCGTCTCGTCAGTACATTGAGTACCACCAGAAGAAGTTTGACTATGAGAAGCCCAACATCGAATTTGTCCAGGGGTACATGGAGAAGCTCGGTGACGCTGGCATACGGAGCGACTCGGTGGATGTAGTGCTGTAGGTCTAAAGCATGCGTCGGATTCTGCATTAACTGTCAATGGACATTCTGCTCAGTTACAATGAGACAGCTTTGTTTACTTTTTTTTCCTCCGATGTATCCAGATCCAACTGTGTAATCTGTTTGTGTCCTGATAAAAGAGCAGTGCTACAGCAAGCTTACAACGTCCTGAAGGTTAGTCCGAAGAATGTCTACTTGCAGCGGAATTAAGTAAAGAAGAAAGGTGTAAAGGGAACTCCGTTTACGGATCTCATCACTCATTTTACACAGGAGGGAGGTGAGCTCTACTTCAGTGACATGTATGCCAGCAAAGTCGTACCCGATCACATGAGGGATGATCCAGTCCTGTGGGGTAAGACAACTAATCTAAAAGTCATTGTAAAAGAGCTGATTCGCTGCACCGCCGACAGACCATATCCTTCTGTTTGTTTGTTTGATTTCTCCCGCCCAGGAGAGGGAATGGGTGGTTCTCTGTTTTGGAAGGATCTCATTTCGTTGGCGCACAGCGTCGGTTTCGGCACTCCACATCTTGTTTCAGCCAGTCACATTGAAATCTACAACAGTGAGCTCAAAGAAAAAGCAGGTAACAAAAAGGGAACATTGACTTTCGATAAGATGAAAAGATCTTTTTCACTTTGCAATTGAACCAGTTTTGTTTTTTCCAGGCGATGTCAGCTTTGCTTCGGGCACTTATCGGCTTTTCAAGCTGCCCAAAAGTCCAGCCGTGTCTGAGGCGACCGTGACTTATAAAGGAACTGTGGGAGATTTCCCCGATCAGCTGGACTTTGATTCCTCCCACTGTTTCAAGGTAAAACAAAAGGCCCGCCAGATAAGGCCAATTGGACCAATATCATATTGCTTTATTGATGGTTGATTATTTACTAACCTGTGGTTTACTGATCCAGTAGTAGAAAAACTAAGTCTGTTATGTTTTTTTTCTATAAACATGAATGCTGCATATTCAAGTTTAATTATATTCTGTAATGTTGTTGGGAAGATTATATCAATGTTTTATTTTGTGCTTTGCAGAAAGACGTGGCAGTGGCGGTGAATGGAGAGATGGCAGCAATCCTCCAGAGATCTCGTTTCTCCCCAGATTTCAAAATCCAGGTATCGGATCAACAGTCCGACTCAGAGGCAACAACACAGGTAGCTGATGTTTACCGTAGCTGAAATGCTTTTATTTTGAAAAACAAATACTGACTGAATTCAGAAATAAATTAAAGTCGACCCGTGTTTTACATGCAAGAAGGTTAAAAGGAATTTGTTATTAATTTGTTCCTCAGTATTGCCATCTCAACCCATTTCTGCTGGCCGACAAACTGGGATCCTCAGTGAAACAATGCTCCAAAACCAGCAAATAAAGACGCAGCTGAATCCGAAATAACATCGTAACACACAATGTTAGAGTTTGATTAGTTGATTTTATTTGTTCATAACATTGTAAAATAAACATGTTACGTCTTATGCTGAATATTTGTCAATGTGTTGTTTTACAAGATAATCCTGTCAAATTAAAATACGTGCTAAAACAAAATGTCGTAGTAATTGTTTTAACCTTTGACCCTTCAACCTTGAGTAAACTAACAAAACAGTTGTGTTCTAATGACAATAAAAGCAACATGACACTACTAAGCTGTCATTGTGCACCATTTCATTTTTCTGTTCTTTTCCATCATATGGCAGTGAAAAGACAGGAAATACCAACCAGGTTATATTATTGTCCATTAAGTGAGCATCAGGTTTAGACCACATGACATGGTGACAGGTTTAATTCTATCCTTAATGGCAGATACTTCTAAGAGCTGATCACATCCCCGGGGCTATCTACTGGTGAGTAATGGTTTATTGTCATAAAACAAAGGACAGACCGAAAACACGTCCTGCAGCTGACAAGTACGGACAATCAGATTTGTTTAATACCTGAGTTTAAGTTGTGTAACACTAAGCATCCAGCACAAGGAAAAATACATGTACGATTACACAAAGTGCTTTAATATGTATGCATTCATTTAAAGGTTTAATGCTAATAATCAACCTGTTTATCCATGTATTTGTTAAGTGCAGAGTTGTAACTGATCTTTGTTTTAGATTTTGTTTTAAGTTACTCAAATTTATTGTAACATAGTAACTAAAACAAGTGGAGCGGTTTATTTTTTAGTATTTAAGGTCATTACTATTAATTAATTACTATTATTTAACAATGACTATACTATTAAATTGACTGCTATGAAATGTTTGGTTTTCGAGTGAAAAATATTTTGTATTTATCTACGTTAGGTGGAAAATAATATTCCCAGACTGAGACCATTTGGACGACCCACTTTTAGTCGAGCTGTAGTTCCAGCGAGAAAGCGATTGCACCATCTTTTGTCACCGAGAGGTGTTTTCATACAGCAGGCATCTGGTTACATCTGCAGCCAGCTCAGGTCATCAGCTCTGAACGGGGGCAAGTGAGAAAACACATACTTAGCAAAGGGAAGTATCCAAGTTAGGAGCCTCGTCCTGCGATTTGACAAATTATGCTACATTGAACATAAAGTAATGCAATGATGTATTCCCCCTGTAATGTTTACATGACTTTGGTGGCTTTTTTACATATACATCGTGGATGAAATATCTGTAGCGAGGGAAAGGTGTTGCTTGTAGCCAATGACACACAGATGCTCATTAACTGAAGCACTGCAGTTTGAGCTTTTCACAGCTTGTTTCCGTTGCTCTCTAGTGGCCAAAGTGAACAATAAAAAAAAGGCACTTGTTTCATGGTGACATAACACAGCAGCAGAATGGATCACAATCTCATGTATTTCATGTGCATAGAGTATATAAAAAATATAAAAATGTGTCTAGTTTGTGTGAACGCTGGATGACACTCACTGAGCCTGGGCCTTCGATATAACCTGACCAGTCGCCATCAGCTCTGCGACACGAGCCACGGCAGGGTCGAACATCAGGCTGGCCGCCGCCACCACCACCTCGTCTCTGTGAAAAGGACACATGAAATGCATTCGGCACAAAGCATACGTTCACATTCAGCCGTATCAGACGGGATTCCACAGCTGCTCACTTGATGTAAAACGCCAGGAACTTCCTTTCCTCCACTTTGCCTTTGAAGAGGATTTCTGTGTAACCTTCCCCGTAGCCTAGGGTGAGGAAATGACCCCCAGTGTGGCTTTGTTATGGGTTTAAATATCCTAATACAAGGGTGATACTTTCCACAATAAATACTCTTACCTGTGTAGCGGATACTCTTCCCGAGTAACACAGTCCAGAAGAAAGGAACAGACTCACATTTGGTTGGTTTCTTCAGCATGTTTAACGCAGCGACTCTTCCTGAGTGTAAAAGAAACAAAACAATGCATGAGTTATATGGTTAAATAAAGGTTTTTAATTATTTGGGATTTTACAAATAAGATGTGTGATGCAGAAACAGACTACAACATGCACCACAACATGCTACTGGCTCTTTGAATCCATAAGTCACCTTGAGCTTGGGACATTTGCCAGTGACCCACGTTGACCCTTTGGTCTCCACGAATGGTCAGAGGGAAAGAGGTAACATCTCCAGCACTAAAGATATCTGGAATGTTGGTCCTCATGAACTATTAGAAAAGACAAAGGCTCACGAAGAGAGATTCAGGAAATTTAGTGTGATGTCAATAAAAAAGCAGTTAAAGTCATTACATGTAAAGCTGTGAGGCAAAGTTCCCCCATCATTAAATGGGTTAATGTCCCAGGGATGAATGCATGTTACCTTGTCAACAATCACGGCTTTCCTTGAGTCCACTTCCAACTGGCTTCCTGTCAGGAAGTCTGAATTGGGGATCACGCCTAAAAACAGATCTTTGTGTTTAATTTCTCTGCAAGTGCATGTTTTAAAAACAAACTTGATTTGTGCAATATTAGATAACAAAACTACCAATTCCAGCAATCACCACATCTGCCTCCAGGACTATACCACTCTTCAGCAGCACCCCCTTCACCTGGGAAATAAAGAGACTCATTTAAGGATGCACAGTAGACTACACAGATGTAAATAGTAATATGAATGGTGGCTGGATAGTATTGTGCATGTAGTCACAGCTCACTAGGACACTTAAGCATTAGTCACACCTGTGCGTTTCCTCAAATGAAAATCCATCAATGCTGATGGAGTAAAAGCAGATCTACCTTGCCGTTCTCCCCTTTGATCTCGTCGACGAAGTCGGTCATGTAAAACTTTACATTTTTTTCCTCCAACATCTTAAAACAGGGAAACTGTTGTTTAAAATTGTTGTTCCGTTTGCTAAAATCACATTCCGCATTAACAGTGACACCATCCCGGCTCCTTACTTGCATGATCATTCTGCCGATCTGCGGCCCCAGAGATCGTTCATAGGGGTATCTGGATGGGCCAACCACGGCCACACTGGCAGCTGTGTTGGATAAGTAGGAGGCCACCTCCATACCTATTGTTGTTCATGAAAAAAAAACCTTCAGCAGGGGTGTAATGTCGGTCTGAATATTTAAAAAAAGGTAGCTATGAACGACGCAATGACGCCTTCAAAATGAAGCTTACGGTCAATGCGGTAAGCAAAAAAAGATGTTGACATCAAAGAGGCCCAATCCTTGTGGTATGTTATATAAGGAAAAGTGAACCTGGTGACCTATGAAGGAGGCTCCGATCACAACAGCTTTCTGGCCCAGAGCGGAGTGGTGGATCTCATTGGCGTCTTCATGTGTCTGCAGCAACTTCACTCCATGCAGGTCCCAACCAGGACAGTCGAGCGGTCGCGCCCTGTGAAGAGAATGAGGAATTTGCTGTGATCACCCGTGTTGTCACATGGACTTTTGTTCATGAATGCTACAATTGTCTTTTCGTGGTCTTTGACAAGTCTTGTGACAACCAAGTGGGACAAAACGATCTATAAATGCTCTCTTGTTGGTGGAAAAACTCGAGGGACCGAACGCCGACGCCGACCTGCAACCGGTCGAGATGAGAAGTTGGTCGTAACGCTGCAACGAGCCGTCACTCAACTTCACCGACTTCTCGGCCGGGTCCACCGACACCACCTGCGGCACAGAGCGCCCGTCTTAACTCCGCCCAGGAAAAGAGGATCCGTTTCCCCATCGGGGGCGTTGCACACAAATGGCGCTCACCTCCTTCCGTGTCCACACCTCAACCCCATGCTGCTGATAGAAGTCACTTGGACGGAGGAGAATGCTGCTGCTGTCCAGATCCAAAGCCTGAGAGAGGCAACGGTTCAGGCATTGTCCACAAACACCGCCTTCTCAAAAGAGACGAGCATTGCCGGGTGAAAACAGGTTACCCTCCCTTTGTGTATCGAGTTCTCACCTTACTCAGTTTGGGCTTGTCAAACGGGGGCAGGGTGTCTTTGGTTACTATGACGATTCGACCCTGGTAGCAGTTTTGGCGCAGTGTTTCAGCACACACGAGCGACGCCGGGCCTGAAATCACAAAACTTGCGTTGAATGTGTAATTCTGCAGAGCAAATTGACTTCAGCACAAGTCTGTTTTCCCCCTAATCTTTCTAGATGGGATTTGTGAGCCCCAGAAAAAGGTATTCATCATTATTGTCTCGTTTATTAAAGCTGTTCTTTACCGCCTCCGATCAGCAGAGTAGTGTGTTGGATGTCCGGCTCCCTGGTGCACATTTCCTTCACGCGCTTTGTCAACTTCAGAGACTGAGAGAGACAAACAGACAAGGGACAGTTTAAAATAGGGTCTTTTAACTCAAAATCAAAAGGAAAATTTGTGATGGTTTTTCAACTTTTTAACTGGCCATCACTTACATTTTTGTGGATGGAAACATACACCTTGCCATCCTCAACTTTTACCTGTGGAATATTAAAGAAATGTGATTTTCATACGAATCATAACACAGTCCTTTGTCTTCAGCAGGTGAAACGTTGACTACAGCATCTATTCTACGACGAAAAGTGACATATTTTGAAAGAGCGAGGAAGTTCTCTCAACAATAGAAGGACTTTACCCAGTAACACAAGACCTTCTGTCGCTCTTATACAGATTTAGGTTAAAAAAGGATTATTGCTGAAATGACTAGCTGCAATCAAAACATTTAATCCAATCACACGCAGTGTGATTGGATTAAGTGTTCCTGTTGTTCTGGCCAACAGTGATGTGTTTTTTTAGTTTATAGTTTAGTTTAAGTAGATTGTTTAAAAAGTGTCAACATTTCAAAGTGGAATGAACCTCTCCCCTGGATTGATTTATGTTAAAAGAGCTCTTCAATTGGAATTTATTATCGATCAACATGTATTGTCCACCATCATGTGTTACCTTATAACTAGGCAGACAGTCCAGACCAGGATACTCTTCGATATCTCCAGTTCTGACATTAAAGCAAGCGCCGTGAAAGGGACATCTCACTCGGTCACCAACCAGCACTCCTGGTTTGTGAGAGAACATGCAGTTAACACCTCTCAAACTCAGCGCCGTTATTACCTCCGATTTTGGGTGTATGGAAACCGAAGGCTTACCTTTGACAAGGGGAGCGTTGTAATGAGAACACTGGCTTCCAACGGCGCTGTACTGACCCCGAGTGCGAACAAGCAACACCTTCTGGTCCCCCACGGTCACTTCCTTCATCCTTTGTAAACACAAGCGGGGGGGAAGAACAGTGAGGAAAAATCTCCCCGCGTCACGAAAGGTTTACACTTCACTGACAACAGTGCCCAGGCCAAACTGTGATCTTATTCCATTTGTGACCTACTGTCCATCTCTCAGGTCCACCTCCTGACAAACCATCCCAGTCACCTCCTCCTCCTCCTGCTGCTCCTCCGCACCTTGTCCTGGTCCCTTGCACCGATTCATTCCTACAATACACATGAGACATATATATAAATATACGGTGGTCGTTAAAACCTCATTCAGTGTGTTTCAATTTGAAGGAAAGTGATCTTTGTTTTTCTTTTGTACTCTTTACAATAACCATCAAGTCCACAGGTGAGTATCACGTGGTACTATGAACTGCCTATAGTGAGTTTTCAATATACACTTATTATTACCCAGTTGTTGAGCATGATCGTGGTACATTTTCTTTGTCCAAAGACTTCTTAAATCTTGGAACGCCTACGTTCTGTTGTCACCGGCTTGTTTTGTATCCATCGTATCTAAAAGAAGCTTTATTTTTAAAAACCAATAGGGGTTGAACATCATCTTCCGAGCGTGCGAGGATGTGTCATTAACAATGAGTCGTCTGACAGCAACTATCACAACCGGGTTAATTTGTATTGTGGGATATAAAGTGTTCCGCGTAGCTCGCTGCGCTCACCTGCTTTTCTTCCGCCAACATCAACGCTGCAGAGAAACGACGCATCCAAACTGATCGCACCGCGTGACAGCCGGTTGGAATCACGTGGTACAAGCCCCTCCCACAACCGCCCGTGACGTTGGAGAAGGTCGTCGGATGGAGGTGATTCGATACACCAGACCACAAATAATTGATCCTTAATGGGTTTTGTTTTTTTAGAAACGTGTTTTGTTTGGTTGCCTTGACGACAAGAAGGGGCGGGAAAAGCGACCCCGCGCGCCTGAATCATTCGACTCAATCCTTCATACCTGCTGACAACGGTTGTTGACATTGGTCGGTTATAAAAGCAACTTCAACCTGGTGGCGGCGCTGTGGCCCCGTGTATCAGAGCAGTTACTCATGTCCACTTACACAATGAATTAAATAGCGAGTAATAGTAGTGTGTGAGTTTGTGAAGACTATTCTGTGTTGAACCAAATGTGTGAGTGTTGTAACATGAGTCTATTTTCTGCAATAGTCTAAAGTCCAATGTAATATTCTCATTGGTTTAGTTGATGGAATGAGGGCGACACTGACTTCCGGGGTTGGCCTACAAAAATACGTCATCCGTGTTGCCTTCATGTGCTATTCGTACTCTTTTTTTTTTGGGAAGACAACTGACAACAAGAAATCGTATACTTTGAAGAAAAAACTACCTTGGTGGCCAGTTGCTGGAAATGAATTAAATTAAATGTTTATTCTCTTCATTGAGATTAATGCTGTCTTCAAAAATAACTGTTTAATGTTTCATTATTTTATCAGCAGATCTCATTTTATTTCTTCTAACGTGACTTTTAAAAGTTATCATGACCCCTGAATAAGAGAGAAGACTTGTTGCAGAGCACATGTAGTTTTTCTTTGGTGTGTTAGCCTGAAATACCTGTTGATCAAGCTTTCATCCTTGCAGTAGCTGCCCCTCACCTCAGGGCCGTCAATCATAGGCTACATTTCAATTTCCTGGGTCATCCCCCACTGGTCAAAGGATAGCCATGACATATAATGATTTAGTGACTGAGCAATATTAAATGGGACAAATCACTAAACTAATCAGTGGTAATATTTCCAACGGCACTTGAATGTCACACCACAAATGAAACGTGCTTATGGCCACGCCCCCTTGTGTGTGGTAGGGCGTGGAGAAAGCCGCCGCTCGACTGTTGTTGATGTCGAAAAGTTACACAAGCAAGGGGATGGGGTTGTACAAGAGGACGGTTTCACAACTGTTAAAGAGGCTTCCCCGCCCACGATCACCAGCAGTCACACCCGCGGCGACAGAGCTTTCCTTTAGAGGGGATCTTCACACAGAAACCCAAAAAAATTACTCCAGACGTTGGAGAGCCATCTGAGTGATTTGTCCACGCCTCCTCTTTCCACACAGCAACCGTAAAAGAAACACGTTTTGTGGGATTTTTTTTTTTTTTTTTGGCGCTTCACAACCGATCGGGGAATAGAACCCGCGCGTGATTTGATTCACTCGTCGAGTGTGCACCTATTTCGGGCTCTTTTTCTTTAAGGGGGGGCAACGGTGTAGCCTGTGAAGTCTACACACGTTTGTGTTAGAAACAGATCCTCGCAGACATGGAATTGAGCTCAGTGCTCTTAACGACCGGGAGCTCCGTCGGGTTTTTCAGACTCGTCAACACCGGGTTCAGAAACCTGCCCACGCCTGAATCCGCCCGCAGGAACGCGTGGAAGTGGAGAAACATCTCGGCGTCCTTTGTGCACAGCGGCATCACTGCGATATGGGCCGTGCTGTGGTGAGTGGAACTGCTTTTACTCTGTATGAATGAAATACTCACGAGCTGATGGGGAAATTGGCACACTGCGTGCGATGATCTTGCCAGCATGGTTTTTTTTTTTATAAACGGTGGCCGGTTTTTGGCGCCGGTTATGTTCACATTTTCACGTCTTGTTTTTATTCTAGGTTCACATTAATCCTTTACCAGTAACTTTATTATCTAATATATTATCTCTTCATTATATGGAGCTCACTCCCAAATAAAGTTCAACAAGTTTTAACACTTAAAAGAAACAACAACATAAATATATTTATATAAACTCATGTGTTCGTCTTTGCAGCTTTTTCCTGCACCCACAGATGGCAGAAGATTTGATAGAAACCCACTCTGTGTTTTCTCACGCTTTGGTGTCGTTTTCTATCGGTGAGTAACCTGTCAGCACTTCTACGGTGTCCAATTCATTGTTCCCCGTCCGTTCTGAGTGGGCCGGGTCGGGGTGATGGGGGGTCATAGAGGGAATGAAGAACTGACACTGTCCATCCCATGTTGTCTTTTACTTGCTCACGTGGGGTGACCACAGTGACCGGTCAAAGGGTTCATCTATAAACTGCACAAATATACAGTGTTTGCATAACCTGAAGCTCATGTGTGAAAGAACACCAGTGAAACCCGGAATGCTGTAATGAAATGTCCGACGATTCAGTCCCTCGTTTCCCATGTCCAACTCTATTTATTATTATATTGTAGTATAATGGAAAACATACAGGTTTACACAGAGCTTTAAAATTCAAACAATTATAGATGGTCATTAGTGGTGATGGGATGTGTATTTGTGTCTACCCTTATTTTGAACCTGGCCACATTTACACTCGTGGGCTTGACATAAGTTAAATTGTTCTTTTTTAGATTTATGTAATTATTTTTTCACTAAATTGCCTTTTGGACTTTACAAAGTAGGCTACAATAAATTTGACCATCTACTCTTTGTAAACCAAATTAGAGACTTCCATGCATTAAATTCAACTTGATACCATTAACACATCTCAAACCTGAACGCGGTCCGACCGCCCTTTCTTAGAATAGTCACTCGCCCTGTTTTTTTACTTTTTCTCCTGAACCCGTAAAGTGATCTTGAAGCAACTTGTGGCACATAAGCTACTTTTATAGTCCACTAATTTATTCGATCAACAAGGGTTTCCCATGGATTCCCAGGATGTTTGACATTCTTTCAGGAAAACTGGCCCTGCGAGGCTGGCAAAGCAAGCTGCAGCATCCGTACCCAGAGATCAATAGAGGGCATTATTACCAGTCCTTGGCACCAGGCGTAACCCCGTACAGTCACGTGACATCACCAAGACGGTAAACACGCAGAAAAAGTCTGTTGATTTATGCGAGCCATTCGCGTCGGATGTCAGTGGCAACAGAGGGGGGTCATTCACTCAAAACGCTTCTTCAGAGCCCTCCCACTGGAGAGATGTGGTTCGATTCGGAGGCGTCAGCAAGGAGTTTTGTTCTCCAGATTTGTGTATTCAGCCTGGCTCGCCGTGATACCACGCTGCAGACCTCGCAGCGGCATGCCGTCAATGATTGTCCACTAGTTGAATAAATACCTTGTACACAATGCAGAGAACAATGTCTGTGAATGACAGGAACCCAACAGTGGTCAGCGGCTCATGTGTGCAATCCGTTTTTTAGCGATAACCACGTGTTGCTGTGAATGGCCCATTTAAAGAATACTGCCAACTACTTGTGTTGTCTCACCCATAATAGAAAAGTAACTCAAGCAGATTAAAACACTGCACATTTTGTTGATAAAGTGTGTGTGTATGTATGTATGTATGCATGTGTGTGTATGTGTATATATATAATATATATATATATATATATATATATGTTTCATAATACAAGACAAGTTGAAGCAGACTTGAAGAAGACAAACAGCCACAGTGATGACATGTTGTCATGCCTCGGGAACTTGGCCAGGTACTACGCCAGGTGTTTGAATCTGGTTTCTTAGACCGCTATCAGAGACGTAAGTATAGTGCGTCAGCCTAATGAACACCCGATTGTTTCCGCCAAACTGGTTTTATGTAAACAAGCCAATGAATGTCATCGTTAAGGAATTTGAATGGAAACCGTTTTCATCACTTTGCGGGATGAAAAAAATGTGTGTGTGTGTGTGTGTGTGTGTGTGTGTGTGTGTGTGTGTGTGTGTGTGTGTGTGTGTGTGTGTGTGTGTGTGTGTGTGTGTGTGTGTGTGTGTGTGTGTGTGTGTGTGTAATCACACTCCTGATGTGGTTTGTAGACAAAGGGAAGTCAATTAGTATCGGTTTCCTTGGTTCTCAGACATTAGCCGTGCGGAGAAAGTAAAGTGTAAATACTGCATTGTTTTCCCTCTATGTCACTCCCCCCTACTTGGTTCCACTTGTGTGTTTTAATACACATGTATCAAGACTGAATGAATCTTTGTAAACCCACGAAGACGAGATGTTGGTTGAATGATTTTTTATTTATTTACTGAGTCGCATGTGGCTCCATTTGGCTTCTAAGCACTAAACATGACCGTTGAAAAGACTGTCCATCGCCAATGCTGTTGTGACCCATACGAACCAGATAACGCAAACAGCATCTTTTTCCTGATGGTAAGGACAAACGTGTCGCCTCATTGGGTCCCAGTGTCACATTTACAACACAATGAGGTTAATTCCAGACCCACCAAATCCCCCTTGACACCCTTCATCCCCATATTCAGCACTTCATTATTTCACCATCATTTTGAATGGCTGTCGCCATGGATACGGCAGGCCCTCCGCCTGCCGTATCCATGGCGGTTGGTGGATATGAATAGCCTCTCCCCAAGACGCATCTTGCTTGCATCGCTGTCGCCATGGAAGCAAGGTGCCCCCCCGATACACTTCACATGTCCCAGGCTTCTCTCTTCAAATAGATCAGTCATGCTTTGGTTGAGTAACAAATTGCTGAACCCAAAGACGTCGTTCACATCTGCTGAATTCTCTCTATCCTCACAGGTTACTTCATCTATGACTTCCTTGACATGGTGATGAACCAGAAGCTGAGTCAGTCCTGGGAGCTTCTCTTCCATCACGTTGTGGTAGGTGTTTTTGGAGCAGTGCCGTCACAGTAACAAAGACGCTTTAGTCCAAAGGTTGTCAGTAGAGGAGAGCTAACTTCTCAGAAAACTACCCGATGAATACCGTTTACACCAGTCGCTTGACAGATAAAACCCAAACACACCTTTGGGCAGCGTGACCAGACTTTCTTGTTTAGTGAAAAAGGAGAGGTTGAGGGACAAACTAACAATGATTCCTCTGTCAACCCCCCCCCCCCGCCCTCCTGCCAAGCCTTCAGCCTACGTTCATGCCTTGCGAAAGTTGAAAGGAAACATCATTGATAGAAGTTAGATCTCCCCTTACTGTATTCCTGCTTTTAAACACTATGGAAAATAACCTGAAGTGGAAGCATAGAACTACATCCTGACAGACTATTCTACGTCACCTTCGTCCAAGGCTGCTTGTGTTGCTTTCTGGTGCCCCGTTCTCCTCTTGTTCTTGTAGTGTGTCACTCACCTGTGGTTTATTTACATTTTTGGTTCAAGGGTTTTCTTATCGGATTGGAGAGGATTTGCACTGAGCAGACGCCGCGATTTATGTGTGTATTTGGATTTTTTTCCAGACATAAAAAAGTATGTGGGGGGAAAAAAGTATTTTGAATTCATTTTATATTAACAAATTAGGCCTTGTGGCATTAGACTGTGTGGAAGAGGACACAGACCCTATATGTAGATACAAAGGGCTCATTCTAACCCAACCAAAACACAGAGATGGAAAAGTTTTGAATATTATCCCATCTGTACATAAATCTCCCCAAATTCTACACACTGGTCCTTGAAGAGCAACATCTTGAAGTTTTAAGTGTACCTCTTTTCAGAAGCTTTATTAACTTTGAGTACCGTACGCCTCCATGGCAATCCACCAAATGATGGTTTTATTGTCAATTCGGGCCATCGAATGTCAACGGTTTCTCTTATGCTCAACGGTTCGGTATTAACCTGATGGTGATTGAAGGCTGTACTGGCCTGTGACATCAGTAGCCTGTGGTGGAAATGACAACCAGAAAGAGTCGGCCCGGTCGTACGCCGAGCGGTTGTGTCATTTGGTCTGAGTCTTTTTTTTTTTTTTTTTTCTTCTCTTCTTTACTTCCTGGGATCTCAATGAATGGACCCTTCTGTCCGGGCCAGCTGGCCCTCAGATTGTCACTACAGTGTTCTTCCTCATTCACATGGCTTTTCTAAGCGAGCTAACTCGCTTTCTCCAAGCCTCCTCCGTTTCGCGGTGGTACAATCGTCAAGACTTTAATTCATTCTTATGATGTTTGCTGACCGAGTTCCACCCTCCTCCAACGGTCTCGTCCTCATAAGGCCATCTGTTCCTCTTTTCTTTTCATGCGACTGTTGTAAATTTAATTATTGCATAACAGGGTTGTTAAAGCCACAGAACAGAGTCAATGCTTGATTTGTAACGGTCATCCAAGGAGGAGGTTTTCTAGTTAGTCTTTTCGTATTTGCAGCGCTCTACTACTAGTGGAAAAATGAACCTTTGCCTTGAAACTTGACGTGACACTGACGTATACAAACTAAAGATGAGCCTCTGGTTAAAGAGAGAAACTCCTTTTTGAGGCAGATAGACATTGAACATGTATTGACTCAGGTCCCACCGCAGTCTATCTTCGCGTGTTGTAACTCAGCAAACATCACAATGTAAATATACCATGCCGCATTTATGTGCGACTGAACAATCTAGACAAAAGTCAGGGGTGTGTCTTACTTGGAAACTGTTTTGAATCGCTGACTTTTGACTGTCACTGACTGTCTATTGAGCTGACAGATAAAACATAAAAGCGACTTCAAGCAAATCCACTAAATGAAATGGTCGTGCATGAATCATGCGCCATCTGACTGAATGCTGCTTTGAGTAAGTCTGTTTACTCCCCTGTGAGGGTTTCCTCTGTTATTGAAGCGTGCGGCCAAACAGCACGAGGTGCAGCATGAGGTTTGTTGATCCCTGTTGTTGCAGTCTGGGAGAATTATTAAGTCAAACATTCCACGGGAGGTTTATTTTTTCTTCTTCTTATTGACTGAAGTGGACATTATACAGCTTCTTGGTTCTGATTCAGTAGCATGTGGGCTCTGACACAGTCAATTACTCCTGATGACATTTGGTCAGCTATAACCGCAGGCTTCCTTTGGAAAACAGGAAGTCACCATAGTTATATATAAATAATTTATGAAGTGTGTGCATATATTGTTTATCATGGAGAACTGATCATAGATGAATTTGAAGCCTGTTAAGTACGTTGTTTTTTTTTGCACTCGTCTGCATGCTGAGTTTGCTTTGGCCTCGTTTACTCATGACTCGCGGAAAGAGTGAGCTTGGAATAAAGACTATGAGCCAGAAGTGAAGGATGCCAAGCAGGAGGGCAGATTATGATTTTTTTTTTTTTTCCGCGCTCCAATGGGCCGCGTTTTGAATATCTGATGTTGTCTCTCAAGCTGTTCCTCGATAATGCACAGTGGAAACACTGAGTGAACCAGCTCCTCCTCCCTCTCTCTCTCTCTCTCTCTCTCTCTCTCTCTCAGGGCATTCCTGAAGTTTTTCACCATGTTTGCTGTTTCTTTCCATTTATGCCTCTCACCCCTCTCTCATTAGGCCAAATTCAATGATCTCCTTAAAGAGGGCCCAAGGCAGACACTCTCCTCAAACAGGTCAGGGCTGATCAGGTTAATCTGCTTTTGGGAAGTCCGTGCTGTTTCCAATCACATCTGCTTCTCTCGGGTTTCTGTTCAAATCTAAAGCGGTTCTCTTGTGATCCAACAACTTTCATATTGTATGTGTTGTCTGAAGCCTCAACGTGTCCTTATAGAGACAACAAAACCGGAGCCACAGCACGGAGCTGCTAGAATTTGAATGATGTTGAGAAGGGTTTCATCTTCTTCTACCTCCCTCTGTTGGTGGAGGGTTTTCACATTCACCCTCAGTCCGCCTTTTTACCCTCTTGAAGGGTGAACTTGTACCAACCTCAGAGGCAACTGGAACTTGTCTCTGTCACCAGGCATGTGAAGAGATATTTTTGGCACACGGAGCAGCGGCCTTGTGTGGCAGCAGTACGGGCCGATAGACTGCACTGGGCAGATTTGTAATCCCTAAAGCCTCATTGGTTTGAGGTCTCCATTGTTGCTGAGGTGTTTCTTGTTTATTTAAGCATATCCGAAACCCAACTGGTCTGTTTCCTGATGGCTTTACGTCCTCCAGTGGTAGATCTTGCATTGACAGGAGCATTGGAAAGCATTCTGCTGAGTATTAAGAAATAGGAGGTTGTTTTTACTACATCCGTGTGTCATCTTTTCATTCTTTTACAGCCCGGGTTCTTGGTATTTTCTGGCTGGGTTCATGTTTTTGTTTTTGCTGACCAGCCCAGCGATGTAATTCCAGCCGTCCACAATGTGTGACCACGGCCACGCCTCCTTTTTGACCTCGCACTCTGGCGCAACAAAACACATGGAACGAGGTTTACGCTTTAAGAATTGCTATCGTGAGACCGTTTTCGCCACAAAGTGAGGGTGATGATGGCCGATGACATTTTTTCCTTTAGCGGGTAAAGCTGGAAAGTCTCCTGTTTTTGGCGGGGGAACTTTCTGGGGTTCCCCCGCCAAAAACAGGAGACTTTGGGCTTTCCACTGTGTGTGGAGGATAGACATCTGGTTTCCTCATGTACCTCCGGCTCCCCCAGCGAGACACACACACACACACACACGTATATTCAGCAAGCCTCATGATTTTCTAAAAGGTGCTTCTGCGAATCTGTGCACCCCCTCTAAACATTTCTGTGCTGCAGCTCCACTCCATAAATCACACACGCTGCCTTGTTCTCAAGCAGCATCTCAGCAAGTCCTCCAAACATCTCCCCCCCTCCCTCCCCTCCTACACCTACTCCCTGCAGCTTGTACCGCCCACTCACATGGCTACGGACCAATGAGAGCCTCCGCTGCGGTAGTATAATATTTCGCTTTTTGCGTTCCCCCCTCACGGTACGACTGTCTTACATCGAGGGGTTTTCTAAATGATCCTAACAAAAAGCAGCAGTCACTGTGGACGGTTAAAAGCTTAGAAGTGGCTGTCGGCTTTGTGTGTATGCGTGTCATTCAATGAGAAGGTCTGTCCAAACTCTTGACCTTTTTGAGTAAACCAACTTCACACCAGTACATTTCTTAGAAGACCACGACCGCAAACCCAAGAAAAGAAAGCTGGAGGAATTGGTTGGGTTTTAAAGTTTAAGGAATAGCAGGCAATGATGTAAATGCAGCTTATCAGTTTATACAGTACGTCTGCAGAATAGAGCGTCTGTGTTACAAACTGATTTCATCTGAACACACGCGTGCTTTGCAAAAAGGGCGCTCCAGAACGGGAGGGCGGCATTTGTTTGCGGTTGGCATAACAGCCAGGAATGCTGTTTGTCGAGGCGTCCATCCGTCAGCAGGTTTGTTTAAAAATGGAGGGAGTTGGCTCCCTGTAGGCTGTTTGTCAAAGAGCAAGGTGGGGCAGAACTAGGAATTATGCCGTTGTTCTCCCCGAGTGACTCACCGAACCCCAGCATGGAAAAAAGAAAACTTGGGCGGGAGTGGGAATACCACGAACGCTTTTCCCCGGCAGCGTGGGCGAGCGAGCGAGCGGTGACCTCACCGTGAGCAGAGGTGAAACGTTTCAGGGTTTTAACTCTACTTTTAAAGTAAAATGTGGCCATTTCTCACACTCGCCTTTTTGAAGAACAGGCAATTTGTGGTCGAAAACTATGATATGATATGAAGTTTGATCGGTGCCATCCTTCCAATTGTGGAGGAATGTGAATTATTTCTGCATTCAGAGATAAACCTTAAAGTGTCACAACTGGTGAAGTCCTGACACTTTCCGCGTGCTGAGGTGGTGGCGATGCTGCTGTCAGCTGACTTTGGTTAAGCTCAGGTCGCATGATTGTAGTTATGGCCGCCATCCCCCAGTCCTGTGTGTGTGTGTGTCTGTGTGTATTTAAACGTTGAACTTGTGTATGTGTGTGTGTGTGTGTGTGTGTGTGTGTTTAGCCATTCCAGTCTCGTGTTTCCAGGCTGCACATCCTTCCTTGGAGTTTCTCGCGTTGACTCGCTCTTCACCCCACAGCTGGTCGGCCGATCACCAGATGGCAAACGTCTCTCTATTGAGCTTCCGATTGGTTTTCCTCTGCATCAGCTTCACTCGACCATTTCCTGTCCCTTTACGACCCGTGTACGGTCCAATAACTGGTCTTTAGGAAACAATGTTCTTGTATGTTAAGAGTAAATCCCCTTGTGTTTAAGCGCAAATATTCAGGCCCCATCCGTGTTCCAGGTGCGAGGCTCCGTTTAGTTGTTTTCAGTGGTTGTGTGCTTGTTAGTTGTCGTTTGGCTTGAACTTGTATCTCCCTGAGCCTCTATTTGTGGTAAGTGCTTTGCCATCACCACATGTTATTGATGATGCATTGCGCATTTGGACTTTTTTTTAAGGCAGAAGTAAAAGAATAGTTTTTTTTTTCCGACATTTAAAAAGGCATTTAAAGTAACCATGAGACATTTTTTAAGGGCATTGAGTCTGTGATTGAAAGAAAAGTATCCCAGATGCCGCATATTGTACAATAAGATGAGCAGAGCAAATAATGGCTCCTTGAATGCCTTAAACTCTTCTTCATTTTAAATGGTTGAATAGTTTAACTCTTTAAAGGAAAGAAATATACTTCTCAGCACCTTCTTTATTACCTATAACATATATTGCCACAAACAAATAGGAATGAATTAGCAGATCAAAGTGCTGCTAAGATTTTTTTTAATTAAGAATATTTTTTATTTGACAAATGTAAGCCCTCACATCTGTACTGCGATGATGGATGCTCCGAGTACTGATGGTCACATATCTTACATTTTCATATTTTTTCTAATGCTCAAGTTTCCTCAGAAAATCTGCTGCTAACGCCGCTGTTGGTAGTTTTTGCAAGGCGGAGTGAGTGGTTAGATATAGGTGATATTTAACAATCCCTTCACAAATATGGGTGTGGACTTGCATAAGTCACGTGTGAGCAGTTATGAAAAACTGAAAAAGACTGTGTCAAACCTCAGTGAACCTCCTGGGTTAATCAATGACCTCCATCAAATTGTAAAACACCATCCTCCTTTTTTTACTGTCTCTTTTAACGCTGATTTTCATACTTACAAACCCATGCAATAAAAAACAAAACAAATGCTGCTTGAAATTGTCCTTTGACAAGAGACAAAAAACTGGTTTGACGTGGAAACCTCCAACTTTAACTATTTTAACAAAGTGTGTGCCGAGGAGCAAAGAAGCGCCAGGTTTTATTTTGAATTATCAAGGCTATTTGTAAAAAAAAAATGCACGGCAAAAAACCTAGCAAATGTTTAGCCTTAAGGGTTAGAGAGTGAGCGAGGGGCTGAACAGTTGCTACCACATCAGGCCAATGACATCTGGAACTCCTGCAGGCAGAGAGGGAAGGACACGTACGGACTAAGGATGGCATGATGCTTGTGCAACACGTAAGATGTATGTAAGTCTTTAAAATGCCTCCTCTTATCAAGTGAGCTTTATCCCGACTGCCGGTTGAACTTTGATTGGTGTGGTTGAGTCCTCTCTATGGTAAATGTCGGTTAGATAAGATGGCTTTTTTCTTTCTTTTCTTGATTCATTTTATTTGACCAGGTTTCACCACGTTCATGTATCACTGTCTGTGGTACTTGCCTTCCATCTTTATACCCAGAGTTCCCCCCCTGAAAAGGGGACGAGGAGGTCCCTCACCAAGGGGTAAAGAGAACATCTAATCAAGTCCACTGGGAGAAAACGCAAGAAAGAAACGGCTACACCTCCTTGTTTTTCAGCCCCTGGAACAGCAGGATAATGTGTGTGAATTTAGTCCAACAGTTAATCAAAACAAACTTTTACCAGTGGTATATTTGAAGGTGTTTGGGACAAATGGCTGCAGTTTTATAGTGTGTTATATAGTGTTCCACTGCTTTGCTAAGATAAGGCAACGAACTGGAGAAGAAAGGCCATAAAAGAGAGATTACCACCATGAATCTAGATACACGTGCAGCAGGGAAAAAAACAGATAAAAAATAATTAAGTAACTTCATTTTTCTCCAACTGTAATCGATGACGTGAAATGATTCCACCTCCTTCGCAACGTAACTAAGGAACTCTGAGTCGTTGTCGGTTTGTTCTCCTCGTCTTATCTTGGCGGCGTATGTTTGTTTCGTCGTATCTTTCCAGATGGGATTAGACGTGGCCTTGGTGTGTGTGTGTGCGTGCGCATGTATAGAGGTCAATCAGTGTATGGTCTTTGGCTTTGAACACAAGTGTATGAATGATTTTACAGCACACACACACACACTATTACCAATCTTTGTGTTGTTGTTGTTACTGCAGGTGTAGACTGGATGCTCATGCACCGTATACGTTCTCCCCGATGTATCTTGTCTCCGCCCCCACCTCAGGTTTGCTGGTAATGGTACAGTACTTTAGGACTGTTTGCAGGGAGTTTCATCCGTCCAGCCAATACTGTGCATGCTGCTGGTGGTTCTGGATCTCACATTACTTGTGACTTTAACATCTGATATGTTACAGTTTTTTTTATTTGTAGAGGTAAATCAGGGTGGAGTTTTTAAATGTCCTGTCACCGCAGAACAAACATGTGATGGATTCAGTGGTTTGGAATAGGCACCCGTCATGTCACAGGTCCGTCCTGCACTGCAGTGTCACATACCTCCGTCCCCCAAGCCACCCCGATGACGTTCTGAATTTAATTTTTTGTTTTTTTGTTGTTGTTTCTTTTCACTGTGAAGCGCTGCCACGCCAAGTGAAGCCTTTTTAAACATATCATTTCTGAGCTACTGATGTGCCTAACGTACATAATGTACACACTCCAAGAAGAGGAATCCCTCTTTAATTTCCCTGTCTGTGTCTCTGGATCTGTTCCAGTATCCAGAGAGGAAGGACAGGATGGGGCCATTTATTTCCCTTGTCCTAAGCGTGGGTGAACAGATTGTAGAGGCCCTCAAATAAAGTTTTTAGGTTCCATAGATACAATTTTCTTTCCTCCTGTTGCTGTCTTTCCTCACATGCTATGGTGGCCAACCAACTACAGGGCATCACATGATTGTTTGCAGCATTCTAGGAGTTATCCTGTGACCTCCAGACGAGACACACGTGCACCAACACGAGACGCCTCTCCGTCTGAGCCAGATGTGACCCGTGCTAACAAACCACAGACACGACTTTCTTTGGACCGGCCTCATCCTGAAGTGCTCTTTCAGTATCTTCCCCCCTTTCACCACCACCACACACTCTGGATTTACAAACATGGCGGTTCAGGAGGCCACAAGCCTGAGACTTAAGTGCAGTCTGTTTTTGTCCTCCGTCCACTACGAGTGTGCTCGGAGCGTAAATGAAGCTGGAGGCTGCTGCACAGCCTGTTTGGGCACAAACACTTTTTTGAACTCCTAAATGTGACATCTTTAAACAGCATTTGTGTTTAATGACAGCTTTCACGTCACCCCCCCTCCGACTCTTTAGTTAGCGTAGTGATGTCAGGGCCAGGATTGGTTGTGTTCAGCTGTTTTTCTTTAGCGATGTTGCTGCCATCTTGTGGAGGTTGCAAACTGGTTACAACACAAACTTTCATAAGAGCTGTCCAGCAGACGTCAGACATGTGGCTGGTGTCCTTCAGCATTGTCATTGAGTAAATAGAAGTCTGAATGGGGGGAAAAAAGTGTTCAGACATCCACACTGAGAATGAATGTAAGAAAAAATGATTCAATATTTCCTCTTAAAACCACTGCGTTCACACAATTTAAAGCAATCCTGATGAATTGAATACGTTATTTACCCGTAGTCATTTTAAGATGCAAAATTGTCGTGCATAGTTTTTTTTTCTGTACAACAGTACCATGTACAGTTCAAACATAAAGGTCAACAAGGATTACACATTAACTAACAGCACAGGGTGAAAGACGTGATGTGTGTGTGTATATATATATATATATATATATATATATATATATATATATACACAAGTGCTAAAAATAACACATAATCTGTAATATTACGCCAGTAGGTTATTGTACCTCCAGTATTTAAAATGTTCTGTTTGTTTTTCCTGCCACACCCATTATAACCTTCCTCTCTCACGTCCTCCTTCCGCAGGTGATCACCTGCTTCGGCCTCTCGGTGCTGTCCTGCCGCTACGTTGGCTTCGCCGTGGTGGCCCTGCTGGTGGAGATCAACTCCGTGTTCCTCCACCTCAGGCAAATGCTGCGTATGGCCGGCAACGCGGTGGGCACGCTCTACCGGGTCAACAGCATCGTCAACCTGGGCACGTACGTGGTGTTCCGCATCAACACGTTGGCCTGGATGACCCGCTGGCTGGTGCTCAACAGGGACAACGTGCCCCTGCTGGCCTACACGCTGGGCAGCGTGGGAATGGCCATCATGACGGCCATGAACATCGTCCTGTTCTGTCGCCTGCTCAGGAGCGACTTTCTGAAGAGCAGCACCCGGGAGACCAAGAAGGAGAAGGAGATGTAAGGACATGGGGAGGAAGGGAGGAAACGAGGATTATGATCTGTAAACGCACTCATTACCGTATTTTAACGTCAGTTTTGCTACCGCTTTAGTCTGTGTGCGTGCGTGCGTGCGTGTGTGTGTGTGTGTGTGTGTGTGTGTGTGTGTGTGAGATGCCCATATAGTGGGAGATGGAGGAATCTTGTCGTCTTGCATACTGTACAGTTACATCCATACAACATGTGATCGAGTGGCCTTACGTGAAACACTGATCACAGCTAAAGGTAAAAGCTACATTTTGTTGTACTTTTAGGCTTGTGTAGCAGTATTGTGTGGCCCAATAATCCCGAAGTGCCATAAGTGGTTCACTGATGGCAGTTTCTTTGTGTGAACAGTATAAGGTCTTGTAGAACAACACAAATAGCCTTATTTCCTAAAGTAAGTTCTAAAGTGTAGCTTACAGTAAGCGAAGATGCTCGTGAGACGAACCCACTGGCTCATTATATTCCCAAAGATGAAGTAGGACACGACTACAAATATCTTCAGAATAATCTTTTTATTTGCCACTCGTCCAAACTCGTTTGTTGTTCAACGCTCGCACTGCGGAGGTGAATACATCTCACTTTCTTTTTTTTTTTTTTTTCCTCCAACAAATCTCAAGTAAAGACGCCTGCTACCTCAGAAAGCTTCTTTCTTTTGCCTCACTCTTACACAAGCTCTGCTTTCAGTGTTAGGAAAGCTCTTTGAAAACTTTAATGTGGCATCTAAATAAAATAGTTCGGATTTGACGACACAATGTAGCTAAACGGTGTCGTGCTTCGCCAAATTCATTTAAAACATCTTCAATAGAGAACTTAAAAATCAATAACAAAATATGCGATGGTCAAAGTAGGTTTTATGTTCATTATAAATATACATTATAATCCTCAAAACGACTCGAGCCTCTCGGATCTGCTAAACGATAGTATTAGTGTTTGTAATTCTTTTTGGAACTGTATTGATTGGCTAATGGATCAATTACACGGCCAATGGCCTCAGGGTGCAGCCGTAATGGAAGTTTTGAGAACATAACAGGTTTAATGACAATACATTGCGCTACTGGACTAAGTGGCGCTAATGTTTTCATGGTGCATGTGTTGGGTCGGTGAACTCGCAGTAGGAGCTTTCAGACCGGCAGAAGTTGTTATTCCACATTTGGCCTTTGGAGGACAGCAGACTCCTCCTCATCATCCCCTCAGTGATCTCGGTACAGGCGTCACCAGAGACGTCTTCATTTTTTAAATTGTTTTAAGCGTTTCGGTCAACCTGTGCCTCCTGCCTCATGTTTTGAAATCCCAGAGGTCGTTGTTGGAACAAACAGGTCTGGGATCTGTGAATGAAGAAAACTGCCCGGCTGCCATAAGGCTGCATTCTCTCACCACTCACATTACATCATTGCAGCGCTCGTGTGGACCAGATACATCTGATGCCATATACGAGTGTGTGTTTTTTTGGTGAGGAATCTTTGTAAGTGTATTTGAAATTTTATTTGTGCTAAAAAATAGAAGTTGTGGATTAAACAAACAAAGTTTATTAATTATACCTATTATAAAAAAAAATCTTGATGACAGTGACGTAAATGTGATTGTGTAAGTTGTGTTGTTGCAGCACATTATGCCTCTCGGGTCTTATATTCACTGTAGCCAAATGTATACAGGGGGGGAGGAAACTCATCGTCGTCAGGCCCTAAAACCAGGCTGTCCAACCACGTTACTCACACAGGGAACAGACATCACACTCCACTCTGTTCCAGATGGAAAGAAACTTCAGATACAAACTGTGAGTTAAACGACGTAAACGCAGACCCTTACAGAAATGCTTTGTCCATCTTAAATTCAACACCACTGCACTGAAAAAATGACAGTTTGGGAGGGAGACGGTTAAATTTGATTTACCGTTATTGAGAATTCTCCGATTTTAAGATGAGGGTTGTTGTTTTTTTATTTGCCCTTTTTCTTTAAATTAGTTTTTTAGGGCAGCTTGACTTTGTGGTTTTAGTGAAGACAACTGGTGACTATTGAAGTTCTTACTAACAAGCAAGCTTGTATTTGTAAATATATTGTATGAGGCTTTAATGTTAAAGAGAGTAATCTGAATTAAGCGTTATGTGGCTCCCTGCTTTTATGAATTGTGATGAAATGTGACGGCCAGGTTGAGATGGCTCCACACAACAATGTCGTAATGACACTAAAACGATCCACTGTTGTGCTCTCTGCATTCTCATTTCTGCTCTTTCTTTTTTGTTTTTTTTTGCGTTCATTCAAACAGTTGATTTCAAACCGTTCTGAGGCCATGGATGATTCTGTTTTTTTTTATATTTCTCAGTGGTGAACACATGGAAAACTATTTTTCAGGACAGAGTGCGGCAGCAGTTACGACTGTTGCCACGCTCCTTTCTCACCGAACACGGGGAACGTGGTGTTTCACTGCATCGGTCTCACACAATGAGAAAACCCACACTTTTCTCTATCACAACCTACAAATGATGCAGTTTTACAGTTTTTGCTGGTTCATTTATTGTTGTTTTGTGGTGGATGGTGAAATATTGTCTGTTTATAAACAATGAAATTCACAGTGAAGACTGTTTGCACTGTGCAGAATTATCAAAATCTTTAAAAAAAAAAATGTTGATTAAGGGGAAACTTTGGATTACTGAAGCTACCAAAACCAACTGAGGTATTGATTGTCATGATTATCATCTGCTTTCTCGGAGTGGCAACTTTTCACAGAATGATGCCTTTAGGTGTAAACTTAACAGTTCTATTTTCCATGTTTTGCCAGATTGATTTGTAATTAAAAGTTCAATTTATATGTTTATATATTAACATTATTTGTTTTACGTGAAAATAAAGATTAAAGAAACAAGTCTGTTTTACTTTCATTGGTACACGAACAGTTTTCATTAAAGCACATTTGTCAAACAGATTCTGGAATTAATATCTAATGAAATAAGCAGAACAGAAATAGCACTTAAGTAAAATAAAATATGCTAAAGATTTCTTGAAATGTTTGGTTTCATTTGTACTAAATGCTAAACTGACAAGTCCACTGATGGCTAGATATTATCAGATTTAGTAGCGGCACAGGGAGACTCTCATCTGACGTACTTTTATTTTTATTGAATCACTTTGATCAGAAATATAGATTTAAAAACCCAGATGCAACGTTTTTTGACTGAATTTCCTGAACCCGTCACCACCTTGTTATGACGCTTCTATTTACTTCTGCACATGAGGAGCTGCTAAATTAAACCTCAGATGTAATCTTTCACAGCGCTGTCCTCCATGCACTTAATCAGACGACTCCACCTGTGAATGAAGATAATAAAGACAACAGTGGAATCCCCGAGACGCCCCCGAGGAGGTCCGCGGCCCTCAGATGAGAACCTTACAGCAGCAATGTCCATGATGCAGAAAGCCACAAATCAATCACTTAGTATACAATCAGAAACTAAACAGTTCTGTGTTGGTCGCACTTTTTATCGCTTTGTTTCTTTATTATTGTTTTATTCAAACCCACCCCCTCGCTTTGCATCGATCCCCCCTCAAACAGAACGACGTATCGCTGTTGTTTCGGGGGGCGGCCCCTCCAATCAGCTGTCCCGCTCGCGCTGTCGTACGATCCTCTCGCGTGTTCTGCACCCGGCGGAGCTTGTTTTCATCGCTCAGCCTTTCCAGTCCGACACCGACGCGCTCGCGATCCGTCCCGGATGCGGGCGAGGAGCGGTTCCGCCGGAGCGACGCCAGCGCCGCGCCGCGCCGCGCGTCGTCGTGGTGGTTTCGCATTTTTTTTACGCAGCGGTCCCTCCTCTGCGTCCTCTGAATCAAAACGTGGACGCACGCAGATGAAGATCGCTCTCGGATGGGAATGTGTTTGAGGCATCTGGACCAGCCCTGGAGGCCAGCATGCGCGGATCGGAGGTCGTTTTTTATAACGCTCGAGAATCAGATTTGGTAGATTTGGAATTTTTTTGCATCTGACGCGCATCAAAAGGTAAGCAGACCCATTTGCGTCGGCTTAAGGTCAACCGCAAAGGCTTTGTTGTTTAATGCAGTTGCATGCTGACTTGAAGCATGTTTTCTGCTGTTTTCTGCTGATTTCTGTGGTCATCAATAACCTATTTATAGCCACCACGTGACCTCAGTTCAGAACTTCCCTCTCCCAGTGGCTGACATAAGCAATGTTCTCAGTATGGGAAAGTGACATTCATCACTTCACGCGTTACAGTGTAATATGAAGTTGATTTTGAGTTTTTTGGAGAGCGAGGACGTGATGGATGCAGGTTGGTGGAACATGTATTAATCCCGTCCTTCTGTTTTCCTCCCTGTCTCCCTCCAGACTCAGCCATGGCTGACGAGAGCAGGCTGTCTCAGCAGATTGGGAGTGTGGAGAGAAGCGTGGTGTTCCTCCGGCAGGAGCACCTCACTTTACTCCACGGCCTCCACCTGGAGATCCTCTCCCTGCAGAAACGGTGCTCAGGTGAGGGACTGTGTGTGCATGAGGGTAATAGCAAAGGAACCATCCCAGAGAAGAAGATATACAGAGATTTTACTGGCTAGATGTATTTTGGGATAATGAGTTGTTTACACTTAATGATATGAAGTTAGAGCTTTAGAAGCTCTAATCTGATCTGAAGCTCATTTGACAAACTACATGATCAATATTTCATTTTCAAAGGAACGTAAGCCACTTTAGTGCAGCTATTGTCATTTTTTGGTAGAGAAGCTAAACGTTGTGCACACAGGCCTCATTGTTCATATGATGTGTGTGTGTCTGCACCAATCAATGCCAGACAATGACCACATGGTGATGTCATGCTACAATTCCCGTAGATTGCATCATTTCCTGTTTCGGGCCTAATGAATATACCGTCCATTTAATTAAGCAAACCGGTGCACATGATCAAACACAGACCTGCACGCGCACGAGCACACGCACACACATTTGTGTTACTGTGATTGGAAGGATGCTCTCTTTGAATTCATTAATTCCCTGGAAGCTTTCCTTTTTCTATCCGTGAATATGAATAATTAAGCTGGTGTAGGGGAGGGGGGCAGATTTGACTCCTCAACGTGAAGCAGAATCTCCCTATTTCACTAACTACAAACACACACACACATGCATGTACATAAGCCACATATTGCACACACACAATACCGTGCATCCCCAGAGAGATGATATTAAACGTATCCGTCACGGCTAATCCATAGATCCCATATCTTCAGTAGTCTATATGAACGGGATTGTTGAGGGGAGAGGGGGGATGGATATGACCAGTTGTGTAGAAAACCACCCCTTCTGTCACTTTGTAGCTCTGCTGCACAATCACATCTGTTCAATTAAGCTGTGTGTGTGTGTGTGTGTGTGTGTGTGTGTGTTCTGTGTGTGTGTGCGTGTGTGTTTATAATACTATTGAAAAAGATGAATAGATGAAACAAGACAATGTGGTAAAATGCAGCGGCATTTTAATGGAACTACGTAATTGTAGCAGCAGACTTGAAGTTTTGTGACTGTTTGTTTTAAATCTGTCGTGTTTAAAAACGAAGTGCTGGTTTCTGAGAACTAGGCGCGATTCATATCCAAAAATAAGGACACACTGTGCCTTTTCCTGACCCGTGTTCCTTCACCTCAATGGAGAACATCATGAAGTAGAAGACAACCACGGTGCTTACAGAGATGTTTCTCTTTTCTTTTAGAAACTGTAGGAAAACACTCAAACTAATTTCTGTACAGGCAACGATGGAATATCTCCTCTCCCGACAGTCGCTGAGGCTAAAAGCTTTTGCTGAAGATGTTAAATAATATGATTATAGTTACCGTAGCTTTCATAAAATCCAGTCCCAGGGATCTATGAGCATCAGAAAACCAACAAGAATATTTCTGAAAGAATCATCCTCACTGTAACAAACTCTTCAGGTCGTGGTTACGCTAAAATGTTGACAGCATGTTTAACTTGCAGTCCTTCCCTCAGTTCTTCAGTCGGCTTTCACAGGTGTAAACTGAGAGGACGACGGGGTCGGCTGTGACGCCATATGCCGATGTGTGTTTGCTGCCAGCACGCTAATGTGCCGCCTGGAAGGATGCGTCAAGGTTGAGCTGTCGAGGCGGCCGCGCGCGTTAGCTGTGACTTTGCACCGCTGCACCTCGTCAGTAAACTCTCATTGTCATCACCTTAAAGGCTCTTACGCATCGCTCTCCTTGAACAAAGAGTGCCATCAACTTTTGCCCTTTTTGTTTTTGAAAAACACTGCTTTTTTCGATCAATCAGGTGCGTCTTCTTGGAAATGCGCTTGTGCAAAATTCAAGGTCGGACCGTGAATCAAAAAACCTTGGATGCCGAGTGAGGCTGGAGGAGATGCGCCTAATCGACAAAGCATTACACACACTGGATGCTGCAATGTGCTGAGCTCATCATTTCCATTGTTTTACTGTTGCTTCAAGACATAGTTCCTAGAGCGGACTTCCTGAGGTTAAATCAAGTTCATCAGTGATTCTGGCGTGAGGATATTGATGAGATCTGTCTTTCCCTCTTCATGCTGGCGGGCGTCTTGTAGCTACTTCCTGCAGAGGGGAGCAGAAAGGGTGAGACTGAAAGAGGAGAGAAAAGCAACAAATAAGACGCTGTTTCAAATTATATCAAGGAAACATCCGTGTAAGCGAGCGTTATTCGCGTTGATGTGACGGCCATTAAACTAGTTCACGATCGTCACTCGTGGCTGATTACGCAGTCACATATTTCTGGCTGTGGAAAATTTTAAATAGGACAAATCCAAGCCACGTTCACCCAGAGACGTCGTTCTGTGTTTCACAGCGTGCTGAAAGCTGAGTGTGGAGATTATCCCGCTGTTCGGCCGCCCTGGATGACAAACGGAAAATAAGACATTTCACCGCCATAGAGCCTCTTTACTTGAGCGATATCATTTCATGTTTTTTATATAACCATGTGTGTATATTTAACAGCTGTTCCCTGTGGTTTTGTCTTCTCTTTCAGAGTTGACCAGTGATCTGAAGGTGAAGCCTCCAGGCAGAAGCCAAATAGGTATGTCTAAAAAAAAAAGAAGAAAAAAAAAATCAACACATTCTTGAATAAGTTCTCCGTCCGCACGGGAGACATATTTCCATCTCCTTGGACTCGTTTGTCCCAATCCGCCCTCCTCTGCCTCTACCTCGCTGTTGATCTTTGCAGGGCCGTTGGTGGTGTCTGAATGCTGGGATGCGTGGGCAACCATTTTATAATAGTGAACGAGATTCCAGCAGGGGAAGTCAAAAGACTGAGTAAATGGGTGTGTGTTTGGGGGGGAGGTGAGGGAGGAGGAGGAAGGGGTGGTGAGGTCTCGTTTAGCGGCATTACTCAAGACATTAGACCCCATCTCTTCTTCCAGGACAAGTCACCCCCCCCCGATCCATCAATACAGCCGGGCCTCTGTTCCCCTCCCAGCCCGACAAATTGATCCATCCTCTCTTGTTTTGTCCCGGAGGAGGTGTCCACTTACAAGACTTTCCTGAGAACCAGAGAGATGTAGAGCCGAGGAAAACAAGTGAGATACTGCGAGGCAGCGAGGAGAACGATTAAGGGGAAAAGAAAAGGCAGCAGGATGCGGTCAGCTGCAGACACTGAGGTGGAGGAGGAGGAGGAAGAGGAGGAAGGATATGAAGATCACATTAGATACTTTAGTCTATAGTTAGCATAAGAGCTCAACCTGGGAGTGGTGATGTAATGTGTGGCAGAAAACCTGAGACTGATCGGCCCTCAGAGGATTATTTCTGGAGTACTGAGGGAGAAGAAGGCGATTGGGGGAATGTACGGAGATACTAGAGGAAAAGAAAATGAATGGATGAAATATGACTAAAAATGATCAAGGGCAGAAGATAATAGAGAAATGTAGAGCAAGTGAAGAATGTAGATCATAAAACAGTAAGATATGCCACCTTTTAGGTGTAATATGCAGGATCCATAGCTTTATATAGCATCATCTATAGAAAGAAATCGGTAAACACTTTTATCTTTGTTAGCACACTGTTAGCCATCAACATGTAGCAATCTGAGAAAATCAAAATACTTTCAACCTCATCTCTAGCACCTTTAAACTCAAACGTATGTTTTTCTATCAACGTATGAAGCCCCTTGTTACGTTTCAGCTGAGATGGATTCAAGGCTTTGCAGGTTTAAGACTCACCAAACCTCCCGCCCCGCTTTGGGATTCTGCTCCCCTGCAAAGCTGACCTAATTCTGTGGGCAGGGGCAGCAGGGGGGGGCCTCTGTGGATGAGCTGCTTCCCCTCTAGCAAACTGCTGCTCAGTCGGCCCGGATGTTGCTGCATTGGCTTTTGATTGATACCTGCCTCCCCTCAAGGGGATTTCACTAGAAAGAAAGAGCAACAGAAGCAAAAGAAAAAACAACAATAAGCAGGTTGAAGTTCCAAATGAGAAGAGGCCTTAAGTAGCATTAGTAGTATTTTTTTGTTTTGTTTGTTCTATCTCTCACAAATCAGCGCTATTGATGTTTTCTAATTTAGTTCAGATCAGATTACTGTCACGGTGTGGTTCACGTCCTGTCTTATTTTGTAGTTTTCTGCCACTCGTGTCCCCGGGTAACTTCACTTCCTGCCTTGTCCCGTCATCCCCTGTGATTGTCTGATAGTTTCCACCTGTGTTCAGTCACCTGCACCTCCATAGTGTATTTAAGCCGTGTGTCTCTTGTGTCACTTGTCGCGTCATTGTCGAAAGTCCTGAATTGTCTCTCGTTCCTGGCTGCCTTTTTTCCCCCCTGGTACCTGTATGCGTCTTGGCCATTTTGTGTTGGAGTTTATGACTATTAAAGTCTTTTTTGGTAAAGTCTGCATCTTGAGTCCTGCCTTCCCCGCATCCCTGACAGAATGACGCGACAAGAGACACACGGCTTAAATACACTAGGGAGGTGCAGGTGATTGAACACAGGAGGAAACTATCAGACTATCACAGGGGATGACAGGACCAGGCAGGAAGTTACCCGGGGGCACGAGTGGCAGAAAACTACAAAATAAGACAGGACGTGAACCACACCGTGACAATTACAAGGTGCATATAGAGTGAGTTATGTATTAGTGGTGCAGCGTGAATAACTTGTTATTGGTGGTTAAAGAAGAGTAATTTTCTCTCTCCAGTATGTAAATCCTGCTAATTGGTTTATGTTACGATCTCCACCTCTTGCATATTGTCATTTTCATTTAGCTATTGAAAATGAAATAGCAGGGAGGAAACCCTTTCCACATATGTGTGCCATTTCTAGCTTTCGGCTCTAAAGCCACCACACTGTGCCATTAGAGGATTACATTCACGGGACTTTGAGAGTAGACGGTTGATTCCTGAATACTCAGGTCATGAACTGCTCTCGTATCTATTCACTGAGTGGAACTGGGCAATGTGCCTACACGGTCATATGTGCGGCAGATCAGAGCTTCTGTGTCCCAACAAATAAGTAATCCGCCTGGTTGTTAATGCACAATGTGTACTAAATACACTACGTGTGTATATGCTGTGTGTGTTTTATCTATACAGTACAGGCTGACACCATCAATGTTGCGATGATATTCTACGGTGGAATATTGGTGCTTTCACAAAATATTAACAAAATGTTTTTTTAGAGAAATAATCATCAGCAATGTGGACATGATGAAAGGGGTCAGTAAGTAAAGGCAAATACCAAAACAGTCCACAACATTCTATAATCTTACTGCAGTTTTTAATGCCTCCAAAAAGGGCTGAGTGCAAAATTTATTGATATATTCATTTTGTCATTTTGCCCAGCGCTATTTGCAGCAATGCTTTATATGCTAAAACACAGTTGTATATAAAAGCTGTTTGACTCTGTTCAACCTCCTGCAGGTGTCTAACCTTTGCATTCCCGGTGCGTCTCTGTGTCAGAGTTACAGGAGGAAGAGGAGCTCCTGGAGGACCGCTGTTGGGACGCGGAGGGCCGTCTGGCCGAGCAGGAGTGCTCCATCGGGGAGCTCCGCGTGGAGCTGACCCACAAAGGGGCTTTGGTCGGAGCCCTCCGAGCCAATCTCAAGGAGAAGGAGCGCCACTTCCTGGAGGAGCTCAAGCGCCGCAGCCACTGTTCCACCATCCTTAACACGGAGCTGCAGAAACAAACGGAGGCCGCGGCGTACCTCTCCTTCCAGCTGCACGCTGCCAGGCAGAAGCTGCACCACCAGCGGATGCAACAGAGGCAGGGGCTCCTCTCCCGGGGCCACAGCCAGGGAGGGGCTCATTACGGTGCCGAGCAGAACTCCGTTCCTTCCCAGCCGCCGTCGGGAGGCGCCCCTTCCTCTCCCGCGGTCAAACCCAAGCGCAAGGGCGCCCGGGCGTCCTCCAGGGCGGAGCGGGCCCGCGAGTGCGTCCCCTTGGAGAAGGTGACGGGCCCCGCGGAGCCCACGGCCATGCCGGACCCCGCTCTCTTCCTCCACCCTCGAAGGCACAGGGCCCGCTCCCGGCACACTGCGGCACAGAGACAGCCGCCGCCGGGCCCGGAGAAAGGCGATGAGGAGGAGGAGGAGGAGGGAGAGAGAGAAGGTGGAGAGGGGCCGGTGCAGCCTCTGGGTGCCCGGGCCAGACTGATGTCAGCAGGGGCCACTGCTGCTGAGACGAAGGCAGAGTAGCGACCACTGTGAGCTGCACTTTTAACGACGATCGTCGTTCTCTTCTGTTGTCTGCTGCACCTTTACTGAATTGATGGCAGAGACTGGTTTTAACTATTGAGTTATACTTATACTTAGTCACTTTTTTTATCAAGGACTTTGATATAACCTTAAATTACTATGAGAACTTTAAGCCAATCTTAAATGAAGGTACATGTTGTTGTTACACATGCTCGATATGTTGCCGGGCCTCTATTTCAAAGAAAGCCTTCCGTCCGAACCTGCTAAACATGAAAAAGCGTCCTGAGATAACGTCTGTTATCGTTTGCCGCTGTATAAATTCAATTGAAATGGGAAATTGAGATATGACTGTGAATGGCGGCAGCCTTTTTAAGAGCCGATATGTCGTGTAACCCAATCACCTGCGAGCTTTCAAGGCCAACCATAAACCAACCACGTGACCAAACGTTTCGCTGGCTGAGAAACAGCTGAAAATGGAGTGGAGTCCTCCACGTTCCTGTGACTTGTTACAATTACAATTTGAATACAAACCCTAACTAACCAGAAACAATAAGTTCCAGTAATGTAATGGTTTGTTGGCATTTTATTCTGTGACTACTCCTTTAAAGGACATTCTCATATGTAATTGGCAAGGAGGAGGACTTTTTAAAACATTTGATAAAGACGAAGGCGTGGTGCCAATTTCCGTGTTTTTTTTATTTTTTTACTTTAACCTCAACTGGTTATCTGGTTAATGTAAAGCCATAGGGCAATGCTTCATGCGACTAGTTTTGCAGGTAACCCTTTAACACAAATATAGGAGCAATATTTGTTGAATTTGTCCCTCTATTCTTTCAAATCACATTGCAGTTGCATCCAAGTAATTGCAATCGGAAATATTTTTTCAGAATAAGGCAGCCCCATCTCTTATGTTTGCCGTAAGGTTTTATTGATTATTTGATACATTTTTAGAAATCTAAGAAGAGAATGGACACCATCATAGCCTAGGTGTGTTTCCATGTCAGCAAAAAGTGACTGAGAACATGACTGCTGTTTTTTGTGTGTTTTCAACTCTTTGCATTTTTCTTCCTTTTCCATTTTACACAAATTCCATCGTCACATGAAAAGGCGGTGACTGTGGACTGTAAACGATGAGACCGTGCGCGCGCGCGTGTGTGTGTGTGTGTCGTGTGTTGTTTCCTGTTATCACAACACATGCCCACAGTGGCCCCTAGCGTTAAAAAAGAGCCAATAGCAACTTAAAAAAAGATGAAATTAAGTAGATTTTAATGTAGGACATCTTTTTAAAGTTATTACTTCATTACTGTACGCAATTGTAATAACTGCCTTATAATAGAGGAGCTGTGTATGTAAGAAATGCTGTGTGTACACAAACAACAGGGCAAAGACAAATACTGAAGTATTGTGTGCTTTTGTTTTAGAATCACTTTTATAAGACTCTCTAGGATTTGATTTCAAAGGTTTACTGTATACGCCGTGGCACCTCAGTTATTTTCGATTCAAAGTTGTGTCACAGTTGATTTATACTTGAGCCATGACTGAGCTTCAGTGTCTTTGAAACGAGCCTTCCTGTAAGACTGGACTTCATTGTGATAAGTCGCTGTGAGGTTTTTATTGCCGCTACTCATCAGAAGTTTAGCATTATATTTTAACAGTATATCCTCAATAAAGCAATATAGCAATATATTTATATAATAATAATAGGTCACATTAGCCGGTTTATGAAGTGTTTAACTTTGGATTTTCAAACTGTTGAGCTCTGTATGTTTTGCTTAGTATTTTTCTGAATTGTTTTTGTTGATTGTCACAAAATCTTAACATGATTAATCATTATGTTGTAGTTTAAAGAAGGCAAATCCAAGTGAGGAATCAATGCTGCACACAAAGGAGCACTGAGGAAAGGGGCGTATTGTTATGCCACATGAGACTGAGAGTTAAAATGAACTAAACTTGTCTTCTCTTTAGCGTAAATGCAAATGTGACGAGGGTTTTCGTTAAGCCATTAGCATGTCAGTGCACTATTCTTCCTCAAGTTTTATGAGACAGCTGGGGACAAAAGAACAAAGCTGTCTGGTCGAAAAAACATAATTTCCCCAACAGGAATCCTGAAAGACTGTTAGACCTCATGACCTCGTCACTACACATGCAGATAGATGAAACTCTTCACCCACCTCTCATTAGACAAGTTAACATCACACCACTTCTCACAGATGCTCTACGCTACGCTGGTATTATGTAACTTGGATAAATCAAAATACTGGTTGCTGTATACAGCTGCAAAGACTGTTTACTTGTTTGTCTGCTTTGAGAGAAAATGCTAATGAGCCAAAGAGGCCCACCACTAATATTAACGTTAAGATTAATGGTGTGATGCCTTAATGAAGATGTCTTTTCATAAATATTTCAACTAAAAGGAATAAATCTCAAACGCCTGATTTGCTTTTGCCACTTTTCCCATCATACCACAGCTCATCTCCCAACATAGCAGCGCAGTAGATAGTTTACTCACACCTGCAGGAAATGTCTTCCATCTCTCTAGACGCCTTTATAATAACTCTAATCCTCATAGTAATGATGAAAACAAATGTCAACAGCTTCTTGTCCAGGTGTTAAAGTCAAATCAGTTTTGTTTTGCATTATAAAGACACACGTCAGTGGACATAGTCTGACGCATCTTGTTTGACATGTGATGTGGTCCCCAGCAATAACGCGGTGTGGTTCCCCACACAGGGATGCTGTTGACTGATTACCGCATATACTGTGTTAGCTTTCTTTGGTGATCTCCTGTACACATAATTGAAATAAAATATAGGATTGTCTAGTCTATTCTCATTATTGATGCTTGAAAGTTTACCAGAGAAAACCTGATTTGAAAGAAGTAGACAATAAATTGAATAAATTAATCTATTATTTCCCATTTATGTCAAATAGGGCTTTATAGTTATGTCATCCATTTTATTAAATAATACGTTTGTGTTGTTGGGAGTCTATAATATCACCTGCATCTATCAGGGAAGCTTTAGAAAATGTGTATTATACATAACAAAAGCATTTTTGAATCTGCAGTAGTTCAGTGTGAATGATAGAGCACTACTGTAGCAAGTATGCACAGTTTAGCATGCAAGTGAAAGGCTTAAAATCTTTCTGAGGAAGCTCTCAGGACTAATTCTCTCAGTATTCTTTATAAGAGACGTAGCTTTAATCTCACAGAAGACTCGTCTCTTGGTACCGTTTTCTGCACCATTGGTTCTTTATTACCTTTCAAGCCCAAATCAGCTCTTTGTTTGGAAAAGAGGATTTCTCTGTACCTTTCATAATATGTTTATTTTAATGTGTGATCAATAACACTATAGCTGACAGTCCTGATCTATGACAGACCAAATATAGGTGACTTAATCTGTATAATTATTCAGCAGCATTCCATCCGGTTTATGTTTGACAAGATTACTTCAATATGGCTCATCTTAAAGTTGAGGAACTTAACTATCCTAACAAAGATTATTTTATTTTTGCTTTTATACAATTATGGTTACAACATTTAGGCCTTTGGCTGTCTCTTCATAGGTCAGACATTGATAAAAGTGTTCAAACATGCCTGGGAGCTATTTACCAGTTCTCGCGGAAACTATTACACAAGTCTGGAACAACGCAGCTTACAGTATCTCAACCAATATAACCAGTTTATTGAACATTTGTGCTTGCATTACTAACATACTCAATTACAAATTGGCCTTAAAGCTTAACATGCTCTATACCTGATCTTGTGACTTTGATCATCTTAACACACATCACATCTGGGGGCAGGTGTTACTGTAACTGCAGCACGGTGAGACTGTACAAGAAGCAGGGAAATACAGCCATACGTGGTCAAAGTTGTGCACTGGCCACTGCTGTCTGCATATCAGTAGACTCGTCATTTTGGACGTGAAAAGACAGTGTGACTGTCGGCGGCTGATTACATCAAGCTGTCAAAGGTCAATCAAGTCATTAAAAGCTCAACATGTGGTGTTAATAACATTAACACTAGCCTATCAATAATGCATTTTCACCAAGCCATTGGTCTTACGTTATCTTCCATTGGATAATATACATACATATTCTTCACCGTGGAAACGAAAAAGAAAAAAAACATCACAAATGAAATTATGGAAGCGATTTGTCGCTCGGGGCTTTCCGTAGAACTACGCTCAGTGGGTGGGGAAGTGCAACGCAAAGGCAAAGAGGTCAAGGGGAGGAGAATACCACGTGTGATCAGCACCATGTACAGCACTGTCCTTACCCCCCCTGTATACTTGTTTCTGTAAGCTTGTACCCTTCGCATGTAGCCAGCTAGCCGGAGAAGCAGATCTATTTTTCTATTTCTTCTGCAGACTCGCTTCTTATCAGGCAACGCGACTGGAAGGGATTTCTGTTGCAACACTGACTCCCGAACATGGTGAGCAAGACAGATGACATCCCGGCGTCAGTGCCCGACTGTAATCCGGCCGATCTTGCGGATGAAGCGGGCGATGGAGCCCAGGACGGCAAAGAAACCAGCAAGACATGCGTGAAGGATTCCTGCGGCTGTGGTGAGTCTGCTGCGGACCGACTTGTCATTCGCATCCGCTGTCATTACGTCTAAGCTAACGTTACACAATTTAAATGAACACCATGGTGTGGTAATGGAGTGCATGCAGTAACTATTGAGTGTTACCCGTGTGGTGGATTAAATGTTTGGTTGTCGGGTCTCTCTGCACAGCAGCTAATAACGTGAAGTCACCTGAATGAATCCCCTGGTAGACTCAACGCTTAACATGGTCAACCTGGCAAATGCTAATTAACTCAATGGGGCTTCATATGCTAATCGGCAAGCTAGCAACCTTCACGGGCTCTGATCCATTTCTACGTCCATGGGTCATAGCCATTAGCATACAGTCCACCTGGAGACGGACGCTGCCTGTACAACAAGCTAACCCAAAACAAGTTAGCCGGCATGCTAACGTTAGCCTCCTGACTGAGTGCAGCTCGTCGGTTAGCTAACTGCCCCCGTCGCAGTCGGCGCGTCACTTCGTGCTCTTACAAGACGAACAAATGTACCGACGACCTGTGCTTTTATCTGGCGAAACGTTCACCTTTCTTTGTGGCACACGATTGATTCACTCATCACAACGTAGGGGCTCGCGTTGAGCTAACGCGTATTAACGCACATGTCCTGCGACGGCTTGTCGGAGGAATGAACTGAAGGTCACCTTCAGCGGAGCTGCGCAGTCCACATCAACACAGCGGGGAGGGGGGGGGGTCACCGACATGGTGGCATTGTATATTACGGATATGTGTCCAGCAAGCTAAGTGAAAATGGGTCCTCTTGAATTTCTAGTTTTAAATGTCTACTGGGATGCCAGTTGTATGAAGTGGCCTGTGTGTGTAAAGGTTTTAGGGGGGTACATTCTCGCCCCTCCCCGTCAGGAGAGATCAGATCGACTGTTCCTCCTCGACCGGGAAGCGGAAGTGGTTCGTTGTAGAAGAAGTCATGGTGCGTGCACGGTGAGAAGGAAGGTTACGCTAATAATACACGAACAGCCGTGTAAGCAGGTGAGTGCGCTGAGAGATAAAAGTAGTGTTGGCGGCTCGCAGTGGAGCAGCCGCAGACTGTTGTCGAGGGGGCAGAGAGGGGGGGCATTTAAACGAGAGCCGTGAAGTTATGGTTACACAACTTCTTGACAACCAAAAGTCAGCGTGCGTGTGTCCCATGTGGGACCTTGACTCGTCTCTGCTAGTGTCATTTCATTTCAAAACACTGGACCAGATCCACTGAGCTTTTTGCGTTTTTGTTGGTTCCTGGTTGGAATGATGACTTCTGCAGGTGCTGTCCAGTCGTCGGTGCTCCCACATGGAGCAGTGTGTGCTCCATTTAAGAGCATCCACACAGTCCGTTAAGGTTATTTTATAAGATAATGTGTATCTAGCTTTAGTTCCTCAGCATTGCTGGGTATTCTTGTATTAAGTTATAATTAACTTCATTTCTTCTCTGGAAATGTTGGTTTGACAAAATAAGCGCCCCCGATCTTGCACTTCATGGCCGTTTATTGGCCATCTTGTGGCCCAAAGGATCATAAACAGAGGATTAATCGTGCGTATTATCAATTGCAGCCTTATTGAGGACTAGCCATACAACCGGGACTGGCATGATAGACAGTGATTGATGGGCTACATGTCTGATGACTAAAGCAAACACTGGACCAGTACTAGCAGCACATGACAGGGCAGCCGGATGAGGGTCACTTTTAGTGACTTTACGAGGCTTAATACTGAGGAGGTTTGACCTGCATAATCTCAGGGATAACTACTGACACTACTTATCTCCTGGCGAGGTGGTTTCTCACAAGTCCACAGGTAATTTTAGCTTCGAACACACTTTAAAAAAAAAAAAAATGTAAAAATTGGATTGCACCCCATCTCACAAGGTGCTCATTATTTTCATTCTTTGCTGGAAGGTATTTTGTGACTAGTTTATGAAGTCCATCGTAAACAGAGCTTCCATTCAGCCGACGTTGTTGTGAGATCCCACTGCAGACGCATGATTCAGAGACTATCTGTCCACCGGGAGGTTTACTTTGTGGTGCAGAAAACATTATTGGAGACAGACCTTGTGTTGTCAGGGTTGTCCGCCCGGTTAGTGTTGCCATGACGGCAGTCAAGGGCCACAGTGACAAATAGATGGCTAGATTTATTATTTAGTGATTCCCATGAGATGTCGAACTAAAGAAAAGCCTACCACGTGAATGAAGTGTGAATGATCACTGTGACTCGGCAGTTTGATCCAAACAAAGGTTTGAGAAAAAAATGTTTAGGTTGCAAGTCACAGGATAAACGTCCCCACTCCATTGATTCTTTATCTTGCCCTCTTCACCTTTTTGTCTAACTGTCTGACCCAAGGTTTGTGATCAGATACAATTGTTGTCTCTGCACTATATCTCATTTCAACAGGAAATGCGTCAAGGAAAAGTCTTGATGCATTTCAACGTGCTCCCCTTGCAGCTGACAGGAGATTTGTTTAGGGTTAACTGATCCCTTGTCTCCTCTTTCCTTTCTTCTCACTGAACTTCATTTCATTGGTGTGGAGAGAAAGGGATCCGTTTCGCAACAGACCGAGTACTGGATTGCCTCATCACTAACAAACTAAAAAAAATCCAAATGTGCTTTATTCGGTATTCCTCATTAAACACCATTTTCACACTTTCCCCTTTTATAAATAAACTATAATTTGTTCATCAAACTACAACTACATGATCTCAAACATTTACTGAAACATGTCAATTGTTCGTCTGCCTATGAGAGTGGCCTTTTTTCTATACTTTAATAATGAAATTGTATCAACTATTCAAAGGAATTTTGTTTAGCTGTTGGGCAACTTTACTTGTGTTGGTTCACCCACGTGGGTCAGAGTGCTCTTTTCATCTGTTTTCAATGGGAAAGCTCTGGAAAGCTACTGCAGACCACCTACTGAGCACCAGACACGACCTGGTGAACGTAAAGGGATATTTGAACTAAAGAGAATTGATACAGACCTGAAAAAACCTGTATATTAGACCCACGTTCATAAAATTGACATTCAGTGAAAATAAAGACCGCTTCACTGAAAGCCCTCATTCTGAAGCCGTTGTTTGTTATTCAGAGTGTAACCCCCCCTCCACCAGCTCCTCATTTCAGTGCGTTCCTTCCCACCCGGGCTCGTGGTCCAGTTGCGAGGCCCCCCCCCCCCCTGGCCCTTTCTCTTCAGTAACTGAGGCTGTTTACCCTTCACCAATGAGCAAGGACGCGCCGGCTGGCTGCATTCGAGTCCCAGCGAGTCATCCACCTACTCTGGATTTTGGAATTAATGTGCCAGAAGGCCTTAGTTTTATTCATGTTGTTCTCTTCTCAAGTAAACAGTGTAGTAAAGAGGGGGAATAATGTGCAGGCATACGATGAGATCATTTAGAGCTTCATGTGATCGATCATTGGCTTTTAATGGAATCATATTGTGATTATCATTTTTTTTTTAAAAGCCATGAAGCCCTTACATTTTCTAAATGGATAATAAAATGCAAATATGCCAAATAAAAAGTAATATTTTTAAGCATTTTTACTCAGTTTTCACTTCAAAAAACAACTAATTTCCTATAACCCAATTTCTACCACAAGACTACTGTCATTTAGTAATCAAAACAACAAGGTCATCTCTTCCTAGCTTACCTGCAGCTGTTTTGGATTTTCCCCTACCAGCCATGCAAATAATTCCCTCTTTTGAATATTGAGTTATTTTGTTTCTAATCCCTGAAGGCTAAACTCCATTCAGTATTGAATCAGTGTTCAATTCAGCAGGTTGTTCTTTTTGCAGATCAGATGAGAAGAACGCCGGGTTACTTATCTGATCTTTTTGGTACAATCATTAGTTATCTTGGCTTTTAGGATCCAACTTTTTGAAGGAGTTAGTCCTTTTGTACAGACTCGTTTGGTTCAGTTTATGATCGAAAGTGAAGGGATTCTAGATTTCATGCTTATTCTGCCGTTTGTGTTTGAATTAACTTTGAGAACATCAGGATACTAGCAAGCTTTACCCGAGCTCCCTCCTCTCGGTTAACCCATTCATTCATATTTAATATGTTTATCTATAAGGTAATGTGGGGTTTGCTGTGGGAGCTTTTGTTTTCCGGATGGCTTACATTGCACAACAGGGTTCATTATTGGATTATTAACTAACGGCAGCTGTGGAATTGCAAAGCACAGTGGTTTGTCCTCACAGGGTGTAGCTCACCGCTTTTTAACGCGTGGCTTCAGACCCATGCGTGTGGAGTTGTCCCGTTTTAACTCCGTCAAGTCGTTACCTTTGCTGACGGCGCACCGTGTCTTCTCCCCTGCAGGGCCCAGTGCAGATACAGCCATGGTGAACGGTGACGGGGCCCACGAGCACACTGGGGAGGCGGATTCCAAGCGGGACGGGAGCAGCGAGACGGACGGAGGAGAGGATTCTAACGAGCAGGAAGTGATTGTCATCCAGGACACTGGCTTCACCGTCAAGATCCAGGCGCCTGGAACCGAGCCGTTTGATCTGCAGGTGAGGATTCGCTCTCGACAGGCAGCCGTTCACCGGACGCGCTAAAACCACTGTTCCTAAAAAGGGAAAGTTGAACTCTCATTTATTTCTAAATATGTGTATCCTCCCCGGATCATATAAGGTGCTACTGGTTCAGGAATGTTAACTAAAGACAATGAATCTGAACCAAAGCAAGTTGTGTGTGTTTCTGACGCTGCTCTTGCCTCCATCAGGTCTCTCCCCAGGAGATGGTTCAGGAGATCCATCAGGTGTTGATGGACCGGGAGGACACCTGCCACCGCACCTGCTTCTCCCTGCAGCTGGACGGAAACGTGCTGGACAACTTTGCTGAACTCAAGTCCATCGAGGGCCTGCAGGAGGGCTCCCTGCTCAAAGTGGTGGAAGGTCAGAGCCTTCTTTTAATTCGCTAATGTAGTTGTCTTCCTTGGCTTAATAATCTCCAACTTCATAGCTTGGAAAGGTCAAGCTGTTGTCATGTTTGTCAGGTATGTAGAGCAATTTTATCTTTTTAGAGAACGCAATAAGATATTATCCTTACATGAGAACATCACCCACATCTCTACAGCTGGACACTGTATATCTGCTCGGCTGATTTGCTGGGAGAAGACAAATTAGCCCCATCTGCTCCTTGTCAAACTACGCTTGGCCTGCTTTTTATTTTTTTGAGTAACCTTTTTTCTTTTCTCTCTCTCCTCTCCAGAACCGTACACTGTGCGCGAGGCTCGCATCCATGTGCGCCACATCAGAGACCTGCTGAAGAGTCTGGACCCCTCTGACGCCTATAACGGAGTGGACTGCAACTCCCTCTCCTTCCTCAGCATCTTCACCGATGGAGACCTCGGAGGTACGACGTAGTCGAGCGGCCTGTGTCCTGCACCTTCCTGTTTTGCGGGTGGACTGCAGGCATTCATTTGCCCTTGTTTTCACGCGAATGCAGATAGTGGCAAGCGAAAGAAAAAGGGCAACGAGCTGGAGCAGATCGACTGCACCCCTCCGGAGCACATCCTGCCTGGCAGTAAAGATCGCCCCCTGGTTCCCCTGCAGCCACAGAACAAGGACTGGAAAGTGAGAAGCAGTGCTGGCTGGTTAATTAGGAAATAACAAACTATTTCTAGAGGACGTGTCGGGAGTCATTTGAGACTGCATTTACAAATATGTGCCCTTTGGCTAATCCAACAGCCTATGCAGTGCCTGAAGGTCCTGACCATGAGCGGCTGGAACCCTCCACCTGGCAACAGGAAGATGCACGGCGACCTCATGTACCTGTGCATGGTGACGGTGGAGGAGCGCCATGTTAGCGTCACCGCCTCTACGCGCGGCTTCTACCTCAACCAGTCAGTCGACATTTCCACCTCGCCTGTTGTTACCGCTCTGTGTTTTCACTGCATTGGACTCTCCACCTTTTAAGGTGCTTAAAGGTGGAGAGTCTCATTAAAAATGCTTACACAGCATTTGGCTGTTACTCGGCATTAGTTTGTGATGCCAGCAAGTACTTAACATTCAGAAAATTTGATTATTTTGGAAAGTAGAATTGGGAAGGTTAGGAGAAGGGTTTTTTCTTTTTCTGTTTATTTTAAGTTCCACTCGGTTTTGAAGTTTCTACATGGGTATTGTTGTAGTGAAGTCCCAAAAACGGAGAACTTAAAATGACTGAATGTCTTCTCTGCAGTTAGGAGGTTTGCTAGGAAGCCGTGATAGCACGTCATAACAATGTGAGTAATCACTGTCATATGTCTTCCAGATCTACTACTTACAACTTCAACCCTAAGCCATCCAATCCCAGCTTCCTAAGCCATTCTCTGGTGGAGCTGCTGAGCCAGATCAGCCCTGCCTTCAAGAAGAACTTCACTGCCATGCAAAAGAAAAGGTACAAATATCCCTCTTTTTTTTGGCTCATCCTTTGCTCATCCACTGTGGTGGGATATTAATGCTTCTCTTCTTCGTCTCTGCTTTACTTATCTGTCATTTGTCTTTTGTGGTGCTTCTTTTCTGCAATCATTCAACAGTTGATTCATTCATTAACGTTCTTCAACAAGGTGAAAACCTTCCGTCTTACAGTCAAGCCCTCGCCAGTTCAAAGTCTTAAAAAAGACAATAAGCAAAGACAAAATAATGACAAGAAACATGTCCGGTCATTTAGCTACAACTTTGGTCATGTAGGAACTTAAATCGAGAGTGGATATCAGAGGAGCCAGCTGAGATGTACGTTAGAGGTTGTGTAGAGATAAGTGTTGCCTCTTGACGTTTTGTTGTTTTTTGCTGCAGGGTCCAGAGACACCCGTTCGAGAGGATAGCCACACCGTTCCAGGTGTACAGCTGGACCGCTCCGCAAGTAGACCACGCCATGGACTGCGTGCGAGCTGAGGATGCCTACACCTCCCGCTTGGGTTACGAGGAGCACATTCCTGGACAGGTGGGCGCAGCTCAACGCAGCAGTAGGCAGTGAATAAAGTCATCTCATGCTTTTTTTTAAATGGAATTCTTACGATTTGTCTCCAGACCAGAGACTGGAACGAGGAGCTGCAGACGACCAGAGAGCTTCCCCGGAAGAACCTTCCTGAACGCCTGCTGAGGGAGCGGGCCATATTCAAGGTACAGCGGAGGCGAGATGACGCAGAATCATCCAAAGTCCTGTCTCGCTCTGTTAATGTGTACCTATTTACAGCTTTGTCCTCTTCTTAATTGCCAATATCTCTTTTTTTTTTGTTGTTGTCCCGCAGGTCCATAGTGACTTTGCAGCAGCTGCCACTCGGGGCGCCATGGCCGTCATAGACGGGAACGTAATGGCCATCAACCCCGGCGAGGAGACGCGCATGCAGATGTTCATCTGGAACAACATCTTCTTCAGCCTGGGCTTCGACGTGCGGGATCACTATCGCGAGCTGGGTGGCGACGCCGCCGCCCACGCCGCGCCCACCAACGACTTGAACGGCGTGCGGGCCTACGGGGCCGTGGACGTTGAGGGCCTGTACACCCTGGGGACGGTGGTGGTGGACTACAGAGGCTACCGCGTCACCGCCCAGTCCATCATCCCCGGCATCCTGGAGCGGGAGCAGGAGCAGAGCGTCATCTACGGCTCCATTGACTTCGGGAAGACTGTTGTGACTCACAGCAAATACCTGGAGCTTCTGGAAAAGACCAGCAGGCAACTCAAGGTCAGTAACGCAACTGTTGCTTTTGCTCAGGTGATAAATGTGTATAACCCCAGTACTTCCAATGAAAAGATTAAAAAAACAAAAACAATGAGTTGATCCTACCATAATTGTTTTCTGTGAAGCTAAACGCCATATATGTCTTCCTCCTCTGTCTCCTCCATTCATATCTAAAAACAGCTGCTATATTAAAGGGGAATACATGTGTGTGGCTTAGAGCACCAGGCAGGCAGGCAGGCTAGGCAAGGTGATGCCGGCAGCCTTAAGAACCACACAAAGCGGTGTGGTGAGTTCAGATCTTTTGTCTGGCTGTACATTTTAGGTCCACAGGCACAACGTGCTGAACGAGAAAAATGAGGCCGTGGAGCTGTGCTCATCCGTCGAGTGTAAGGGCATCATCGGAAATGACGGCAGACACTATATCCTGGACCTTCTGCGTACCTTCCCTCCCGACCTCAACTTCCTGCCGGTGGATGGAGAGGAGCTGTCTCCAGAGAGTCAACGCCAAGGCTTCCCCCGCCCGCACCCCCACCGCTTGGCTTGTCTACGCCAAGAGCTCATCGAGGCCTTTGTCGAGCACAGGTGGGTGGTGTTTTTACGTTGACACGCCTCCAACCGGTGGGAGAGTTTCTACGGGTTTCTGACCATTGCTTCTGTCCCTCCGCAGATACCTCCTCTTCATGAAGATGGCGGCCTTGCAGCTCATGCAGCAGAAAGCGAACAGGGACGCCAAGGCCGGCGTGCCCGCCATCACGGAGACCGCCCAAGCCCCCTCCGAGAGCAATGCAGACACAACCCCGACGCAGACCGCCGCGCCCGAGTCTCCGAGTGCAACGGAGGCCTCCGCGGACAGCACGGGACCCACGGAGAGCAGCGCCTCTGCTGCCTCGCAGGCAGCGGCCGCCGGGGACAAAAGCCCCCCGAAGCCCACCATGAACGGGGTCCTCGAACCCGCAGCCGCCGTGAATGGGGAGTGCAAGAGCCCGCTGGAGGGTAAGGAGCTCGAGGAAAGTATTCCCGGCTTGGCTCAAGCCAAAGAGCTGGCAGAGACCTTAGTGGCCGAAGATGGATCTTGTATTGGTACGTCGGAAAGATCCCGCAAAATGCGAGGCTAGGACCGCGGCCAGAGTTACCCTGGTGGAGGGCGTGCTCATGTCATTCAACAAGAAAAAATATCTATTTTCTTGACTCAGCTCATTTTAGAGCAAAGGTGTACGTTAGAGCAGTGGAGAATCGGGTACAGAATGTTAAATTGGCTTCTTTCCACCAGGGTAGCCGTCCCTGCTCCGTCCTCAGCCTGCAGTGTGTGTGTGTGTGGGTGGTGGGTGGTGTGCGTGCGTTGGCCCTTGATCAGCCCCCAGATCTCGAACTGCCCCAGCCTGTGATGCCTTTGCTGTGGGCTTTGACCCAATAAACAGAAGAATCAGTTGCGGTGTTAATTAATCACATTTTCTTTCTGGCAAATGCCTAAATAATCAATGATGTCATCACTGCAGAATTGATCCTGAATGCCACTAATCTGAGTGACTTAATATGGACATGGTTTCAACTCTCCGTTTGCTACATTCTGTCTGTCGTCATTACTTTTAAAGTGTCTTCTTTTTAAATTATTTTTTTACCATAATCACAAACAGATCCAAAAAGCCGTGAGGTTGTCCTCAACGCCTGCAAGGCAGTCGGCTCCATCAGCAACACGTCTTTTGACATTCGCTTCAACCCGGACATCTTCTCCCCAGGTGAGCACAGCAGGGATGATTTAAGCATATGTGGATGATGCAAAAGCCCGACGGTGGCTCGTGAATGATGTGGAAGTGCGTTATGTTGCCATAGAAAACAAGGCGGTTAAGAATCAAAATATCTTATCGATGCGATTACATTTCATTATACGGCATCCACAGTTAGACTTTTAAAACAGCTCTGGAATATGTTAGAATGTTGGGAGACAAAAACAAAGAATCAGCTGAAAAAGATAAAGCTGATGAGAAGCTAAGAACGAATGATCTGCGAATGAACTGCTGGTACAAACGGTCCTCTATATTATGTCTAATTCATGTGGTGTTTGTGTTGCTGAATTAGGAGTGCGTTTCCCAGACGACAGCGCAGATGATATCCACAAGCAGAAGCAGCTTCTCAAAGACGCTGCGGCCTTCCTGGTGTCCTGTCAGATCCCTTCACTGGTGCGTGGCACAGACAACAGAAAGACTCCTTTCATTCATTTATTTCCCATGAGTCGTCTCCCCCCCCCCCCTCCAACACCACCCCGCCCAGTAATAAAGAGGTGGCATTGTTTAGGTTGGGAATGCAACATTAAAGCCTGTGTTTTGTGATCAGGTTAAAGACTGTTTGGACCACAGCGCTCTGCCCATGGATGGAGCCACGCTGACGGAGGCCTTGCGACAGAGAGGCATTAACATTCGCTATCTGGGCACGGTTTTGGAGTTTGTGGACAAGACCCCGGCCAAAGCCCAGCTGGAGCACTTCTATGTGAGTCTGAACCCGCCAAATCCAACCACCACGGCCGCACACCCCTTGTCCTTTTGGTTTGTAATATTTCTGTCTTCCATTCTTTTTTTTATTTCAGAGAATAGGAATCAGCGAGCTGATCACCAGATGTGCTAAACACATCTTTAAGACCTACCTCCAGGTTGGTACCATCTGACCTACAACTACCGGCCTCTTCGAGCGGCGTACCCACAAGCGTCTTAGTGTGTTTTTTCCCTTTCTTCCCCTCCCCGTGTAGGGTGTGGAGTTGTCTGCTCTCTCTGCCGCCGTGAGCCATTTCCTCAACTGCTTCCTGAGCTCCTTCCCTGACGCCGTCGCCCACCTGCCTCCCGACGAGCTTGTGAGTCGCCGCAAGAGCCGCAAGCGTCGCAACAGGGTCCCCGGCGGTGGCGACAACACGGCGTGGGCCAGCCTGACGCCCAACGAGCTGTGGAAGAACATCGCCTCCGAGGCCAAGAGCTACTATCACTTCACCCTGCAGTGGTGAGGGCCGCCCGTTGCTCAAGTGAAACACACATCAAAGCTGTTTTTTTTTTCCCATTTAGCATTTCTATTTTTTTGTGTTTATTGGTGACTGATTAATGTCTTCTTTCATAGTGAGAGTGTGGACCAGGTGGTGGAGAAATACGGCTTCCAGAAAACCACTTTGCTCAGAGAGATTTCAGTGAAAACTGGCATCCAGGTAACTTTCCCTTAGTCCATAGTGACCCCTGACGGCACTTTTTGAAATCGCCTCCATTCACTGTTTTCTTCTTTTTGATTTGCCCTCTAGATTCTGATGAAGGAGTATAACTTCGACAGCCGCCACAAGCCGGCCTTCACAGAGGAGGACATCCTGAATATCTTCCCTGTTGTGAAGCACGTTAACCCCAAAGCCTCAGACGCTTTCCACTTCTTCCAGAGTGGACAGGCCAAAGTGCAGCAAGGTGTGATGTTCATACTCAAACATTGAGTTCACCAATAACCTAGATGCAATGAATGGATTAAAAACTCGTAACCTAAATGTATCTCACAATCTTTTCTTTACACTTGCAGGCTTTTTGAAGGAGGGCTGTGAGCTGATCAATGAGGCTCTAAACCTCTTTAACAATGTGTATGGAGCCATGCATGTAGAGATCTGTGCATGTCTCCGCCTGCTGGCACGCCTGAATTACATCATGGGAGACCACGCAGAGGTAGGCGACACCTTGTGTGGCCTGTTGTGTAAGGGCTGCATAAAATGACCTTTCTTTTTTTTAAAGCTTTACTTCAGGTTTTCTAATTCTAAATGTTTTGTCCCGTTTCATTATCATACAATCAGCAATTTATAGATTTTTTGACAGCAGGGACAATAAAGTTTGGGGAAAGCTAAACAACAAGCATCAATTGAAGCTGAATATAAAAAAACATGTTAATGTTTTCAAAATGTTTTGACTTTTGGACATGACACGTCTCTGAAGTCATTAAAACCGTTTGGATCACAAGCGTGGGAAACAATCCCACGCAGTAGTTCTGCACGGCTAGTTTGTTTTTATTTTTTTATTACACCCAGCCAACCCATTTCAACAGCCAATCAGCACTGCCAGAATCTACAGAACGTGCATGACTCAACCACCTGAAGCCTGTGCAGAAAGACTAGGGTTCAAACAACAAACAATATTACCCCAAAAGGCGGCATTCGAATTTTGATTTAGAAGTCCAATATCAACGCTATGAAAGAAGCCGTAGTTAAATAACATTTGTGTATTTACCCCCCCCAGGCCCTCAGCAACCAGCAGAAGGCTGTTCTGATGAGCGAAAGGGTCCTCGGCATCGAGCACCCCAACACAATTCAAGAATACGTAAGTTATCACGCCACTCATTTAGTTCATGCCAAATACCATTCATATCCCTCTGACCTGTGAGTTTGTTCCCAGATGCACTTGGCTCTGTACTGCTTCGCCAACGGGCAGCTGTCGACCGCCCTGAAGCTGCTCTATCGCGCCCGTTACCTCATGTTGTTGGTGTCCGGGGAGGACCACCCAGAAATGGCACTGCTCGACGTGAGTGCAGCCTTTACTCGAGATGGATGTAGATACTACGACCCGTTTCTAAAGATCTTGTAAAGATCAAACCTGCAGCCTGAAGCAACACTAACCCTGTTTTTGCGATTCCTGGCTGTCATTTAACAGAGTAACATCGGCCTGGTGCTACACGGAGTGATGGAGTATGATTTATCGCTGCGGTTCCTGGAGAATGCTTTGGCTGTCAACACCAAGTACCACGGAGCCCGGTCCCTAAAAGTGGCCCTCAGGTGGGATGGGGTCGGTCGTACATATCCGTGTAGTAATTATACTAGCTGACACGTTGATTCGCTTCATGCTTCCCGTGTGTTTTTTTTTTTTTTCAGTCATCATTTGGTTGCGAGGGTCTACGAGAGCAAGGCGGAGTTCCGCTCCGCGCTGCAGCATGAGAAGGAGGGTTACACCATTTACAAGAACCAGGTGGGGCACCACGCCACGCCGGCGGGATCTGATGTTCCTCCTTCTTGCTCGGCTGTGTTGAAGATGTACCCTGATTTTTATTTTATTTTTTTACCGTTCTCAGATGGGCGAGGCACACGAGAAGACCAAGGAGAGCTCCGAGTTCCTGAAGTACCTAACCCAACAGGCTGTGTCTCTGCAGAGAACCATGAATGAGATCTACAAGAACGGCTCCAACGCCAGCATCACGCCCCTCAAGGTGACCCCCCCCCCCCCTCAATTCAAGGCGTTTCCATCTGCTCTCCTCTCCATCGTTTTAGCAGTGATGCTATATGTTTGTCTTTGTTCCTCTTGTTTTCCAGTTCACTGCCCCCAGCATGGCAAGTGTGTTGGAACAGCTCAACATTATCAATGGCATCATCTTCATACCACTCAGGTACGTAATGCCTTTAATCAGTGCGAGGCCACATTTAAACCCAAAAATCACAAATCTGCCATAAACAAGTATTGTATTTTAGAAGATTTGATTACCTTATTTTAAATCTTCAGGACTGATTTGGCTGTGAAAAACTTAACTTGGACTGTAGGTTTTAGGACTTTGTAATTGATTGGAGACACAAGTGACAACGAGTGAGGGGTTTGAATAAAAGGGGGAAATGACTGGTCAAGCAGAATAGTTCCTCCACGGGACTTTTATTTTATTTTGTGTTGCATTACAGCCAAAAGGATCTGGAGAACCTGAAAGCAGAGGTTCAGAGGCGGCAGCAGCTGCAGGAGCTGGGGAAGAGCGACGATCCCACTGAGGACAGGCCACTGGAACTAGAGGACAAAATTCCCATTGATTAATGTACAGGAGCCCCCAGCACAGCTACTTTCTGCTATGGGGGCATTGGGGGGGGGGGGTGGCACGGGGAGCAACAATGCGGCCCTAAATCAGCATTGAAATAAAACGGGGTGGCACATGTCATAGCAGACCATACAAGAACAAACTGACACTGTAGGATAAAGGATGCAGAGTTCCCTACGACGTAGCGAGGGAGTGTAAACAAAGAATCGATGTAACGTGCAGTCTGATAAATCTGAACCCGGTGGCGTGAAGTCACTCAAGTTGTAAGCTGGAGAAAGAAAGAAATTTACATACATTTGCACATAAAAGGGTGGTTGCAGCCGGGAGGGGGGGGGGGGGGGGGCTGGGAGCGAGACCCAAGGATGACCATGACATTGTATGCCGGAGCCTTATCCATTGTATCATATTCCCCCGCAAAAAATGTTTTTTCTTTCTCCGCTCAAACTTCCCACTTAGTTAGTCCTGGACCATATTTTGCCCCGCCATTCCTAAACAGCCTCAAAGACACCCCCCCTCCTACCCCTTCTACTCTCACGGTGCTGTGAATGATAAAGCACCTACCCTGTCCCAGAACTCAGGGGTACTTCCTACTGTGCACTAAGACCAGAATAGAGTCACTAAATTTCAGATTTCCTGAGTGGAGCGTGAGAATGTAAATCTCGTTCTCGGTGGCTTCTTGCAGCAGACGCCCGTCACTCTCACACGTCCCGGATGGTTCATGGATTCAGTCGATCGATCCTTTGTACTTAAGACATCCCAGGTGGAGGCCTGCGGTGTCCTATGGTTCCTGTTTTGTCCAAGCAAGACAAACGATACAGTGATTCAACTGGTTTCATTTCATTTGCTGGAATTCTCTTTTTAGTAAATGCGGTGGAGTTTGTAAAAGTCCACGGAAGCAGTATGAAGTGTTTTAGACCTGTTTATCATTAATTGATTTAAGCCATGTCCTGTTTTATAGAAGATGTATAGTTGGGGTGGGGGGGAAGATGTATAAATCTATTGCATTTGGACAGGTATTTGATTGGTGTTTATGGAAAATGCAGATTTGAAACGTCCACCTTTTAAGCAGTAAATCTATATACTAGCTGTGTTCAATCTTCTATTTTTACACATTGACAAAAATATGTGCATGAATGTGTGTGTGTGTGTGTGTGTGTGTCTTTGTGTAGTCAAACAGAACCTATTGGCCAGGGCTGTTGCTGCTTGTGCTGCTGCATAGTCTGAATCGAGGATAAGTGAACATTGGCTTTCCAAATGTTTTATTTTTCTATGCATTGTAAACCTGTGGGATGGCTGATGCCTCTTTTCTTAACCCATCCATGGCCACCAATGTAGTAAACGTGTATAATTATGAATTGGAATGGAATTGACCCTCTTCGCACCACTGAACAGGTGCTCATCATTGGCAGTGGTGATTGATTTATTTTTGTTTTTTTTCCATCCTTATGTGTGAGAGATAAGAAAATAGCCAGCTATGTCTGTTCATTGAGCAATATTTAGTGCACTTTCTCATGCTGTGTGGGTGTGTGCAGACGACCACAACGCCACCAAAAGTAGACAAAACAAGCGCTGCTTTGATGAGATGTACCAAAAAGAAGTAGATGAGGTTTGTTTGCGCTTGTATACATGCAACGTGTCCCTCCCATGGCAATTTGTTACTTAATTGTTGCCAGGTCTAAATGTCTGTGATTAAAGCTACAGAGACGGTGCTGTAATTTTTACTTTGCACAAGGTGTGTAAGATTGCGTGCTCACTGTACGAGCTTGATAACCTGAAAATAAGGGCGCTGTATAAAAACAAAACAAAGAGTGATCTTTAGACTGGACGATTATTTTTTATTATTCCAGAAATGTTCCTGATTGTGCTCCTTAGACATAAGGTTATTAGCACGGAAGGGTTGGTATTGTGCCTAATTATTAATAATTCTGAATGTTTAACTAGGGTAAAGTAAATAACTTCTTGAGGCCCTGCTACACTACCAACATTATCCACCAGGTAGCGTACAAACACTTAGTGAAGGTCCTGTATAGACTTCACTGAGTTATTGCAGTACTGGTCTGCAGATGTACTCAAATGCTTCTGGTAACTGACAAAATACAGTAACGGAATCTTGTATCCCCCCCCCTCAGATTAAGGAAATGGCCCAAAATGACCAACACCGGTTTATGTGATGCATTTTCTGAACAAGTTAATCTCATCAGCTGAAAGTCCAGTGTTTGGAAATTGAGAGAATGATCAAACTGTTGATCTGCAAAGATGCGACGTCTCTTTGCTCAAGATGCTTTGACTTAGTTGGCCGCACTAATGCCACTCCCTTAACGTTCAATGTTAATATTTCTGTTTTGAATAGAGTAGCTGTTTAATGTCTGTTATTAAATGTGATTAAGAAGTTGGCATCAGAACTGGAAAACAAAAAGCAAATATGTGGAACAATAGTGTATTTTTAAATACATTATTTGCATATATCATTTACAGAGTCCTTTTGTCATTGGAATGTCTGAAATACAAAACAAGTGTGGGATATGTATATCACCTGAACTTATTACTTCAATTTCAAGACATAAATACCCGTACTAAAATAACTATTAAAGGTCTGGGTGGGAGAGTAATGTCTTCCCAAAATGTGCGCTTTGCTACCCAGTGTTTTTAAGTATTTAATGTCGGGAAAAGTTTTGTGCTTTCTTGCTGATGAAATTTCTTCTGGTCAAAGGCTTTGTAGGCCCAGTGGTTGATTCCACTTCTTCTGATGTGTGGTGTTTGTGTTATTTACAAAATAATCATATTTTGGTTTGAGTATGCTTTTATATTACAATGAATAAAATAAAACCATAGTAAAATTGTTGTTTTGGGCATTCATCAAGTAAAAATATATTTAAATAAGTAATACCAATGTTATTTATTTTCAAGCCTTACAAGTAAAAGTACTCAGGTGGCAGAAGTCATTGTGTAGTTTTGTATTATTACTGCGACATTACTGTATAAGCAGTATTATTCGTGTTTTTGCTTGCAGAGAGGAAGACATTAAGCAGCTTCCTCATATTAACGGACAGTTTAGTTTATTTGTGTCATATGCTGATCAAATGTTTTATATGTAAATTAACATTCACATACATAAATATTACAAACGTGTAAAATATATATATATATATATATATACATATATATATACATATATATATATAATGTCATAAAGGCAATGAAGTCAAAAGTACAATATTTCGATTTTGAAGTATCAAAAAAAATACAGCACAAGTACCTCAAAAGTGCATTAGACTACACAGAAAACTTTGACCTAAAAATACGGCCAGTCAGTCAGGAATGCTTCAGTGAGTCGTAAATAAATACATTTCTGATATTCTACATGTACGGATGCAGAGAAGCCGCGGAAGAGTTAAAAGTCAAAGACGTATAAGGGATTTTCTTCTATCAAGGGCGTGCGCGCTCCCGTCAGACCGTGAACGCGAGCTTCATGCGCGCCCCCGTCTGAAGGCGAATGCAGCAGCCAACGAAAAAACAAGCAAGCGGAGCCGGAGAGACAAGACGGCCGCGGTTCACCTCCGCAACACAAGATCCTATTCTGGAAGCGGAAATTTCACGCCCTGTTGGGTCGTGTTACCGTTAAGAGACTTCTGAGGATATCCACGGGCAGAAAACAATAGGGTGAGTTTAAATACTTTCCAAATTACGAAGCCCGTCAGGGGCGAAGGAATCTGGGCTTTTAGGTGGAGGGGGGGAAACGACGATGTGGCTGTAATTTTTGCACCTCCTTGTCTCAAAATGGCGGATAGGCCGCTTGGACCGGAGCAGCAGGTACCTTGTCAGCTGAGTTTATCCTGGTGTCCGGATAAACGATTCTCTGCACTTGACGTATTTCAAAGCGGCCCCGGTCAGCAACCGTACCCGTTAATCGTAGCTAATTGAGCGCCAATGCATCGCGCGAGCTTGCTGTGTTCGTCGCAGTGACGTGCCGAGCTAACTTTCTGACTGCAGCGTCGGTGAAGCTAACTCCGTTAAAGTTAACTTTAGCTAACATTAAGCTAACGATAACAGGTTTATCGGTCTTTGCGCTGAGCTGCCACCGTCGGCAGGTTCGACCCAAGGAAACATGTCAGTGTTTCGGCTATGGCCCGGTGGATTTCAGCCCTACCAGGTTGTTACTAATCAGTAACTAGCATAGTTATCGCCGCCTGTCACCCGTGTGTTTTATTACACCAAACGATCCCACGACGTCACTGCCGGATCCCAACTATAACTACATGTAACGTGAAATGCTTTCACCGTGAGGGTGTTTTTGTTGCAAGTCGCCGATCGTCGCAGCTTGAACATCAATTCTGTGCCCGGCGCGAGCCGAGGGGCGTAAAGCGACGATTGTGTCTCTATTATTTCATGGGCATGGTGGAGGAGGTGGAGGAGGGGGGGGGCACAAGACATTGTAATTGAATATCAGCCCGCCTTGCTGCAGGTTTAGTGCCGTGACGTGCTACCGGTGATTCGCCATCTGCTGTTGGGCGCTGTCACGCTGGTGGATCCGGGCCGATGGGGCTGCGGCTCGCGTCGTCTCTGCGACTCTGCCCGCTTCATGCGGCTCTTTGGCGCGGCGTTAGAAAATCTGGGTGGAGCACGTCTCAGGCGATGAGTTGTATGTGTATCGCATCTGCCCGCTGCTCAAGCAAGTCGGCCTGTTTTTTTTTAACGTTTGCTCATGCAGTATGTGTGCCTGTCTGTTTGAGTGATCGGGATGGAGTTGTATTTATTATTTTTGACCGACGGCTCACACAGGGATGAATGCAAATCACTGTGGGATTACACGGTGGTACACTGAATACAAGCGAGACAAGAGGTTTTATTTTTTTTAATTGACTGACTCATATTTTTAAGGTCATTAAGTGTCTAGCTTTTTAAATACACGTTGACTGTGTACTTGACTCTCAGGTTAAAACGTTCAACAAAGCTATCCCTTAACTAAATGAGTATTGAGTAGAATTTACTGGATTCCACCGATGCAGACATGATTTAAAATCTCAGGAATATTTTGTCACCTGTTCTGAGTGAAACCCATTGACTCTTTTCCCCTCTTAAGTTTAGGATGATGTGCTGTTTGTTTCAATGTGGATTCATCTTTTTATTTTATTCTATTTACCGAATTAGCCTATAACAAACCCTGATATATATGTTTTCGAAATAAAATGGGATAATAGTACAGTGCATAACATAATTAAGGTTAATCATATTTCACGTGTCAGAATAGCCAGATTTACAGATTAACCATGGTGTTGAAATGGCTCAAAGGTCAAACTACAGTACGTGCTTTGGCCATTGCAAGACCTGCTCTGCTGCAACCTGTTGCCAGCTCAACCGCTGCCAAGTAATGGGAAGGGCAGCCACAGATTGTGGAGGTCGTTCCTCAAGAACGTCTTTGGGGTAGTTGGTGTCAGTAGTAACAATTGCCCGAAAGGGCCGGATGTACAGTTTCGCCAAACTGCTTTTTGTTTCATCAGTCAACGCCGAGTGTGACAGTATTTACCTTTTTGGGATTGTTGCAGGCTGAAGGGCAGCTCGACCCACATGACCCTGCTGTCCTGAGCCGACATCAGTACAGAGGTTATCCTACCAGAGACAGCTGCCTGTCAACCTACTGTAAAGAAACGTCTCAACGTGTGGGCATGAATCCGACCGTACTGTTGACTATAGTTAAAGCATCTAGTTATAGCGGTCGGCATAGTAGCCTTACGACTTAAAAGGGTTTGAGTTGAACATGCTTCATAGTGCCATTTTCTTGCAACGGTAACTAAGCGTACACCTCCGGTCTAAATTTAGAACTATAATCATTTCAACCTGCAGCGCCTTGGCATGAAGTGAATACCCTGCAGAGGTTGAACAAGCATCTCATGGCTGCCAAATGGAACTTTGGTACTGCACGATTGACCTCAACACATAGGCATGAAGAAGGCTAACTGCTCTTTATTGAGTTGTTCCCGATTGTGTACACCAGTAGACTGTGGTGGATTGGTTGATTCCTGTGAGCTTCCTGTCTGCTTGGTCTCTTGTCCTTCTTGTAGGAATCTGATTTATTAATCAGGCAGCTTGGTTGGTATTTGATTGGCAACATGCATTTGTTGTGAGGAGATGAGTTTGGAATGAACGGAGGAACAGCCAATTCATTCCTACAACTGTTTATTATGTCAACACTCCTTTTGTTAGCCGCTGAAGAAAGACGTCAATGGCGCCATAGCTTAGTAAAGTTAGCAGCTTGTTACCAACCCAAATAACTGACATAGGCACCTTGCGGGTGGCAACGGCTGCAGATTGGAAGCTCAGCCAGATGTTCACTCAGTGAGTGATAAAGCTCTTTGGTTTTTCTTAGTAAGAGTACTGGGACAAAAATCATCCATTCATAGAAAAAGGCAATAATTAACAGAATTCCGCTTCCAGTACTCCTGTGCGGAGGTTCGTAGACAAAGTAGCCCTGAACTGGCCTCTACAAAGGCTTATGTCAGAGCAGTATCACTCACTTCATTGCTTGGGAGAATAAATTTGCTATGTTGATCCAGCTGATACAACGCCGAGATGCACTAATGACATTTACATTAGTGTGGGTTGTGTAGTTGCCTCCTGGTGGAGAGATGTTATGCCACAAAATGATCAAAAGTGAAATATGGTTGGTCCCACTTCTGAAACCAAAGCTGAGTTTGGGTTACTTTTATTGTCTTTTAGTACTCACTGCATTTATTCCCAAAACTTCAATCAAATACTTTAGCATGATTTACAAAAGGTCAAATTGTTGCCTCCTGGAATTAATAAACCTAAATGAAGGTCAGGTCATTGACAGAAAAATGCAGGCGCTCCAGATTCCAGCTGTTTGCGATGATTTTCTTTTAGGGCGGATGATGACGTAATGACACCAGCAGAAAAGGGTGCTCTACATTCCTCTGGGGTGTGTTTCCTTTGTTCAGACATGGAAGTGTAGATCATCCAAAATGTTTCTTACTGTTTAAGTAGTAAACTATTTTTTTTCCTGTGGCATTCTCTTTGGAAACGAATGCATTGTTCAAATATCATCCAGCAAGTCCAATTCATGCTCTTGACTTTACAGAATGGACTGTGTGCACAGACGGTGCACACTGGGTGTGGCCAGTGCAGTTCAGACCTGCCCTTCGGTTAATGCGTTCTTAAACCGACAGTCGACGGGTGTTTTCCAATAACCATTAAAGTGGCAACAGATAAGTTGTTGGGACTCGGCAGGATGTCCTTCTCAAAGCAGTCATCGGCATTGGAGTAAGGGGCCCATTTATTGTACATTCCTGCCGGTACACAAAGACTGGGGAATCAATGGGGGAAGGACACATAACCGTTATTTACAGTCAGGGGGCAAATTTATAGATGCCCCGCGGCCGTAGCCCCCTCCAACAGCATGCAACAGCATTTTGTGCTGAACCAATTAGCCTGATTATGTGTTGTGCAAACATTTCGCTTAATACTAAAGCCACAATCAAGATTTGCAGAAAGTGGACTCTAGCAGATTAATGGATGCTCACAGGGTTGACCGTTGCCAGCCGCAGAGAGAAGTATCAATACATGGCAGATGACCTCATTTAACGCACCACAGCAGTTTCACAGGTTGATGCTGACAGCCTGTGCGTTTTTTAAAGGATGCTTTGTGTTCAGTATTCAGTTCCTTATTGTGTTCAGAGTTAAGCATATGTTTGAACTGCTGTTGCGTCAAGTGTTGTGTGCCTCCTGAATAGGAGGGAAATAGTTATTTTAGCCTAGTGGTAATCTCACTCCTGCATCATCAGCTGAAACGACCAATGTTTGGATTTTCCTAAATTGCAGCTTCCCCCGGTGTTTCCGACCCACTAATTACTCCAGACGCATCAACGTTTCATCTGCTGCTCATTTGGCAGCACAGTGTCTCCCGGATGTAGTTTTGTCAGTTGGTGGCAGGTGTCTAGAAGGAGGCTTTTTTTGTTTACTGATTTGGCAGAGATTTAGTCAAAATGGTCTTTAGTCAAAAGAGGCTTGTTGTTGCTCACAGTTAATATTCTAGTGTGTACCTGCTTTGGTAAAGTGCTTTTCAAGACCATGATGCAGTGGGGGAAAAAAGGGACATGGTCACATTGATGTTTGCAGCACTGAAGTTTGGGCTGAAGCTTCATGGCCCCAACAGCTGATTTTGTGACACTTGTGTAAAAGTTACCACAACTCAAGGTGTACAGCTCTTGATGCGTGTTGGTCAGTTAATTAACTAAAAACTATAGTGATTTTATCAGCAATTGAAAATACCCTTTCTTTGGCTTCTAACTCAAGTCGAACAAAACGCTCCTGACATGAAAACATTCTCCGCTAACGCGCTTTTGGTAGCCCTGTCGCAGTGATTTCATCGTGCCATCCACGCTTCTGAGGCGCAATCTTAGTGAGGCGGTCGGTTTCGAGGGAGCTGGCGGGCCCAGCCATTACTCGAGCTTGTGTTCGGGCTTTCTTTTCTTTTGGCAGCCTGGGAGTTGGAGTGCGTTTCTCGGGGAATGTGGGTCAACTCTCGTATGATCACTGAGACTAGAATTTGCTGCAAGAGCCCAAAGACCAGACTGGTGACAGACAGCCAGATTAGGCAGGTGGAGCAGAAAAGCAAATGAACGTTTGCTGGATGTGCTTTGCTTCAGTTCTATTGTCTTTCTGGCTATAAATAAGAAGCACAAAATATGTACACTGTTATTTTTTCCATTGTTGACAGATTCTTCAGTTGTTCTTAACTGAATATTTGCAGACATTACAGTGCTTCTTTGGCCTACAAACCCTTTCGTCTCCCCCTCTCTTCATGTTATCTTTCATGCATACCTAATGCTAAATCCCACTTCTCTCCTCTCCAGATGCAGTGTAGACTTTGCTGGTGACTGGTCTGCAGGCTCTCGGCTTCTCTTGTCCCAGGAGTCAGCCAGTTGGGGCGGGGGCAGATTCCTGCGTTCCCCTTCTCTCACTCTTTTGTCTGGACGAAACCCACGGGCCGCTATTGGAGTACGCGGCGCATCCTCGCCTGTGTTGCTTGGATCAGCACCGCTCATCTCCCGACTGAGGAGAGCGCAGCAGCTGCACTCGCTTTCCCTTCTACTGCGCGGTCCTTCCTGAAGCCCGTCCACACCGCCCCGTCACCATGGTGCTGTCGCAACGGCAACGGGATGAACTGTAAGTCGCCCACACAGCGTATGGCTGAGTTGTGAAGATGTCACATTTTAAATGTGTGGAGGTTTTGGTCAAAACGTTGCGGTTACAATGATGTGTATTTGTTGCATCATGTGATTAGGCATGTTTTCATTTCACCTTCATACTAGATTCACAGCCCAGTGCAACCACATTATTTGAAGGAATGAACAATGCCTGGTGCTTTTCTCAAAGCCTCTTTGAAAGTTTATTTCATCAAAGGGAAGCACAAAATGTCACTAATTCAAACTTCCCCCAGCCAACATCAGCTGGGGTGATCTGATCTTTATCAACCTCAACAAGTGTGAGCCATCAGATCTCCTTTTTTATTGTTGTATGAAAGAGCTCAATAAATGATTCATTGCCTGTTCCAATGAGCTATCTTTATATATCTGAGCCCCATATATTTATTTATTTGTATGATGTACACACACATCATTATATTTATTGAAAATGTTTTTACGATCTGCCGTTGTGACCTTTTTAGGTTACGCTTTGTGTCGCATTTGCCCTAAAATATACTTGAAGGAGAAGACTGCAATCCAAAGTGATTCCATAGGAGCAGGGTAACCCCTATGAAAACATTTCTGCCATAGGCAGTGAAGTGGTAGAGAGACAAAGAAAGTGAAAGTGAGAGAGACTATGATAATGAGTGAATGGTAGTTGGCTTTGCCGAGTCTGAGCTTGGTAATTAACCCCTGAGGCGGGATTAAAAAGTTAAGGTAACTCATTGTGAGATACAAGGTCATGAGAAGGAGATGATGTCATGTTGAGCTGTAGATCATAAGATTATCCTTCCACTTAAGACGTTTGTTAACACCGTATTTTAATACGAATATATTCTCTTAAAAAGAAATCCTGTTTATTTGGAATCAGACTCCCATGACACGGTTCTTAACATACCTCCCGATGTTTCTGTGTTTTTAGATTAGCACCGTGGGTGTGGTCTGTTGGTATGGAGAGAGCTATTGGAATGCTAATCTTTCTTGCTATTTGCTATTCAGAGGAAGCTGCCAGGGACTCCATTGCCCCTCTTTTCTCCTCCGTTGCACAGTTCTTTGGCCCTGTGTAGCTTAGAGGAAACTAGTTTGGGACCATCACGCCACTTGAGTCACATTCACGCATCTGTTGCATTCTTCCCGTAGGAGATGTCGCTTGGCTCAGTTGGTGCTCATTGAGTTTGTCGTCTATAAAGTGCCCCTTAGATCTTGCTTCCTAAATGGCAGCCTCTTTTTAGGGGAGCCTACTTGAAAAGCAAGAGGCCCACTTTGAATCAGGCCATACAGCAGATGGGGTAATGGGAACAGTGACTGGTGGACTGTCTGCTATTCACGCTAAATTTTTCATTGGGCCCTTTCTTTGTCAGAGCCTCTTTTTAACATCAGGGAGCAGGCGAGTGGATGTAGTTCCTATTGCATTCAGGTGATCTCTTTTTACACATCGCCACGTTTACATACAAGGGCCATGCTGGACACTGAAATGGTTACAAAGTGCTAAGGTAATAGCTTGGTGTATGCACATGTAGTAGCACAATAAAAAACAGAAGTAATCCGCACAATAGCTGTTAGCAAAGGCCAACGGTAGTTGAGGCTGATGTTTTTCTTCCTTGTGAAAAAGCATGACTTGATCGTGGTGTGACTAATTAGAAGTGGTGCAAATACTTTTTTTTCATAGTTTTATAACATAAAACTCATGGCCCTGATTGCATCACAAGTCCAAGTCACGGACACAAATGGGGGGGGAAAGAGAAGCTAATTCAGAGATCCCTGCTTGTCTTTTTTTGCTCCCCTTGCTAAATACCTTGACCATTGATGTTCCATGTTGTCGTTTGATTACAGCAGCTGGTCTCCACGGCTCCACACAAACACCATCCCAAAAACCTTTTATCAATTAAAACAAATCTTGTTCGTAGTTTTGTGTGTTATAAGCTGCACAGAGCTAGTTAGGAAGTTATTGATCCTGGATCAACGGTAGTTCGTTACACTGCTATTAACTAGGAACAGACACTCTTTGACTGAGGCCCAAAATGTTTCCAAAGGTCTCCTTTTCACCTCGTCCAGACTAACACACTGGATCAGCCGTGTTGATGAAACCAAGGAAGTGTGACACTTTGCTTGAGCGTTGCAGTGTGGGTTAGACTACGACAATTTTTCCCCCGGGGGGAAAACCGAAGAACAGAAAACAAGACACTGCAGTTTATCCTTGTGTTTTTGTTCTTTCTGTGGACGTTGACCCACTCTTGATCCCGAAGGCAGCACATTCTATAAAAAGAGAAGAAATCTATGTCCCCTCGATGCGTTCTGTTTCTGTCAGCACTGCAGTCAGATGCTGGGATTTGCGTAGCATCCTCACAACAACCCTATTTTTATGAACACGGCCAATGAAAAGCACATTTGTGTTTCTTACCAGGGTCAGGGGACTCGTCCCCGCTGGCATGCAGCAAAAATAGACTCGAACAACTGAACAGAAATGCTCCCCCGAAAGACCTGCAGGCACCCGTGTGCAGATGGGTCTTTGCTCTCTTCGCTTAACAAAGAAACTGCCCTCAGCCCTCTCCTATCCTAGGCTACTAAGAGGTTCATGTGATTTTTATTTTTGTATTTTCCATCGTTTGGGCGTCACCACATTCACAGCAATCAGCCATGGCATGGCGTGCGGGCAAAGGACATCTATTTTACATGACATGTATTCGAGAAGTGGGAATGTCCAGGCACATCACGATTCGATTCAAAGAGCTCCGATAAGGTTTATAAAACAATTGTCCATTTCAGAAATACTGCATATTTGGAATGTTTTGATAATAACCAAATGGATTAATTTCCTTTGTCGTTTATTTATTTAATATGGGTGTCAAATATTAGGAGTGTCTACTGGAGGGTTTACGTTTCCCAGCACTGCAAAGTCAAAGATTAAATGAGTAAATTTGCAGCCCTTATTCACAAATGGATAATGTAGACTCTTCTCCCAATTCACTGAAATATAGGCAAAGAACATTCAGTTCTCATACAAAAATAACCCGAGATAAAACTATTCTTACTCTGATAAAGTGAGCTGTTATGCTGTGTTCACACAAAAAGCGAAGCAAATTTTCACCACGCCCGACTAGTTGTAGTTATTTTGCTTCATTCGCGTCCCGCTTTATTAATGCCTGAAAGGGGGCGTGTCTTATCTGTTACTTGTCTCTGAAAAGATAGTTGTACTAAGTTCCGCTATCCACCATGGAAATAAATAACCACTATTTCTGCTCTTAATTTGTTGTGTGAATTATTCGCTTCGCTCCTTTTGCTTTTTTGCGTCCCACGCGCCCTAGTGGTCGGATCTTGCGAGTCATGGTTATAACTTCATAACATCAATTAATAACCCAATAATACCACCACGGCACAACAATTTGTGACACATAAATCATTTATAACACTAATAATTGTACATTTATAAAAATACCCCGCGGAACTGCATGCTGGGTACGGCCTGCCCGCTTTTGCGTTAAGAAACTGTCAACGTTACATGAAAACACGGAAAAGAGCGATGCAGGAGGAACGAGAGTATTTGCTGGAAAGGGTATTTTTCAATAGCTGTGCTGCCTTACATCGCCTGTGGCCTTGCTGCTTGAATGCTTAGCAGAGACACTGGTTACATCACTAACACTGGTCCGTTGTTTGTGGCGGTTTCCAGAACAAACTCTTAACAAATCCTTCAGCAGGCTTTATGAAGGAGAAGCATAACGTCGTCACATGGTGGTCATACAATAGTTTCCAGACGGCGCATGCCTAAAGGCTTTGGCCAATCTGATATTTGCCCGTGAAACAGTCGGCGGGGACATGAATTGTGAATGTGCAGAGGGACCTTTCAGGGAATAGACTTGAACTTCCTTCTGTTAAATCTTTCAAAACTGCTGATTAATGTTTAACAGGTCCAACATGGTCCGGTCGAAGAAGCACATAGACTGATATATGGCACAGGGCGATGGCCAAATCTCCTCCAGTGTTCCCCTACCGTTATTTCAGCGGGGCGCCCCATGGTGCTTGCACCAGCGGAGAGAGAAAGATTTAGATTAGAGATTAAAAAGAAACGTCCATGCATTGACAAACAACTGTTAGTGGCAGCGCTCATGTGGCGCTTGTGAGGTGTCACGGCGCTTTGATACAGCGGGCCGGTCGCCATCGTCTTCTCCGCTAATTTTGTGTTCAAACTCTGCAGCAGCCGTGCCACCGACGTCCCTCTGGGTTCACTCAACTGTGCTGTTGAGGTCATACTAAAAAGCCCAAACATGGGGGAGAGCTAATCCAATGACCACAGAAACAGAACACCAGTCTGCAGCCTAATCTGTTATGAGCTTATTGAGATGCTCTTTATGTATTATCCGGCACACTTCAAACCGCTTAAATGGTTTAGGTACTAAAACTGCTCGTACACGTACTAGCAGAGCCGCCATACTTCTCCCTCTACGTAAGTGTTGCTGGCCTTTTATAAACGATGTGAAAATGAATCATCATTGAGCATTAATTGGGAGGAAGTGATGTCAATGGCTGGAGGCGGGGTGGTGTAATTGTGGCTCACCTCTCTTTCCAGAAGGATGATGTCATGCATCTTTCCGTCTGTGTCCCAGAATGCTCCCCTCGCTATCCAGGAAGGTTTTTTTGGGACATGAGAGAGCAGCTCTGCACCAGAGGTCTGACTGACTGACCGCAGCAATGATGTAATTCACGAGAGTGCCAAATAAGCGTTAGTAAATCACACAACATTACTTGCGATGTAATAAGACTTTGGCGTTGTTGTTTTGGGAGAGCGTGGCCTTCACTGACAACGCCATTTGATCTCATTGGAACAAGTTTACAGCTACAATGTGGGCTTTCAGGCTCTCTATTGTTCTTCTATCCGTCCTCTCTGTCCATGTACTGGCCCTGCCCTCTTTTAACTATCTCCCCATCACGTCATCTAGATATGGCTGGTTACCATGGATACCAGCCGTATCTTTCTTTTCTCTCCATTCTGTGGATATTAGTACACCCCCTCCTCCGCCCCTTTTTATCGGTCTGGGGAGTGGATAAATTGAAAACTACATTATGAGGTGCGTTTAAAAAAAGAATATTATTGCAGGGTAGCGTTTGTAATTATATGTTTGCCTGAGTCACTGAGGCTTAAAAGATGCCCACCATGACAAAGTGACTCTGTGCTGCTTGGCTACCTTTTCCGAGGGCATCAACAGGAGCTGTTATGTATAAATATTAACCCCCCAAGTGGTTCACATGCTTTGCTGTGTGGTTGTTTTGTGCGGATTGTACAGTGTGGTGTTCTTGCACCATGCAAAAACTTGTTAAAGATTTTGAATATGATTACCAACTCGTGCCCTCTAGGGACTTAAACGCGACACCCTGGTTTGCATAAAACACCATGCAACTCACTCACGACCTCTGTGGGTCAACTTGTTTTACAGGACTCAAAGGGCGTGTTTTAGGGCGGGGCCAGCACATGTACCCAGACGTTGTCAATTCTGTTCCCTGGTTTCCTTCTACAACTCACACCCGTTTACACTGCTTCCTGTTTCTGAAAGTTTGCTTAATTTTGTTTGCTTATCTATGTCCCGGTTACTTGGCTCCACCCTTTCTTGTCACTTCTAGTTGGACAAAAACATATAAACGGCGCCAACGCTAAAGTTTCTAATCCGCATTCCCCAAAGCAATGGTGGACGTAACGGCGGCTGCAACCTCCTCTTATGTAGAGTCTGTGGCTCACACACACACTCCTGACACACCCACACCGCATCAAAGACTTCTTTGTGCCCCAGCTTGCCTCACCTGCTGCTTACCTTGACTACTGAGGCAGGCAGGCTGTCAGAGGAGAAGATAACCTCCTGCTAACCTTGCGCTATAATAAGGTTGTCCTGTTGTCATGGGGATTCAGGTGGGCAGAGGGCGACGGGGGGTTTCAGTGCTTAGCACTGACCAAGAGGGCACAGGGGGCAAGGGCTGGGCTGACAGATTGTACCCCCCACCCCTTCATATTGGCACCTCAAAGCCTTGCCTGCCTGACAGCTTGTCTGGCTTTCCTTAGCATCAATGGGGGGTGGGGGGGTTGCTGTGTGCAAACGCAGGAGGCGTTGTTTAATATTGGGGAACATTTTTTTATTAGACATTCATGAATTCAGTGTCTTTGTTTGTGCTCTTCACTTCATCTGGTCAGTTGTTGTTTTTTGACCTTTTCTGGCATGCAATGGAAAACTTAAGCAGTGAAGTACAAAAACGTATTCAAAACCAGCTAAAGAAAATACCAGTGTTCCCATTATGTTTGAGGATTCCATTAGAGCTAAACCAAGCCAGTCAAGTTAGCATTTAGTTAGAGACACCGGTAAACATAAATGAGCAGCTAGAGTACTGTCTCTCAATATTAATTTACTATATATTTTGGAATTTCAGCAATGGCTGCACTACTTGAATGTATAATTAAGGCATTGAACCGATGTATGGTAATATGGATCTGTAGAATTATACTGTAATGTATTTTTTAAATTTTTTATCAGTAATAGAATTAATCAGAGGTATTTTGGATAAGAAAATAAAATGGAAAACTTTTCCTACCCTCATGAGAATCTTATTAAATGGAGCATTAAAGTCAAACTATTGGGACTGATGGGCTGACCCTCTTAACTTAAAGTAGATTGAGCTATGACAGGGGCTGCAGACGTAAACCACACACAACTCTCTTCACATATTTAAAATCGGTGGATTACAAACACACTTGCTACCATCCCCCACCTTCCTTGTGCCCGCCCTCTGAAAGGTGGGCCGTCTCATTGTTTTTGTCTGCGAACTTTTGCATGAAAAGTGGATGAACTCCCATTAAAATGTGTATGTGAGAGTTTGTGTTGGTGGGATGTATGCTGACCCCCCCCCGCCCCCATATCTACACCATGGGAGTCATCCCTTCCCACTATGTGCCCACAGCAACAAGGGCTCATTATAGAAGCCAGATAGATGTGCTATGTGTTTCAGATCTGTGTGAAACGGGGAGTGTGTCGCTGTGTGAAAGCAGGAGACTGTGTTGTAGGTGGTGCTAGCCCGTATTCTTGCATATCAAGCATTTTTATTATTACGAATTAGAACCAAGATAACACTGGATCTTTTAACATTTACATCTTTTGTCTGACACATTTCATGTGTCAAATTCATTCAACATGTAACAGTCTTTGTTTTACAGTGTTGAATGCGACGACTTTGCAACCACTATCTTGTCTGCTGATCGGGTGAACTAATTACGGGTTCTCTTTGTCTGTTTCAGAAATCGAGCGATAGCCGATTATCTACGTTCCAATGGATATGAAGAAGCATACTCCACTTTCAAGAAGGAGGCGGAATTAGATAATGTGAGTAGATTTAGGGTGGACACGCATCCGCACCGCCAATCACAACCAATTTATACCAACAATATGCCTTGATTTCCACTTTATTTCTCATTTTAGTCGACCCGTTCTCGGGTGTGACGGGGAGCACCTGCAGCCAATTATAGTTGTGTGTCTGATTAGGACTCCATGCTACAAGCTGCTGCTAGTTCATCTTGACAGAGGCTTTAATCACGTCAGTTACATTTACAATGGAGCGTGACATACTGTATTTCTGTATTTTTTGTTTTACATGATTGACTTTGCTCCCTGCTGAAATGAGATTGTATATGTTTCAAATGCACTCCCCTATACTTTTGTGGTGTTTTGATATATTGCTATTATGCATATTGTCATAGATGCCAAGGGTCTTGGCATTGAGATCATAATCCGTGGCGATGCGGTTGTTCATGCATCGCACTATATTGAGAGCTGATGCGTCAAAGCAAAAAAAGTAGAAAGACCTGTCGATATAATGTAGTTCAGTACAACACCAGCCTTAAACTATAACCTTAATAGTTATAGATGGTAAAATATTATTGACTTGACGCAGTTGAAATGATTGTACAGTTGTACCTAATTTCCCCGTAAAAACACAAAGCGGTGCTATACCCTTTGTTATTTTGCACTTCTTTCTTCTTTGTTTGTATGGTTTGTTTTATTGGACTCCTCCACCTTGGATTTGAAATGAACTATGGCAATGGTAAACATTGCTCTATTGGTGGAAACGGAAACTAGATCCCGAGTGTCCATGTAGCACCCCCTTCCCCCCGCCGTGCCTTCATTCGTTCTTCCAGACATTTTCTCTGTGGCAGGCCTGTGGAATTGGGCTGAATAATGGATGAATGGCAAGAAGTGAACAGCGCACCCACAAATGTGCATGTGGCCGCACCATAACGCACAATTAAGTGATTCTTCGCAGCATTTCCCCACGGGCCGCATAAGTTTAAACTACGAGGTTTTCATATTCGGAGTAATATAAAGAGGTCATGATTCACTTTTTATTTACCTCGCAGAACGCAGAATGTACATACCTGCATTGTGTGTGTGTGTGTGTGTGGTTGCTATCCACTGTCAAGCGACTGGCAGGCTCCAGTGAAGTCTGGGCCTTGTGTTTGTGTCTTTGTGTGTGCCTGTCTTTATGTGTGTGGGTGATGCGGGCAGATGGCAGATTATATGGCAGGCTTGTCCAAACTGTGTTCCCAGCTCGCATGTTTCCTTTCTCTCTGTGGTGCCTCAGCTCATGTCTTTGTCTTAATACACACCTCGTGTTCGTCTGAGGAATCACTTCTCGTCATGGAGAAGTGTTGAACAGAAGCCTCCGTGGTGCCTGCAGCTCTCCACACCTCGAGGCCTGCTTTTGTTTCCAGCCCAGGCTTGAGGGCTAGCTGTGAAATTGGAGCGCAACGCTAATTTTCTCCCTCACTGGCACTCGTGTCTGTCTGTCAATGTGGGTTTTTGATGCTTTGATGGTTGGTAGCAGCCTCAGGGTGTTGCTGTTTGCACGGTGGTACCAAAACTGTTGCATTGGTTGTATAGAATAACAAAGCTTCCCTTTTCTTTTGCTATTACTGGTATGAAGCTTTACAGATGTGATTCTTTGTCTTCTACAATAGTAAAGATATATTGGCTTGAAATGGCATTAGATATTGGTGGGTCAAAGCAAGCTAATGGACTACCTCAGGTGGTTCATTAATCAAGAAAAAATAACCAGTAGGCTAATCGATGTTAAATGGTTATTAGTCTCCGCACCGAAGGCCTCGGGATGCCATGCGCTGCGTTATGTTAAAGCTACAGCTAACTCATGATGTTAGCCTGCAGGTGGAGTCTGTCTGCCAGGACGCCACAAGTTAACCTCCACCGCTGCCGCCATCACCGGGTGTGTGGCTTTAAGCCGCCTAAGCCTTTCTTGTCTGCAGCAGATTAGCTTGTGGGAGAAGGATTAGGACTGGGCTGTGTGGTCATATGCGTGTAGTGTGTGTGTTTGTTTGTGTGGCGTACAGTAGGTTGGCGGTGTCTGGCAGTGAGGGTTGGCTTTTGAGGGGTGTGTTAATGATTTACTGTTATTGCTTACTATAGCCAAAGACCCCTCCCCGCCCCCCCCCCCCCCTAAATCCCAACCCCCCCCCCCCCTTTCTCACAAACGCACACACCGACACTCCTCACTGATTATGCTGAGCCCACAACTTTGGCTTTTTGTCGCGTGTTTGCTTGATGTGTTTTTTTTCTTTTTTCTTTTCTCAACAGAATGAAGAATTGGATAAGAAGTATGCCGGACTTTTGGAAAAGAAATGGACCTCTGTGATTAGATTACAAAAGAAGGTTTGTGGGGGTGGTTTTCTCCAGACACAAACACTCTTAAATCCTTTGTTTCACATTTCCCTCCCTGGTTTGATTCTAAACACTGAATTCTCTGCCAGTTCTATGCCATTAACCTGTAACCTGCACACTCTGTGCAGGTGATGGAGCTCGAATCCAAACTGAATGAAGCAAAGGAGGAGATCACCCTGGGTGGGCCCGTCAGTCAGAAGCGCGATCCCAAAGAGTGGATCCCACGCCCGCCTGAAAGGTACGCGCTGAGTGGCCACCGCAGTCCGGTCACCCGCGTCATCTTCCACCCAGTCTTCAGTGTCATGGTGTCGGCGTCCGAGGATGCAACAATAAAGGTCAGTGCTGCCGGTTGTTTTGTTTTTTTGTCATTTGAAATGGCGTTTGGAGTTTGCAGGTTATTTAAAGCAAAGACTGTCATCTTTGGGTCAAATTGTGAAATTTTGGCCAAAACGTTGCTGAGGTATCTCATGAAACCGTGTAGGTTTGAGCCACTTTCCAGTTAAACACGACCATTGTACCGTATGCACCTGCGAAGCACTTTATTTTTTATAGGCTATTGTTCAATGCTCAAATTAGGCATCACACTAAATTAAACTGTTAGAGAATATTTCTTTTTGCTTTTTTGCTTGTTGTTATAGTTGATGGAAATGGTTTCAACTGATTTGCTTTCAGACGTTAAAGGCGCTATATGAGAGATTGGGAGCATTCCTATTGTGTCTCAAAGACTCAACATGGTGATCAATTTATTGCAGCTAATCGGGAATTAACTGCTTACAGCAGTTTTACTACGGTGGCCTGCAGGTAACGTAAAAACACAAAAGGCATACTCCAGATTATTTAGTTTTAAGGGAAGTTTTCAGTAATGGAAACGTAAGTGTGAATATTAGAGTTGTGCTAATAGATTCCCTGAAATGTGCATACTGGCACAAGCATTTTTTGGGAGGTGGGACAACGTAGACGTGATGGTTTGTCCCTGTGAAGCATCTGGTAGATGCTTCAGTCTCTCGCCAAAGTAAATGGTTGTTCTCCATTCATTTAACCTTTTTTTATTCCCTGCTATTTCTTTCCTGGAACGTAAACCGCACTCAGCAGCACAATATCAGGTTCCTATAGTAGCAGCGGAGCTATAAATACAATGCTGTCAGCCCACATGTTGTCACATGTCACTGGAATGTAAATTGAGCTTTGGTGTACAACATTTGATTTGGATTCAATAGTTGATTTTGACAACCATAACTGGCTGGTGTTAAAGAGCCAAATGTATACAATGGTGATGTTGTGATTTTTGCAATAAAATATCTTTGACGTGACAGCCTCTGCCAATCAGCACTGAGATCTCTACTGCGCCGTCCTTTCCCCTTCCATCTTTTACTCCAAATCTGTTTGGCAGCTTTCTTACTAAATATGGCAACTTTCCAAACTCTCTTGCCGATTTTCTTTTTGTCATAAGCGACTAGCAGCAAGTCTAATCTTGTGTGTGTTATTGGCTCAGAGAATAGCTTTCAATAAGATTTATTTCAACCCACCATTCTAGATACACATCCCCAGCTGGCACAGATAACTCGGCTGTGATTTGAGGTGGTTAAAATATGTGCTTGGGAGAAATGGTCAGACATAATAATCTGTATGATGTAATTTCCCAAACGAAAGGGCGTCATCAGGATCTTCATTTTGAAGCTTCCTCTGTTTCTGTTGCCAAACGGTAATGAAGCCATAATATGGTGTAGTTTGAGGTGAATAGGAAAGCATCACATGGGTTTAACAATACTCTTCTCTCCTCTCTCCATCTGTTAAGCCTCCCTCCGAAGCTTTACCGCTCTAGCTCGCCTTTCTAGACACGCCCAGATTACACAGGGCGCTTCCTCCAAGTCGCCTTTGTGTTCCTAGATTCCATATCTGAACTCCATAGTTTTGTCTCCGGGCCATTTCTGCGCCTCACTGCACAATACCAATACTCCGAGCTGTTTGTTCTCTATATTTTATTCATGAGACAATGAGAGACACATGTACATCTCTCCTCAGCTACACCCACACAGCAGGGATTCCTCCGTGTTTTGGCATCTTCCCTTTTTTACCCCCACCCTTGCCTGCCACTGCAACCCGCCTCCTGCTCCATTTTATCTTCCACTTGAAACTTCCCCACCACGACGACCCACCATCAGAGCAATCTGTCCTTCAGGAGAAGTCGGGCCTGGGCCGCAATCTAGAATTCAGCCCTGTTCTCTTGCAGCTCTTCCGGCTGCTTCTCTCTCTCATTTTCAACCGATGAGGAGACTCATCTTTTCTAAACTCTATAGCTCCCTAATAAAGAGGTGAGGTGGTTGGTGAGCAGAGTCTGCAGGACGTTATTGATCCCTGCCGGCACACTGAGTTGTCAATAGGTCTCATGTGTTGGAGCCTGCACAGCCGGGTTGATCTCGTGTCCCCATTTAGTGGATGCAGCTAATGAATGTATGTAGCTGCCTCGATGGAAAGATGAGGAGGACTTAATGCCTGATTAAATTTGAGTGTGATCTTCGTCACAGATCTGGAACAAGGCATAGAATTCCCGTCTTATTGTGATGGTGTCACGTTTTTTCTTTGTAGACATACCGATCTCCCTTTTCACCCTTTAAGTTTCCTGGTTATTAGTTCTGCCATTCTTTGGTTCTCGTCCTCTTTTACCTTGTTTTCTGTCCTCTTATCATGGCTGATTTTTGCATGGCAAGATGTTAACCTGAATTCAGCGCCTAACCTTTCACAGAATGTAAATCAGCAGGCCGTGTGCGTAGCGCCGTGCTCAAATGCGTCAATCGGAGGCTCACTTCATCCAAACAAGGGTAAAGAGCTCGGATGTCAGCTTACTCATCGCTTTCTCCATAAATAGCCATAAACCAATAGAGACCTTGTATTATTGTTGGACTTTGAATGACAAAGATCCGAGGCACTTTCCCTGAAAGCATGTAAACTAATGATCATGAAACGGTTTTCTGCTTTACTCAATGGGGTGCCCTGGAGGAGGGCTAGGAGGGGGACTGTTGCTGAGACGGCATTGAGGTACAGTTCATTAATAGATTGTGTGCTTTAGATTCTGCTGCTGCTAAATAGGGTGTTACGTTTGTTTGCCCGGTGCATCTCCAAACAGGTTGCCTTGAACATCTCTAATGTTCAATGCAGCCAACCCCTCCCCTCCCCTCGGACTTTGCACCTCATGGCCATCTGCCTTGTCTGTAGCTTCCTTTTTGGGGGTAGGCCAGAGGAGAAGGGTGGCCCCTTCTTCCCGTCCGCCAAAAATCCCCCAACCCAAAAGATGAACCCAAGGAGGGTTTATCTCCCCCCCCCCCCCCCCCCCATGACAACCCTTTTGTCTGCTTGACATCCTGAAAAATAACAGCTTTGGGGGGCTAGGAAAGGAAGCTTAATACCGTACGCTCCACATTCTGCCCGTACTCCAACTGGGGCGACTGTATTTGGCACAATAAATGGTCTCTCCGCTTTTACCAGGCCTAACTGTCGTAATCGGCATCCTGGCTCGTGCTTCCCGACCATTAGCAACGGAAATGATCCACAGAGTCATTGATTCAGTGAGTGTGTGTGCTGTCTGCAAACTGAGAGCTGCTGGGTGAGCAGCTCTCAGGCAAATGTCATAGTGCTGTAATGGTTTTAGCATGTGTTTGGGGATTGCAATGGTTCTTCCCTGGACAGTCTGGTTCTTCTCCGCTTGTCGGATGATGTGACATTTGGCATCTTTGTTGGGGTCCAAAAAGACGTTGCATATAAAATGATCAGTATACGTGTGTTCCTCAGGGGTTTGCAGATTAAAGTAATGGCTATGCCCATTGCAGTTTGTTCTCCTACTGTATCTGTGTACCAAAGCTTTTGTGTGACTGTTCTTTCTTCCAGGTGTGGGACTATGAGACTGGGGACTTCGAGCGCACACTGAAGGGCCACACGGATTCAGTGCAGGACATCTCCTTTGACCAGACCGGCAAATTGCTAGCGTCCTGCTCTGCAGACATGACTATAAAGCTGTGGGATTTCCAGGGCTTTGAGTGCATCCGGACCATGCATGGTAAATGTGGCTTCTGACAGTTCACAGGGCTCAGGTGGCGTCCGTTATCACATCTGATGCTGTTGATGAGCCTCAATCTGCTCCGATTCACATCGCCCGGCACGGAGGTTCACAACCAGCTCTGACAAATTGACACTTTGAGCCATGATGTCTACTCCTTCCCCCTCCCCGCTACAGTGCACTACTCCGGGCCCTCGGATACACCTCCTCTCACAATGCGTTGTTTAAATTGTAAAGAATCAGTTATACCGTCACTAAGCCTACCCACATTTGTTCTTTTCTAATATGAGAATCTCCGTCTCTATTGAAGATGTCTTCGCTGTGTTCTCCTCAGGCAGACATCCCCCCACTTTCACACCCTAATTGCCAAGTAAATGATGGCAGCAGTCTGCATTTACCCTCAGGCCCTGCTGATTTTAAGGATTTTTTTTTTTCTTGTTTGAATTGTAAGACGGCCTCCCACCGAGCCGCCAGCGGCAGCCCAACCAACATGAAGCATTTAGTTCTGCGCTTCATAGGTCTGCTAGAAGTGTCCGTTAAGGTCCGACTGTGAAGCAAACATCAATGAGAATTAGTGAATTAAAAAAGCCTTTGTAGCGAACGAACAAGAAGCAATCTGTTATTCTTAAATTTATACTGGGATTTCTGTATTTTGTTAAAGCAAGAAGCAGATCCATCCTCCTCATTACCATGTCACCATGATTCTTTATCTATCCACTCAACTTTTCCCATTTTTACCGATACCTTTTTCTTTTTCATACCTTTTTAAAAAAAATGAAATAAATTAGTGTAGAATTGGACAGCAGTTTAATTATCCTCATCCCCAGATAGCAATATTCTGTGTAGCTGCCACGCTACACGGGCCGCGCAGATAAGCTGGCCTTTTAGAATACACTTATTATTGTCTTCATCTGCTTAGCAGCTTAAATATTGCCCAGTGTTTAGGTAATTAGCGATCTCTTATTCTCCGTGGAAAAATGTCAGCGGCAGCAAATTGGCTGCATCGCTCATCGTTTAATTGGCTAATTACAGCCAAACCCAGCGTTTATTTTGGCGCTGTTGGTGCCGTTCACATTTTTTATTTTTCTAAATTTGTACTACTTATAAATTTAAAAAAGTTTCAAACTGCTTTACTGAAATGTTTTGTTATTTTTCTGTTTTCCAGGACACGACCACAATGTTTCATCTGTAGCCATCATGCCCAATGGAGATCACATCATTTCTGCCTCAAGGGACAAAACCATGAAAATGTGGGAGGTGGCCACTGGGTACGTTCCCGCCATAGACATCCTTAAATCCCCAATCTTTTTTTTAAATGTATTTATTCTGTCAACCACATCCACTACGACAGCCAAGTGACTCCTCTGTTTTTTCTGTCTGTTAGCTACTGCGTGAAGACCTTCACAGGCCACCGGGAGTGGGTCCGCATGGTTCGGCCCAATCAGGACGGCACGCTGATCGCCAGCTGCTCCAACGACCAAACGGTGCGTGTGTGGGTCGTGGCCTCCAAAGACTGCAAGGCGGAGCTGCGGGAGCACGAGCACGTGGTGGAGTGCATCTCCTGGGCGCCAGAGAGCGCCCACCCCACCATCCAAGACGCCACAGGCTCCGAGGTAAACGGACGCTAATTTGCCCGAGCCCTCAGGTTTGCGTACTCATAATTGGGACGCAGGGTTTATTGACACACTGTAGCCACATCATCAGAGTTCATGGTGACCATTGCAGGCTAATGCCCAGCGTGATCATTCATCAAAGCCCAGCAGACAACTGACTATTAGAGCCTTTTCCAGTGTGCCAACTGACCGTTTACTGGGAACACATTTTCCAGACGCCGGCATGCGTAGTGCTCAATTGATGAAGCGTCCGCTTGTCATCGTACAGCGTGTGCGTGATGCAGAGAGACGATGTGATGTTTGCACTCGGTGGTGGGAGCTGGGAATGTGTCTCAGAGTGGTTCGGGATGAAGTGTAATCCAGACTCCTTCCTCACGCCTTGTTATCTCAAGTGCGTCTAAATTTAAACTGGTCCGATTTTAAAACAATGTTTTCCCTTGCAGTAGTTGTTGAAAACATCCCCTATTTATTTTGGATGTCCAGCTGCACTTAAGTGTTCTGGTGCAGTTTTTTTTTTTAATTAATTGTATTTTTACTTTTCTGGACTTTCTATTAACTCTAAAATTACAACACTAACGGTACCTAGTATTGTCGAAAACACAAGAACAAAAACAAATGAAAGTGTGCAGAATTTGAAAAAGAAAGCAAAACCGTTAACCTAATTAATTTGTTGTATATATGAACTCTGCAACCAACAAATTTTTGACCCACAGTTGTGTTTGACAGACAAATGAAGAAATCTCTTTCTGAACGTGATGTTTTCCTCAGTTTTCATCCATTTCTGATCTTTTAAAAAAATGTTTCAGTTGACCAAAGCAGTGAATCACATTTTTACTGATTCTCTGGCTGTTAGATGCAACTTCCAGCCTGTTTGAAGCAAGCACTGAGTGACCGTTGGTTCCAAACGTCTTTATGTTCACCGGACCCAATCAATTTATTGAAGATAATCTTTCTTTCCTCATGAATGTCACATGTGCTTTGTTCCTAGTTTTGCATCATTGCTTCTGTTTGATCTGTTGTCTTTTCTTTGTTGTTTTTAACCAGACAAAGAAGAGCGGTAAGGCGGGCCCGTTCCTGCTGTCCGGCTCCAGAGACAAAACCATCAAGATGTGGGATGTTAGCATCGGCTTGTGCCTTATGACACTGGTGAGGGGCCGTCTTGGGCTTAACCCCTTTTTTACTTTCTTCATGTATGTTTAAGTGTTTACCAGGCGTGTGTTTGTCTCGCAGGTCGGCCATGATAACTGGGTGCGTGGAATCCTCTTCCACCCCGGAGGCAAGTTTATTGTGTCCTGTGCAGATGACAAGACCTTAAGGATCTGGGACTACAAGAACAAGCGCTGCATGAAAACCCTGTGTGCCCATGAACACTTTGTTACCTCTCTGGGTAAGCAGCGGCCCCCTCCTACTCCCCCCAATAAAAAGCCTTGTTTTTGTTTGACCAGCTTGTCTCCCGAGGAACCTCGTCGAGCCGGTTTCACAAATATGTGCTCTAGCCAGGGGTTGAATAATGGTAAAGGAGCCCCGTGCTTCCACCACGGTGCGTTCCCTGTCCTGGGGGTTGCTGGCAGCTGGGGTTTAGGAGGTAGACGAGCGCTCCAGAATTTGTCCGCCTCCCCCCTCCGTGTGTTTGCGGCTTTTCAGCAGATCAAGGCTGGGTAACTCTCTCGAGGAGCTCTTCAGCCAACTTTTCCTTGGCAAGCCGTTTGAAACCCAGTCCTCTTAAATCCTAGTTCAACCATAGAGGATATCGCTGTAAGCTATTGATGTGATGAATTCTGGAGCGAGGTGGAAAAGACAAAGCACCTTTTTGTTTTGAAATCATTGAGAGGAAAAATGTATTTCCCTCATTTTAAAAGGCGTTGTCCTAAGTGTGTGCATATAAACACAATAACAAGTAGCTTCTCCAAAGGTGTTTGCATTCTGATTTTAAATAGTCTGATAATCTGAATTGCTATTTGTTTATTCATAATCCAATCTGCAGTAAACTGGTCCCACCCAGTGAGTCACGTTGCTCCTGTTTACCCGCATCAATCTCATCCACACTCTCCATTTGTCTTGCAAATTCTAGCTATTAGTTTTTAAAAATCATAAAAGACAATTTAAATGAATTTGTCATTTTATTTTTTCTCTCCTTCGCACTGCAAGTAAATGGCCTTATTCTTCATCGCGAATCACTAGAAAAAAATGAAGATGTGGACAAAGAATCTTATTCTGCTCATTATCTGTACAATCCCAGTATTCCCTGCCTACATACTGAATATTTGACCATTTCCAACAATACCATTGCTTTAAAATGGTCTTAAAAATTCAAACGGATATTGAAGTGTGACGGTCAATAAACTGCAAGCTGCGTTACTGAAGCCTGACAGCAGACCGCTGTTGTCACCAGACAGACGGTTGTTACCGAGCTGGAACCTTACCGTGCGTCCGCTCTCACCGTTATCTCAGATAACTGAGCAGCATCTCACAGACGTGTTGGATTGAAATGTTTTTCCGATCTTTTGTTGTGACGACCTCTTTTGTTTCTCCTCCAGATTTCCACAAGGCTGCTCCCTACGTGGTCACTGGGAGTGTAGATCAAACAGTAAAAGTGTGGGAGTGCCGCTGATCTGGACCTCCAAGGATTGGACCATCACCTCCAATTACCCCCTCTTGCAATCCAGCCTCCCCCTCTCCCTCTCCCTCTCCTCTCGCCTCCTCTCCTCACCTGAATCTCATCCTCATCTCCGGCTGCACTTACCACCATGGTTATTTACCTATCGCGCTCTCTGGTCCAATAACTATTGTCCTTCTATGTAAATTATTCCTGGATGTAGATCGCGCTATTAAATGTTACACAAAAAAGTATTCTTGCATGGTAATCCAAAATTGTATACTGTAAATTTACATAACGTCTAGAAGTACCATAGGTTTACCACAGGGCTGGCCGTCTGTCACGCAGCCTTACCAACCAACCGAAGGCAGATGTTTTTGACTGGGTGTAAAATGTAGGGCACTAAAACCCCCATAATTTAAGAAATGACAGTGTCTTTATGTGTAAGATTTATTTTGTCTATTTTTTTATTTAGGATTCTTTTTTTTCTTTCTGTAATTTCCCTCCTTCACTGTCGTAGTCTGTTGGTGCCTAGCTTGGTGAAACTTTCAAGAGACGAGGCTGGAAACGCATATATGATAAGATACGATCGTGTGTGTGTGTGAGGCTTTGTTATTGAAATAATCTCTAGCTTTATAACATCACTTCTCAAGTGTGCATACCATTTCTCTTCATGTGGAACTAGGTAATATTTTAATGCTGTACATACGAATACTTCAAACTGTTGTCCTTGGACCTTGGGGGCTTTAAAAACCAGCTTTGTACTCTTGTCATGGTAGCACATGGACCACTGCTAGTTAAACCATCCCATTTAACAAAGCTGCAGCAAGGAATGGAAAGTTTAAATGTATAAAAGTGGCTTTGTGAATAACCAAACTTCACAAGGAGCGCCAGGTTAGATACCTGATCGATCTCGAGCACTCGATCTCGAGCACTCGACCTCTGGTGACGGACCGAGTGCGACGTTCCATGTGAGACTTTTGTTGAATCCAAGCTTCTGTCCGCCCATAGTCCCCCGCCCGGTCCGTGTGGGTGCGGCTCCGGTATCCCATAGGAATTATGTAGAGCCAGAAGAGGCTCTGTTCTATGAAGGCCGCAGTGAGATAATCCCCCGTAAGAGAAAACGTAAAGGCACGATAAGGAGTCAAAGTGAGGCCCCTGGGTTTGATATCTGGGATGTGCAAAGACCTTTGTTTCTGAGGGGTAAAATATATGTTCTGCCGGTTTTGAGTAAAAAAAGAAAAGGAAAAAAAAGTTTTCTGTGAAAATATAAAATTTAGCTTAACAGATTTGGCAATTTTGTATTATCTCACTAAAGGATTAAGTGGATGGGAATTTAGGATTAATGAGGAAATGCTAGCAGCAGACATGCTGATTGGTCTGTGGGTGCCGTTTTGTCCGATGCGGAGGTGTTTGTGGCTTTTAAAGAGCTCACTGTAAAAAGAGGCCGTGGCGGCTCCAGGATCAGCAAGGATCTCCACCGGCAAAACCCCACAGATCAACTCACACCAGTGCAAACGTCTTCTGAGTGGCTTTCCTCAAATTTCAGCTTTTGATCTTTGTGGAGCTGTAACAGGAAGGTCACTGTAAACCAGTCCGTGCTGTAGAAACGACCATTGCACTCCCCTCGGAGGACGACACAAAACAAAACATCTTGCTTCTAACTAGCTGACAAGGTGATTCATTAATCTTGCACATCCCTGTTTTCAATTAATCTTTGGTCTTTTAATGACGACCAAAGGCAACGTTGAGATTTACTGATGTTGATAAATGCATAAACGTATAATTTCTGATTTAGCCTTTTCATTCCAATGCAGTTGTTGGCTAATAAAGAATTCCACTGCTGATCATCTTACCTTTGCTTTTTTGCCACTGTTTCCGCTTCCTGCGTGTCCTGGATGTGGTGATCTGCTGGTGGCTCCTGTGAGCCGGATGTGACCTGTTGCTGCAGAACTCTTATTTCAAAGATCTGAAGTGTCTGATCCCATTACAGGCCAATTGGTTTGGACAGCAAGGGGAAGTCGCTGAGCGATACCACAAAGAATATCGATACCACACCAATGTATGAATTGAAGCCGATAAGCGTAGCTTCGCATCAATGTTAAAACCTTGGGATGAAGTAATTATTTGGAACACCTGCATGATTAAGTGCACAAAAGTGCCACTTTGAATCTTGTTTGCCAGAGATGTCTTTCAGTAAGAGTAAGCATTGAAAAGGGTTTTATTAAGACTTAAAAATATTGTATTGTCTGAGACCAATACTGATTACTCAACTACAAAGAGGCTACAAAGATGGGAAAGCTCTCCTCGCTCTTAGCAACAAAACCACTTGTGCTGGAACATTGCAAATTCATCCATCCATAAAACGTCTAAAAACTGCTTTTATTTCTGGACAGAACTTGTGAACGTATTATTGGATATTCTTTCTCCAGTAAAACAATGTTTGAGTCATCTTTCCTCGCTTCAAACCCAACCCTAAGCGGAGACGTGTACTTCCCGAGACATCACGATGTTCCTCTTGCATTGCTCTGGCCTTTGTCTTCAGGCTCGATGAGTGCAGACAGCTCGGCTCATTGGTCGTAGAAAGGCTGGTTTTGTTGTGTTTGGGTGTATCTCCTTCCCTGTAAAGGAAATGAGGTTGAGGCAGTTTTTTAGCCCAATTTGGCATGAATAATGAAGATGGCTACATGTTAAATGTTCTAGCTGAACAAGCTAGAGACGTTCCGATAGTCTCCTCAGGATCATACTATGACATGCCAGACCATAAAATGTTAATGGATAACCTATTCCTTTCCTTGGTTCTACCTAAGGAGGTGATTAATGGAAGGTCAGGATGATGTGTGATCTAATTCTTTTGTTACAATTTCTTTGGCACATTTGCGCCCCTATGAAGAAAATGTCCTTTACCCCATTCGCAGGTCCCAAGCAACCCCTGTACTGTCCCGTGGTGTGTGAAGGGGCTAACGGACATGTTCTGTCTGTGGGTCGTTTCCACCTGGTCATTGTAACCCGCCTGTGAACCACATCCAAGGGTTTCACACTGGTTCCTGTAGGAGAGCTTGTGATGTTTTCGCCACTAGGGTCTCACTCTTCACTCAGAAAACTGTTAACAATATCCTTGGATGTCATCATTGTTTGCAATACAATAAAATAAAACATCTGCATTGGTATTGTTTGTTATTATACCGAAGGGGAAGTTTATCATATTGGGGATAGGATGGATCAAGATATTTATACGTTCTGCATTTACCATAAAAATGTCACGACAAAAGGAAGGTCCATTAAAGCGTATATGTGTCAATAAAACAAAGCAAAAATGTTACATTACATGTCATTTGGCTGACGCTTTTGTCCCAAAAAATAAGTGCATTTCAATCATAAGGATACAAACTCAAAGGAACAAGACACAAAGTGCAATTCCTTTAAATAAGCTGATTTACAACAACTTGCAATAAAACAATAACAGTGAAGATTATTAAGAAAAAAGTAAATTAATCACAGATAAACAGACAGCTTGCAATAGTGTTTATGATGTGGAAAAACAGTAAAATTACTTTGTAAAAGAGATAACGGAATAAACAAATATTTATATTTCCATATATATATATATATATATAGAAAAAAATAGAAATATATATATATAAAAATAGAAATAGATATTCAGAATAAAAATAAAAATTAAACAAATAAAACGAAAAATAAAATGAAAATAGTAAAGTAAAAGAAAGTTGCACAGTAAATGAAGATAGAATGAAATAATATAAAGTAATGCCAGAATGATCTGAACCTCGTTTTTAATGACGTCAGCACGCACTGGCGTAAAGCGGTGACGTCGCAAACAACCAGGAAGAGAGAAGTGCACAACGTTTAGTCAACGTGAGTTGTGAAAGATTTTTCAACTCAGTCGTTTAGTCCAACAAAGTTACCACCAGTGGGAAAATAATAACACGTTTCCCCGCAACACGGACAATACTACAAAGGTAGGCAGGCAAAAATGGCAGCTACATAGTTAGCTTAAATGTTAGCTAAGTGCTGCAAACTAGCCCTACGCTCCAGTTACAAGAGAGTTGTTACCCGATTTAAAGGCTAACAAAGTCCCATCATTACAGACAATATAATATTATTCCACCCATCAAGAGAAGACCCAGCTGCAGGGAATGTCCGACTAGTTGCCCGCGTTGAGTATCAGACCTAACTATCTAAAAGAGTTAACGTTATTATATCGGTGTTGATGGTAAATTAGCTGTTATCTTTTAATGCCAGCCAAGAATCGACGTGAGCCGATCAGTGCCCCTACCATCGGGATGCTTCTCCTGTCTGTTGCGCCTGTTGTTTGCTCTTAAGTTGACCCTTTTTTCTCTCCGTTTCGCTCAGTGCTGTGATCATGTCTCTGAATAAGTCCATGCATCCCCGGAACCGCTACAAGGACAAACCTCCGGACTTCGGCTACCTGGCCTCCAAATATCCGGACTTCCAGCACTACGTGCACACCAGCCTCGCCGGACGACCCGTGTGAGTACACCAGACATGAGTGTGTCCTCTCGTTCCTCCCTCATCTCTCATCCCAAACCACCGACACGGTGATGATCTGCAAAACACTCCAAACTACCGTTGACTTGAAGTCCTCATCCGAGATTTTGTGTCTCTGTATTAAATGAAAGGGAAGAACCCCCTTTATTGTTTGCCTGAAATCATGTTTGTTAACTTACTTTGCTTCAGTTGTTGTTCATACTTTCAGCGACAGAAATTTCTCAATTGTGGGTTTGCTGCTGCACATGTCGTGGGTCATTTTGTGTCAATAGGTTAACTACCAAACCAACTCCTGAAGAAATATTTAGAATTAGTCCAATGATGTCGGTGGGGGGGTTTCTAACATTACCTACACTGGTTTAATCCCCTCCACGTGGGTAAGTTCCCTCCTTCATGCACCTTGGTAATTAAAGTTGTCGTCACCTTATGTTCCTCTGTGTGATCCGCGTCTCTTTTAAATCCAGTCCGCTGAGACGTCCTTTTATTTTAAAGGGATTCTCTGCTGCTTGTATTCCTAATTTAAACTTCAAACCACAGAAAGCTGGAATCAAAGGTTGGTCCAGTTCTTCTTTTAGATGAGATGTTTACTCATATAGATAATTCTGTTCTCGGGCTGATTATTAGTGTTATAAATGGGTTTTAGGAATCACCATTCAGACTCCGATGCCGTAATGCCACTGGTACTACTACTGTGTTTTATTCAATGTAATTAAAAAAACACCCAAAACGCAACAATTTATCTTGGTTAAATCGGTCAAGTCTTTCAAGCGGGACGTGTCAGCTTGTCATTAAATACAAAATACAAATGTCTGTCAAAACAGCCAAATCCCTCTGATTGTAAGAGCTGACAGTTATTGTAAGACTAGTTTTTGGAGGTGCGCGGTTCCTCCGTCAGGACGGAGCGGCTCTCCTCCCTCTTCGTTTGGGTTTTGTGAAACGGGTACCTCGCCCGCTCGGTGAGGTAATCGCTTGTTATTGTCTGTGTTATGCAGATGAATGCTGACATGGTGTCACTGCAGCAAGTGTGAACATCTGTGCGTGAACGTGAACATATTGGTGTGGGCGAGGTGGCCAGTCAATCATCTTGTGTGCATGTGTGGGCAACGCTGTAAAAGCTCTCCTGGATGTTTGTCTGGGACAGGTGGTAATTATCACGTTGCAATCTGTCGGTGGACAGACAGACAGACAGACGGATGACAAACAATGTGCTGGTCGTGTAAGAGCTGGACAACCAATTTAGACTAACGGGGAAGTAGACAATTAGACAGAAGATGTATGCCTGTTTTTACAAATGTGAAATGACAAAGTACCTGAGCATTGGTGGATCACAGTAAAGCGAGCTGGAGGTCCGGCCCCCCTGTTATTCTTAAAAACATCACATGCAACATGTTCGTTTCCATGAATTAACGGCCTGTGTGAAATAACCACTTGCTAAAGGCTTCTTCTGTATCCAAAGCGTATTAATTACTTAAATACTACAGATGACACGTTCTTCGTTTTATTATTAACAATTATCATTTAAGTCATTTATGAAAGAACAAGGTGAACCATTCCGAGCCGCGCTAGCATCTCTGCAAGGCCGCCGTACATGTGCACCGCCATGGTTTGAGTTTTCACACTTAAGTCTGCATGCTAACATCCTCGAACTGATGTTAAGCAGGAATAATGGTTACCATGGTAACCCAAGAAGTGTTGCAAACACATTTTTTACACCACAAAACATTGTCGATTTCCATTTCTGGTAAAGAACTCTGCTGACGCTTCCTTTTAGAGAAGCAGGTTCAGTTGTACATTAAAGTGAGTGAGAGGAATGAACAGAGGGTTTTGGGTCTCCCTTCAGGCTGCCAGCTCTCGTTAGCTGTCTAAAGAAATGTGGCTCTCCCCCCGTCAGTCTGCCGTTTCATCAGTTGAGGGATTAGTGTGGTTTTGTATTTCCCAATGAATTCATTCAGTATTTAATCGGCGAGTTAGGGATGAGCGTAATCTCGGGGCGACACCTCGGGGGAGAAACGTCTCCCTTCATTCAGCGTCCGTCAGTGTGGAGGACTGATAGCCGGCTGGAGCTCCGCTCTGCACAGGCAGCAGGGAGGAGAAATATGGGGGGGGGGGGATTGGATTTAAGTGAGGAGCAGATAAAATAAATAGTCTGAATTTTGGTTTGTTTCAGTTTTCGAGGGGTGGGGGCTAAGATCAGCCAGTTAGAGGGGTGGGACGTGGAGGTATGAATGGGTATTAAAAAGCAGCCTGACTGACATTTAATTCTGAAAGTCATATTTTTTATCCGATAAGAGACGTTCATCTGTGGAAGGATTTCCAATGGGGTTTCTGGTGAAAAGCTCAAAGGAAAAAGTATAAATGGAGACTGTTAAACACCATTTTCTATATTTTATTTCTTTTTGCTTCGTTTTCTGGGGCAAATGCACCTCAGCCCCTTTACCTTAAATCAACGACCCCCTCCTAACCACCTTTTATTTTTCCTTTTTTTTTTTTTTTCATCTGCATATCTCCAGAATTGCAATAATAACACAAAATGAGCTCATAGAAATCCAAGGTTTAGCTTGATATGTGATGCATTTGGAGGGAAAAAGTCCTGACACAAGAGAAGAAGTCCTGCTAATCAGCACAAAATGTTTTCCCAGCTCACTGAGGATGAAGTAGATGTAGCTTGAAGGTCGTCTCACTGTGTGTGTGTGTGTGTGTGTTTTCATGCTGATCATGTAGCGTGGAGGTGAGAGCAAGCTGTTTGTCAGCAGTAACTCCCCACCGCCCTCCCTCATGTCTTTCTCTACTTCCATCCGAACCAACGGCTTTTCATCTCCTCTTCTTCCCTCTTGCCTCCTCTTCTTCACACCCCGGTCCGACTGTTTGAGCTTAACCCCCCTCCCCCCCCCCACTCTGCCTCCCCAGACCCCAGCACAGTGTATTCTCATCACAACTTTTCATTTGTCCCTCACTGTGTCCCGTCGGCCGCGTGGATGATGTCATCGCGCAGGGCTGCACGGTGCCGACGTACACGTAGCGGGCACTCTCACGCTCGGTCTGGCGTCAGCCATTGCTCCAGCGTGGCCGGATTTGCGTGCTGTCCTCATCTGTTCAGTAGGTGGGGTTGCCATGGCGACGTTCCATTCGCCGTGCTGCCGATGAGAGGGATCGGTCGGCGTTGCACACAAACGCACGACCACATGCACGACCACACGCACGCACACACACACACACACGTATGAGGGACTAAAAATAGAGGGCAGGCGTGAGCAGCTTCTCTCTCTGAATATTGATCCTTATCTAATGATGCCTCAGAGGAGAAATGAAAGAGGGCAGAATATCTGAGCGAGGCGAGCTTTTCAATTTGGGCGAGCGTAATGCTGATGTATCACTTCTCCCTCGTTAGCCTGAATCCTCCCTTTAGCTCAGGCCATTTTGGAATGTGCAAATTTCTCCACCGGTTGGTCTTTTGAAAATGGTCGCACACTTTGAAAGGACAGAGCAGGTTGTCCGTTCTCCTCCCGGAGGTCACAACTTGTTTGGCCGCTGATTAAACTGGACCATTAGGCTAATACGTTCATTAGGTGAGGAGACACAGGGGGAGATTGATGTCGGTCTCTACAGGTGAACCGCTGCTCGTTTTGGATCCCTCTCACACGCGGAGCGTCTGCATCACTCCCGATTGAAGACGCGTTCAGAGTAAAATGTGAAAATTAATATTTTAGAATGTAAAAAACAACAAAAAACACAACAGCGGCAGAGGCCCGACTGTCTGCTTAGCGCGCCTGACTACTGACTGTATATTGCATGAATAAAATAGACTAGATCGGCTACAACAGCTTCGTGCACTGCTTTGCTTATTTGCCATTTCATGCCAAGGAAAAGTTCCGTGTTTACCAGCACAGCTCACTCGGAGCGTTCAATGTCGGTACTGTAAAACCTTCAGTTTCAATCACTGAAGCCTGACATATGTGGGACAAGAATAGCGACCTTAAATTGCTTGCAGAAAACTCTTCATCAGCATTTGTTTATTGTTGTTGTTCATTTAAACGGCATTTGAACAGCGAGAGCGAGCGAAAGAGAGTGCGTGTGTGTGAGCGAGACGTCTGCGGTCTTGGCCGTTACTTATTTTTGTGCAGGTAATATTTTGTTAAATATTTTTAACTTAAATAAATTACCTGTACAAGTAGTTTTGTCTCGTTGTATTAATTTGTCCTGTTATTGACGTGTCTAATGCACAACCAGATATTCAAATATATTTGAATATTTGAATCTGTGTTTTTTTTAAAGCGAATATTCAAACGTCCTTTTTGAGCAATTTTGACAGCCCTAGGGGAGAAAGAGGTGGATCAAATCCACAGCCAGAAACCTTGTGGCCCTCTGTCTGTGTTTGTATGATAGCCTCTCCTCTGTGGTTCAGTTCAGTTGGTTTAAGGAATAAAATTGCCTTCTCTCCTCTGCCACTTCGGTCCACACAATCTCAATTTACGGTCATCAGTTAATTAAAAACAAGAAGCCAATTGTGTAGATAGAAAATAGAAAACAGGAGCAATCATCAATTTAAATTCAATTTTGCGTGTTATGAAATATCATCAAAGAGGAGCTGAATACGGAGAGGAAAACATTTCAGCTATTTGCGTGTAATTGATTTACGGGAGAAAATTCAAACCAAATCAGATGTCGGCTGCTTTGCGTCTCACAGATTTAACTCCAGCAGTAAATTTTATTCATTTTGGTGCTCACGCCGCACCGGTGAGCCGCCAGACGCTGCCATCACCGCGACGTGTCTAATTACATCTGCCGGGGTGCGAAAGCGCTCAGCTAAAGCTTTAATTACACCCATCTCGCCCACTCGTCCTGTCTGCCGCACTCGTGCCCCGCCTGTGTGACAGCTGAAATCCTCCCAACGACGAGTGGGACCGAGGACGGGGAGTAAAAATAGTGGGAGGTCTTTGCCATGTGGAAAATGTCATTGTCATTAGAAAGGGATGGTTGAATTGATGGGCTGCTTATCCCCCTATATTGTGTGCGTGTGTGTGTGCGTGTGCGTGGTAAAGAGGTTCAGTGCAGAGAGCAGCAGGCTGGAGGAGCGGAGGGTTAATGAAGTGCAACATTAAGAGCAGATTGGCAAATTACTGGCAGGTCGCCTCATTGATGAAACAAGAGGATGCCACTAAATTGAAACCGTCCTCAAAGAGAAAATTGTGCTTTTAAGTAACATTTGGTTTGAGTCTTTGATCACTGTTTCTATCAGGGTAATTTTATTATATTTTATTTGGAAGAGAAAACAAAGGCAAATTATTCTAAACTTCAATCCCAAGGGCTGGAAATGTTTTAACCCTTCTTTTAGATAACGCCACCTCACGTTTAATTAAACAAATGTACATAAAGCAATTGTTTTAACACACATTTTTACCAAATACAAAAATCTTGAAAAGTGAATTGCTCTTGTTCAAGAGACGACGAAAAGTTGTAAATAAAAGGTTTATACTCAAAATGCATTCCTATTCAATCATAGATAACAGTTGGAATAAAAGCCCCAAATAGCAGAATTAGCCCCAGGTTTTAATGGACCTGAACACAAAGTCACTCCGGGTTGCTTCTTGCTCCTCTAGTGTGAATTTCAAAGAGCCGGAGGCGGTGCGAGCGCTGACCTGCACCCTGCTGAAGGAGGACTTCGGCCTGACCATCGAGATCCCTCTGGAGCGCCTCATCCCCACCGTCCCCCTCCGCCTCAACTACATCCACTGGGTGGAGGACCTCATCGACGGCCAGAAGCAGCCACGCAGGGGCATCGACATCGGTAACCACCGCCTCCACCTTTCACTGTGTGCGCGATTGCTTGACTTTGGTCATCGCCCCGGTGAAGGTCCTGCAAATACATCAAGCTAACCTTTCATGTAACTTGAGGGAAGAGAAACACGAATGACCCCGTTTTGTTCAACCGATTGTCCCCCAGTAAGTTTACATTTGAGACCCCGGCTCTTGTTTATTCAGCGTGTGGCTTCCAGCAGCTCAGTGTAGCACACAAAATGTCACTCGGTGCCTCCAGCTGGTACACACACACACACACCAGTCGTTCCCAGTGCTCACCAGCCAAATCCTCACCCACGTGTCCCTGCGTGTTTGACGCGCTGTCAGAGAAAAGGCTGTTGTGTGTGTGTGTGTGTGTGTGTGTGTGTGTGTGTGTGTGTGTGTGTGTGTGTGTGTGTGTGTGTGTGTGTGTGTGTGTGTGTGTGTGTGTGTGTGTGGTAAGGGCAAGAGGGGGGCTCCTCTTTAGGACCTCAGGTCACTGATTGATGACCCTGAATCTTTCTGTAAGCAGATTGAAGCCGTCTGCTCCCTGATGGATCACCACTGGGTGTTTCCTTCACTAACCGGTGGTCAATGAGCCATATGTGGAGGATTTAATAACAGCTGCTGGAAGTGACATTTATTGTTTATTATAATCTCTTTACTGTGTACTTAAACAACATATTTACCATATTGGCCAATGAAACGCATAGCCATTCATCTTCATAACAAACACACATCCTCAAGCTGCCACACTGTGTGTGTGTGTGTGTGTTTTCTCAGGCACTGGTGCGTCTTGCATCTACCCTTTACTGGGAGCCACGATGAACGGCTGGTACTTTCTGGCCACAGAGGTGGACGACATCTGTTTTGACTACGCTACGAAAAACGTTGAGCAGAACAACATGGCCGACCTCATCAAAGGTGAACGCGTTCCACTCGTTTTTAAACTGTTCTCTGAACTAACTGAGCTGTCGTCTATGACGATGGTAGATGCCAAAATGTAGAGGGACATCATAAAGAAAACATGAGTCAAAGGCTTGCTGCTGATTAGCCATTAACACCATCTACTGCTCATAATGTGAACAATCTTTCCAAAGGCCGTGGAAGGCCTTTGGTCTTTTTCCCGAGAGACGTTGAACTTAACTAAATCTCTGCGTGCCTCCGCTTTCCTAGTGGTCAAAGTCCCTCAGAAGACCCTGCTGATGGACGCCTTGAAGGAAGAGACGCAAATGGTGTACGACTTCTGCATGTGCAACCCGCCGTTTTTCGCCAATCAGCTTGAAGCAAAGGTTAGTGTTCCTTAAGCGTTTCTTGTCCTGCACATTGAGATTCAAAACAGACCTTGTTGGACGTGAGTCAACGCTGCACTGGTTCGCTGTGTTTGTTTGCACAATAGTACCAGGCTTCTAATAGGATTTGATCCTAATCTGCCTCAGTAATGTCTGTCTTTGCTGCTCCCTCCAGGGGGTGAACTCCAGGAACTCACGCCGACCTCCTCCGAGCTCCGTAAACACGGGCGGAGTGACGGAGATCATGGCGGAGGGGGGGGAGCTGGAGTTTGTAAAGAGGATCATCCACGACAGCCTGCAGCTCAAGAAGCGCTTGCGGTGAGATGAAGACCTGCAGAATCAAACCCCGACTAGAACATGTTCTTTTCTTCTGTTTGCAACTCAGTGGCCCATTCGGGGGGGGACAGGTGTGGGGGGGCTACCGCTACGTATCTGGTTGAACGAGAGCAGCACACATTGGTTCCCTTCGGAGAGGCCTGGCTGCTGAGAGCAGCAGGGAGGGGAAATGTGCACCTGCCCCCCCACACCCTTAATGATTCTGGCACGGGCTCATTGCTCACCGCCCTGCACCGTATCCGGGGGACCACTGGGAACAGCTGCGTGTGGGCCGTCACTCTACCCCCCCCCCCGTCACCACGGTTGTCGCTGGGGCAGCGGGGCGAGTCGCGGAGAGGTGGAGCTTGTTTAAGCTGATTAGACGTGTCGCACGTGTGTTTGTGGGCGTCTCGACACCTGCCGGCTCCCGCGCTGCCGTCCCGCAGCCGCTGTTTTCAAACGGGTCCGATGCTCAGGCCCGAACCAACCGGAGCCGAGTTGTCACTCTCCAAATGCACGCTGGGGCCACTGAGACGCCGGGTGTCCATGGAAACCCTGTCAGCTTCGGCGTTTGGCCCTTTGAGACGTCCCCAGCGCTCCCGCCCCCGCTCCTCCTTCCCTCTTTTTTTCCCCCACTAAAGTGTAATTAGTGTCAGATCGGTGCACGGCACTTTACCTCCCGGTGCAACACGCATCAAAAGCCCGGTTAGAAATGGGGTGATACTCTGTATTTATCATGCTATTGATATGAAAATTGCCATCTCTGCTAATATGATTGTAATCACGCATGCTTCAGCAAATGTGGAAGCCGGTGCAGCTGCACACTCCAGGATGTTTGAAAGGCTGCCGGGAGCTGCGCCGGGTGTTTCCCCCCCCCCACTGTGTCAAAGTGGGAAACATCTGTGAATATTAGAGCTGTTCAATATTTCATTTTGTCAACCGGGGCTGACATGTTGCTTTTTTCTCCCCATCACCCCCCTCTGGGATCTTCAAACCTCCCTAACCTGATTACAAGTCCCACTCCTCCCTTTGCAGTTCACAAGTAGAAACCCATTTTAAGATGTCATTTCATCTGCAGTTGTTGAGTGTGACCATAAACCTTTTTTTTATTCATGAACATGGTTATTTACATGAGCCTAGGTTTTTTCACAAGGTAGAGACCTTCCAAGCCCCAAAAACAGAATCTTGGTATCTTATCCAGAGGGAACACGCGGCTTTATCTCTGATGATTAATTGTGCTGTCCAGAAAACGGACACAAACGGACAAAAAGTCACAATTTTTTCAAATAAATATATTTAATTCCCCTTTGAAAAGCCACTCCGATTAGTCATCAGTGTTCAGGGAAAACTCAGCGAACCGTGACTTGTTTGTGAAGATTGACCAGTCTGACTGGTGTGTCCGTGCTGCCCGTCTGGACTCTGCTGCTTATTGATCAAGACACACTTTGCGTCTTTATTGCACAGCAGAGACTATTGATCAGGCCTTCACCAAGGGACATCTTCAAAACAGCTTTTCCTCCTCTCTTCACTGCACACATACACTCACGCCTGCTTTTCCTTTCTCATGTTTTTCTTTTTCTTTTCGTGTTTGAGTCTCTCTCCAAAGTCCGCCTGGGCTCGTTTGATCTCTGCTCGGTAGTTCGCGCTCGCTGAGGCGGCTGATACGGATTCTTCTCTCTGCAGGTGGTACAGCTGCATGTTGGGGAAGAAATGTAGCTTGGCACCTTTGAAAGAGGAGCTGAGGAAGCAAGGGGTGAGTACAAGCCGAGGCAAACGCGCACGGCGCATCTGCACCCCGCAGCTTTTCATCTCTCGGCCCGCTCATGCGGGAAGGTGCCCCCTTCTGCGGCGGGCCTCGATAACGGCTTGTTAAAACAATCTTTGCCTACGAAATACAGCTCATCAGCTCTTCCTAATTTGCCCATGTTAGCGACGCATAACTCGTCACATAGATGCAGGTAACGTGCGTCACCGTCATTAGGCTTCACTAATAGCACATGACTCCTGGCTGCTGCAGGCCTCTGGTCGTGTGTGTGTGTGTGTGTCCCCTCACATGCTCATAGGACCTACTCCACCTGCCATCCCCGGAGGCTCCTCCACAGGTTTTTTTTTGGGGGGGGGGGCTGCCGCTGCTCATCAGAGTGAGTGCAGCTTTGGCTCACATCCAGAGAGGAGACTGATGCCTCTTTTTGAAAGTGTGTGTAAACAGAAACCCTGGGCTAGTTAATATGCTAATGCTTTAATCACCCATTACTCCATCTTCTCTCCAGTGTCTCCGACTCTCCTTGCGTGTGTGTTTTTTTTTTTTAATTTAGCAAATGCGTGTGTCTCAAATAAAGAGCATTCTGGCCTTCATCTTAGTGACACTCCTCCACCTCATATTTACAGAGGCAGTCCCAAGGGACGCCTAAAGTTCTGTGTTAGCGCAAGGGAAGGTTTTCACACCACGTCACGGGTCTTTATTTTCTTTACCAGAGATGTGGATCTCACAGAAGCCAAAAGTCAAAGCGGGAAAGAACATACGACCGGTGCATCTAAGAAAAAGGCTATAATAACACTGTTGTTTCCAGCGCGTTTCCTCCCGTAGGATAAATGCTACTCACAGAGAAAAGGAGTTCCCTCCTTTTTGACTTTTTGAAACCTCCTTGAACACGTTCACAACATCGTATGAAATAAAACCATCATATCATTTAATCCAGAAGCTACTAGTAGAGGTGGATCAGATGCTTGACCAATTGTGATCTGTTTCACCGCTCATCACTTTGCAAGTAAACTGATTCATCTGCTGTACGCAGCAAACAACATGCTGATCACGTCTAAACTTATTTTCTTTTGTCTCTCAGGTACCGAAAGTAACGCACACAGAGTTCTGCCAGGGACGCACCATGCGGTGGGCGCTGGCTTGGAGTTTCTATGACGATGTGATTGCTCCCGTAAGTCTGAGATGATTTTATTTGCACACTTTACACTCAACAAATAGCTGGATGGTGAAATTCAGTACCAATGTGCATTGATTACACCAAAAAATGGACTTGTTTTGGTTCCAGCTTTCAATACTTGACGGTAATCTCAACAATCTCGGCCATTTCGGTGCTTAAAGTGGATATTTCCAAAACCCCAAAACCGCCTCCTCAATTATGTACTACCTCCATCCTCTCGCCCCTCTCCACACTGATCCTCTCCCCCTCCAACTCCGTCGCATTAGCAGCACTTACGCTTCTCTGGGGAATTGTTTATGTGGGGGGTTTTCCATACTGTATCCAGGCAACAGTTGCCAGGGCAGGACTGTGTGCATGCACACCTCACCGTTGTCCTGCCCGGACCGCGAAGTAGCCCCAACCGTTAAAGGACACTAGAAATGTTGGAGTGCCGGCGGATTAAAAATGGGGGAAGGTGGAGGCCGTCAAAAGAGGCTGTGTGATGACAGCAGTTTGTGTTCAGATGGACTCTCTCTCTCTCTCTCTCTCTCTCTTTTTGGCTTTTTCAGCATAAAAGCAGTTGTGCAGAATGATTGGCCTACTTTTTCTCATGCAACTCTCACAGACCCCTCAAGTGCGTGTGTGCGTGTGTGTGTGCGTGTGTGCGTGTGTGTGTGCGTGTGTGCGCGTGTGCGCATGACAGTAGTTTCTGCTTGTGTTATTCCGTCTATGCTTGGCTGCCCAATCCGGCCTGCACGTGTGCACCTATGGCCGTCTGGAATGTATGTATGCATGGGTGCTCATTAATGTTCCATACATATGTGACACGGATGCTACAGCGACCTACTTCAGCCTCTTAGAACACGTCACCTTGCAAAGCGCTACTGCTCTGTTGTGACTTCATTCGACCACATTCGACAACGGCACAAAAAAGAAAAACAAGGATCTGAATCAATCGCTTCATCTCGCACCCCAGACGTCCTCCGAACACAACTGGGTAGAAATGGACCGGAGTTCATAACCATTCAGTGTGTTTGCAGGTCTTTGGTAGTACGACTGCATATGTGAATATGGAGATGTGTGGGGACTATAACCTCCTACAAGGCTTTATCAGCCACTGCTAGCATTAGATACCCAAACTGTCCGCGGTTAAGTGGCAAGTGGTAATTTGTTGAACAAAGAGGACGATATCTCGTTGGTTGGTTGAAATTATTTGAATTCCATTGTGAGTCGGTTGTTCTAGAGTCACAGAAGCTCTTCAAGTTCTTTAAAATATTTTATTCTGTCGTATTGCTTTATACTTATATATATTTATATAAGATATTCCCATTAGCAACGAAGAAATTTGGACTGAAGCGAAACAATTTGCAGATAAATAAATCCATCAGAAACAGACAAAGGGGAAGAGACTGCGGACGGGGAGATTGGAGCAGGTGGAGTCAGAACAGACGGAGGAAACAAGGCTTTATCTGCGCCTTGAGGCGTGTTGTTACTCATACAGGCCTCTGGCGGGAGAGGGTTCATGAGGGGGCAGGAGTCCATGTGGGGGGGTGAGTGTATGATTTACAATTTCTGCCTGAAGCTTTAATACGCTACGTTTTGTTTTTGTATGTGAGCCCACTCACCATCACGATGGATGATTGAAAGACACGTCCTTGTTGCCGGGCTTTTAAAATTAGGCTGGGCTTTTATTAGGGAGGGGCTGTAATTCACACACTTTATGTGTGTGTGTCTGTGTGTGTGCGAGCGGGCGGGAGACCATGCAGTGAGGTGAGAGCGCGTAAGTAGGATAAATAATAGAGTGAAAGAGTCTGGAGTGGAAGTGATTCTGTGTGTGATATCGCACACACGTGGCTCCCGTGTGCTCTTTGTCCGAGGCGCTCTCTGTGTCCGTGCATTTTGGCTGCGTGTGTGTGTGTGTGTGTGTGTGTGTGTGTGTGTGTGTGTGTGTGTGTGTGTGTGTGTGTGTGTGTGTGTGTGTGTGTGTGTGTGTGTGTGTGAGAGTGCGAGTTCATTCACTAATGTGTTTGCGCAAGAATCTGTGTCAAGGATGCCGCGTACAAACAGGCCGGTTCGGCTTGATGGATTTTTATTGATTTCCTTTCCTCCAACAATGAGCTGCAGGGCTCACGGAGGGTGGAGGAGAAACGGGGGAAACAATAAGAAAGAAACCCACTCGCCCCTCCTACATGCACCATTATTTCAACAACACATCAACACATAATCCAGATTGATTTATTGGGAGTGAAGACGTTCCCTTTTGTCCAATCCAGCACATGCACGGCTGTGAATTTGTTTGTCAGACGTTATACTGATTCCTGTTATTCTAAAGAGCGTCTGCAGAAAGACAACACGCATGACTCCATGTGCTGCGTTTAAAAGTGATCAGAAGTGCACACGGAGCAGCGCATCAGTGTGAAGGTCACAGTCTGCTCCTTCCCTCAGCTGTTTGTAGGTCAGTCGGCCATTCTGTCTGCTCTGTCACAGTAGAGTGCCCCTTCCCCTCCCTCCCCCCCTCTCCCTGCCTCTGGCCGTCTCCCCACTTTCAGTCGGCCTGCAGTCACATGCCAGTGCAGCTCTGACTTATTTGCTGCAGTGGACTTGAAGGGTACGATGTCGGCGGAGCGTTTAATTCTGACTCGGTTGGGTAATGACCTCCACCGCCATCCCAGCGTGGGGTGAGAGGTGGGGGAGAGGGGGGGGGAGGGGTGGGGCAGAAAGAAGCACCGGGGTTCTACTCACTGGTGGGGGTGCCGTGTGGTTTGAGCGCCCTCTTGTGGTGCGTGAGGACCCTCCACCTTCCGTTTGACCTTCGATGCTCATCACAGCTAAACGTAGGAGCTCACGCGACGAGTCTGCTGCTGATGTCACGGGTCGTCACGGATGCGTTTTGTAAATGACACGTTGTCCTGGATGCCTCGTCTCGAACGTCCACTCGTGAAATAGAATTTGTGACATTCGGGAAAGAGGCATGTGCAAATTTGTCAGATCAGGCCCTGAAAGACTAAACATTATTATGGGAAAAATGCTTAAATATTTAATAGAGACACTGGATTCACAGTCTGGCTGCTTTTGTTGGAAAAGAGACAACGTTAGTGAGATAAGTAGCCAATTCGTCATGGGTTGGTTTTCCTTCAGTCCTCTCCAGCCGCCGCTGATATATATATAAATACTAGTTTGTGGTTGGGTATATTTCTTAGCCTTTACCAGTGAGCAGAGAAACAATGGAGGAATAATGGATGTGGTCTCATTTGTACACACAACCCTTTTTCATGTATTGTTCCTGTGGTCTTCTGGGGCTGAAATCACAACTAAACATGGCTTCCCCACTGAGGCGCTTACCTGTGGTTCTGCTTGCTCTCAGATATCTGGCATGTACGATTTTCCTTTTGTCTCTCTGCCGTGAAGCTGCAACTTTGAAGCGCCGCCTGGTTCTGGACGTGGTTGAAGCTAGAAGTTTTCCTTTGGAGCCCGTCTGGCCGTCTCTGTAGCGGGAAGCGGTGGTGGTTCTGAGCAGCTTGCAGAGAAACTCTCGTCCCACAGCAGCGGGAGTCCGACAGTCCGCCGTGGCCTTTGCTCCCCTGCAGGGGGCGCAGCTTCACGCCTCGGCGTCAGACCCTCGGCCCCTTCCTCCCCCCGCCGGAGCTTCTGGTTGAAGGTGGAAGGACAGTTTTGAGAAGTCTGGCGGCCCTGCGTGACACCACCAGATTTTGACGTGGAATCGGACAGCGATGCAAATAGAAATACATAGAAATAATGAAATATCTTCACTCTGGTCAGATCGACTCAGTATTCAACTGACACTGTTTCATAACAAAAAAACACGGCCTCAAAGAAACATTTCATCTTTAGAAATACAGACTGCGGATGTTTCTACCGTGTTGTGTTTTGTGCGTCAAAATCCCGAACACGCTGCTAAAGACTAGCTTACTTATTTCCTCCGTCTCTCTCTCTCTCTCTCTGGTGTCTCAGTCTCCTCCCAGTAAGAAGCGCAAGCTGGAGAAGGTGAAGAAGCCGCTGTCGTTCACGCTCCCAGAGGCAGGACTGAAGGAGCTGCAGGTCAAGGCCTCGGCTTTAGGCGGCAAAGCCCGCGGCCCGGTGGACGCCGTCGCCGCCCTGCTGGAGAAGACGCTCTGCGACCTGCGGGTAAGCTGCTGCCACCATTCTCCTCAATCTCTGACTCTGCAGAGTCCGAGGCGTTGGTTTGTGACGATTGTCTCGCTCTCCGCAGGTGCTACACAAGCGCGTGCCGTGCACGAAGCAGGAGCAGAGCCTCGTCCTAACTGCTGTGGAGAACACCTGGATCCACGGACGTCAGAAGCGGCGCGACGGGTCGCGTCACTTGCGGGAAGTTCCCAGGGCGCCGCAGGGCGCCGCGGCGAGCTCTCAAGCCTCCTCGACCGCGGCCCCCCAGAGCCAGGGCGAGGACGCCCCGGACGAAACTACGTCCGCACGAGAGGCGACCGGTCGGCCGAGGCCCGATGAGCGGGTTGAAAACGCCGGCCCTTCGTCTTCAAATGAGACGCGGGACCAAGCGGCCGAACGGAAAGAGGCCGTGGAAAACGTGCCAGCTGGAGATGTGGGCGCGGCGTCTCCTGCCTGCGCGGATGCGGTGCGGGAAACGGCGTCACGGGAAACGGCGGACGCGGCGGGCGAGCCGCCCTGCAAGCGACCCGTGAGCCCGGCGGTGGAGCGCTTCCTGTTCAAGTGTCAGCTGAACGTGGTGCCCGAGGAGAGCGACGTGGTGGTTGAGATGCACTGGGTTGAAGGTCAGAGTAAAGACCTGATGAACCAACTGTGCACGTACCTAAAGAACAGCCTCCTGAGGTCTGTCGCAAAGCCCTGAATGCTCTGAAATATTAGCTTTGGTTTCATTATTGAATTTTGTCTTCTGGAGGTATGTTTTCCAGTTAATTAGTAGTTTAAATCACAATATTTGTTCTTGGCCAGGTTACCTTTTCAGGTAGTAAATACTGTATATTGGTGTTTTGTCCTCAGCGTTTTTTAAACATTTGCAAATAAATGTTAACTTTTCTAACATGTTTTCTTCTTCACTGTCACTATCTTTTTACACAATTTATAAAATGTATCCAAATTATCCAAATGCATTGTGGTCCATGCAATCATTTGACTAAAGATGAGGCTTAAAAACCAGGTCAACATGAGTGAGGATTTGTTACACAGCAGCCGTTTGCTGCGTGCTGCTGCCACCTTGTGGTCAATGTGAGGAAACAAGTTCACTACAGTGTGTTGCTCATTTTAAACAGATGTTGAAATGAAGCGTTCCAGAAAGCATCCTTTTGAAGTCCCCAACGTTGGTTTGGTGAACAGCATCATTTCCATGGCAGCGTGTCGGCCCCGTCTGTGGGAACTGCTGCGCGTCAGACGAGGATTTAAGGGCTTTAAAGGCTAAAGGCTTCGCTCACATGAACCACAGCTTTGGTTCCAGCTTTGGTTCCGTCGTGTGCGTTTTGTCAAATCAGGGAAATAGATTTGTTTCGTTATAACTTTAGAAGCCGTTTGATTTTTTTTCTCAATAGAATTTATCAGCAAAATGTGTCCTTTGCCAACACAAACAGTCTTTTTAAAGACCACACAAGTGTTATTTACGATGCATTGAGGAACCAACCGGAGAGCCGTCGCTGGCGGTTTCCTCAGTTTACCAGCAGGATGATTTTATCTTTGACACTTGCATATGTTGTAGTGTGTGTTTGAATGTGTCCCCGATGAAGACGTTGATGGTCCTGCGGTTGTTGGTGCGAAACACGGCGTGTGAGGGACCAGGAGGCTCTCCAGGACATTGATGACATCGTTTGTAGCCCCTTAACTAAACTGAGTCTACAGTGCCTTCCAGAACTATTGGCCCCTTTAGTAAAAATGAGCAAGACAAGAAAAAAAATCATTCATTTTTTTATCCTCAGGAAATCGAACCGTTAACCCCATACCTAACTATTTTTCTCAAAGATAAATGTGCCACAATTATTGGCACCCCTTGAGTTAACATTTTGTGCAGCCTCCCTTTGCCAAGATATCCGCCGTGAGTCTCCTCTTACGATGCGGGATGTGGTTGGTGAACACATGGCACCGGTTCTGGGACCATTCCTCCGTGCAGCATCTCTGCCTATCCTTCAGATTCCGAGGTCGCTGCCTGTGGACTTTCCTCTTCAGCTCATCCCACAGATTATCTTTGGGGTTTCGGTTGGGGGGGGGACTGTGATGGCCATGTGAAAAGCTTTATTCTGTGGTCCGTCAACCATTTTTGTGTCGATTTTGAGGTGTTCTTCGGATCATTATTCTGCTGGAAGGTTCAACCACGGCCCATTTTAATCATGAGATTTTCCAGGGGTGCCGATAATTGTGGCACACGTGTTTCCAGGAAAGATATTTTAAATGTCCTTATTTTTCTTCAAAAATTTCACTTGAATGAAAACGCTAGATTTTTGTAAATATTTTGTGGGAAAGAGCATGAGGATAAAAGACATTTTTTTACAGCCTGTTTTGCTATTTTTTACTAAAGGCTTCCAATAATTTTGGAGGGCATGAAAGGTTATTTAACGCTGGCATTGTTACGACAAAATATGAAAGTAATTGTTTTGTTTGATACTGAAGGGACGCACGCATATAAATAAATCAAAAATAATGTTGAAAATACTGTTTGAAGCACAAAATCAACCTTGATCTGGAATAAAAGCAAGTTTACGTTTGTATTTACCCTCTCCGGCCACACGAGGGCGTAAAAGCAGCATATTTCTGAAGTATAAATGGCATCATTCACCCTGAACATATCAAGAGCTCATCCATCTACATTATAGCTCAAAGTATTTACAGATGTTTATATAATAAGCCATTTGATTTAAAAACTCAAATGTTTCTCTTCTAAAGTAGAAAACGAAATACTTATTAACCAAACAACCATGTGAACAGTTTATTTTACACACAATATACCAGTAGTGACAGGAGTATGTTGGTCATTTTTTGGACAAAGTTATTATCACTGTTATTTAAAAAAAAAAGAAATATTTACTTTTAAAAATACAAAATTGTTGCACTAATGAAAAGATCCTTTCAAATTTTAATAGAAGTGACATCAAAAAGACCAATCACAAGCCACATCAATAAGGCACGAAGGGCATCACAAAATCATCCCGTGGGTGACTTTAGAGCGACGCAGTAAATAGCTGATAAAATCCTGAAACTCCAACAGAATAAATACAAATTCAATCCCAAGTGATGCCAACAAAAGAAGTGGCAGTGGAATGCAGTTTATTTTCACTACCAAGCCAGTGATTGATATCAAAAACAATATCCACTTTTCAGTAAACTCCACACTCATCCCTCTATGCAATCTAATTAGTTTGTTTTACGCTTACACATCCCAATCAACAGTAAAGCCTACTTGATTTACCACCATTTTCATAATACATCAAGAATCGCAGCCACAGCCAGTGGTGAGAAAGAGCTTAGCTTATGTCGTGCAGAAACACACAATACCCTGTGAACAAACACGTGTTCAGTATTTTCACCACATCCTTTTGTGCACCGTGGGGTAATGGAGGGATTTCTTAACGTCCAGGCAAACTTATACATTACATTTGTCCTTCCTCTGCGCTAGACGAGTAGCTTTGAACCACATACGGAGATAGCAGTTTAAAAAATATATATATTTTATTCTATAATGGGATACATATCATTTTAACTGAGACAGGCCTCATTGTTTAAATTTAAAAAACAATCAGTTGGCATACTCGAAGAAATCCATGTGACAAGAGAACAACTATGCATAATGAAATCAATTATACAGCTTGTAAAAAACATTTGAAAAAGTGAGAAAAATAATAAAATAAACTAAATAAAATCTGGAAACCACCAAGCAGCAAAGTCAAGAGTCCAATCCAACTGACATCCATGACGCCACAGCACTTCCTGTCCACAGCTTGGAAAGGCTACTTTAAAAAGGAAAAACAGGCTACACAACTACACAAGGACAACACAGCAGGGGGGGGGGGGCGCGCTACAGTAAAGGGGGCGGCGAGTCTCCAGCCACCTGTCTCCGCTCCCTCACTGAGGTATCTCCCTGCGAGCGGTCGTCTCCATCTCCACGCTGGAGGTGAAGCGCTTGGACAGTCTGCGGCAGTCGTAGCTCAGCTCCGTGGCGTAGAGGGCGCTGGTTTTCTTGGGGTAGACAATGGTGGTGCTCTTGAAGCACTGGGGCCGATGGCGAGGCTGGAAATCCAGCTGTGTCTTGTAGTGGCGCCAGGTGCTGTGGGGCACGGCCACCACGGTCTGCCGGCAGTGTTCGAGGCCCTGGCCCACAGGCCGCAGGGCCACGCCCTGGATGAAGTGGCGGTCCGAGTCGTAGTGCACGGATGAGGTAAATCTGGGAAAGGGGGAACGTGTGAATGGTTTGAAAAAGAAGAGGTAAGCTTCCTGTGCCATCGATCCATTAAGGATCCATTGTTTGTACAAGGACAGGACACTGGCCTTGATTTAAAAAGGCACCGAGATTTGTTTGTTTGCCAGATTATATGGTGCATTTAAATGCAAATGTTGTTGCAACGTCTCGTTTTGTGGAATAAACAGCCATAAACACTTCTCTCTTGTATCCACACTTTGCATTTTGTCTCGATGCATGTGTAAAATCAAAATGCCTGGATGTTTTGTCCCTGAGCGCATCCTGCAGCTGGTCTACTGCTGCACAGATCACAACCCACCTTATTTCCTTGGACGGTAGCGGATCAAGTGCTATGCCTTCCCCGTAGGACAGAGGCTGCAGCTGCTGCAGAGACCCGCAGGGTAAAACTGGAACCTGCAATGATCAACATACAGGGGCCAACACAGTTCAGCGAGGAAGTGGCCCAATTCTCTGGCAGGATGTCACACAACATCCACAAACATGGCAACACGGTGGAGTTCAGTGCAAAAAATGCGTTTCTAATGCGAGAAACTACCACAAAACATGCATCAATATGAACGCGTGAAGTACAGCAGACATTTAAAAAGAAGCGTTCACATGCATTCAGCAAAGTCAGTGACCCCCGGAATCAAAGTTAGTGTTACCGACCAGAGACCCCCTCCCCTCGTCCTCGGACACCGGGCTCACGCCCCCGGGTTTGTACGCGCACACGGGCTGCAGCAGCCAGGCGCTGGGGCTCGGGCTCGGGGGCAACCCGGAGTCCGGGCTGTCGAGTCCTCTCTCCGCCCTGCAGCTCATATCCAGCGGGTCTCCTTCACACGCATTGGGCTGCAGGTTCAACCTGCCAACCATTTCTAGGTGGAAGAAGAAGAAGAAAAAAAAAGTTGCAAAAGTCCAGCGAGTGAAACGCGGATGACGAAAGAGAAATGGCTCCAGACCGGGACTTCCTTACGAGCGGATTTCGTCCCACGGGGGTTGCTGCTCACCTCTACCCGGAAAGAAGGCACCGCCGTCCGCTGGGAAAATGCGATCAACTCGGCGGTAACTCGCCCCCCCACCACGATTCGCAAACTTTCCAAAAAAGAACGTATAAAGGTTTCTTAAAGACAACCCGAAGCACAACCCGACCCCCGCGGGCAGGAAACGTGCGCAAAGAGACGAGCGAGCTTTGCCCGCGGTTTGCGCTGAAGGAGGATGCGGGCGCTCGTGCCAACCCGCCGGGCTGCTCTTCCGTCTTATGCCCCCTAAAGGGCCCATCAGACGAGCGCGGCAGAGGAAACGCCTTCTTGGAGCTCTTACACACTCCCGATTGGATGGTCCGGGGAACCTTTCCAGCCCCCCCCCTCCTCCTCGTCAGCTCCATCCCGGTAAAAATCGGTGTAACAGTATTTTCCCGGTAGTGTGCATATTGTGCACACACGCTCGTTGCATGAAGCACACGGGGAGGATAATGCCGGGAATACTTTTAATAGTGTTCAACAAATGCGTGTAAGCAGTTCCGAGCAGCACCTTGTACATGAAGGCGTGGATGTGATCACCAGGCATTGGGAACATTTTTCATATGAAGTGCTATTTATTTTCTGCTTATCAGTGGGGGGTAGGTTTGGGTAAATCTCCAATGGATCAGTCATTTAGCAACATAAAAAAACCCCCAAATAAGATAAAGAATATCTTCTAAACTATAATCAGGTCGTTGACAGCACTGTACAAGAATGCTGATGAAAACGACCATCTGAATTGGAATTGTTAATACTATCAATCTTACCAAAGAATTAAGCCAATCAGAAGCAGGGAATGGTGGTTCACGTGGCTTTCATCGAGTTCATTTGGTGTGCGACTGAGAGCACGGTAGAACATTTCCCCAAAACTCTCCTGCACCTTTAGCCGGAGCTTGACTTGATTTCTCTTTCTTCCAGACAGTGATGTGTTTGACATCGCAGAGGATTTGAGAGGGAGCAGCTTCAGAGACACGCTGAACTCTTGTGTTGGCCTGCAGTTAGAAGGATAAATTCAGGATTCAATTAAGACTATTTTGGACCGTTAAGCAGATAAAATCGACTGCACTGATGTGCTCTTATGCACATACTTAGTATGCTGCCACGGCAACGGCTCGAGTGAAAACATTTCACCGTCGGCGAGATGGATTTTTAAAAAGAGAGCGTCACACTGACGAAGCAGGAATTTAAAAGCTCATATTTGTCCCGGACTAAGGAACTCATTTTAGGCCACTAACCAAACCAACACCTACATCCACTTGAACGGAGGGCCGACGTGCACATGAATTTCAACATAAAATACATGTTAACAGTTAAGGGAAAACCATGCGCACCCTCGAAATATGTTATGTTCAGAAAACATCAAGTTTAATTAAGATCAGGTTCCCCTGTAATGATTGTGGATTAGACGTGACAAAGAGAGGCTCTCTGAGGACACTTTAGTTAACAGCACTACGGTTTGTTTCTCTCATCGCACACATGTGCTAATGTTACAAAACTCAAAATCATTAGTGTCATGAAAAGAAAGGTACACATGCAACAACAGCCAGTAGCATTTGAGGAAGTTTCTTCATAATCCAGCTCCGGCTTTGGGTTCAAATGACTGTGAGTCAGAACATTCAGTCGAGCTTTCGCCTTTTCTCCACGATGACTCGACGGAGCATTAAAAAATAAAGTCATTGAGATGAATGACAGTAAAAAGACGGGAGCAGCGGCCGTCATCACTTCTCAGCGTCAGGTGTTTGTGTTCACAGTCTCTTCTTGATGAGTTTCTCTAGTCTGCGGATGCGAGAGGACTCCTGTTCGGGGGTGGGGGCGCTGAAGAGAGAGGCCCCGCCGTCGGCCCCTGAAGGTGGAGTGGGGAGCCTCTGCCTGAAGAGCTCCAGCATGCTGCTCTGTTCACTGCGCTTCAGACCCTACGGGAGAAAGATGTCAACGCGGCGCACAACAGGAGGGAGATGCTTAACTGGGAGAGTTCTCAATATCACAATGTCAGCGTTGGTTATTAACACATCCAAGCTAACCAGATCCAACACTGATTTGAGAGCATCATCTATTTCCTTATCCAACTCTCTACAGAACAAAGCTGATAACCGCAAATAAACGTCAAGCATGTGTCACCATTGAGTAGAAAACCAACTGACTTTCATGTCCAGAATCTTCTGGAAGGTCTCAGGGTTCCCATCGGCCAGGAGCTTAATGTAGTTATCAACAAACACCACCGGCGGTTCATGTGGGGCCATCACCACCTGCGGGAAAGCAGACTTTAATGTTGGCTTCACCCCCCCCCTTTCTTTTCTGTGAACAATCACAGAGCGACCCAAATGATTCTTTAAATGATCCCACATGGGGCAGCAGCACAGGGCCCAAATTAGGGCGGGGGGTCCGGGGAGACGGGGGGGGGGGGGCCTACTACCGAGTAGTTCTGGCAGCAAACGGAGTTGAGGCTATGTTCCGTATTTAAGAGCCCACTGCGCATTATTTTTTTCTCTTTTTAAATGACAATTACTCCACGCATCTGTGGGCAAGAACGGGTTTCACCGGTAATTATCATAGAATAACAAGTCTGGGGAAGAAAAAAAAAATCTGCCTTAGTCAAGACCAGGCAGAAAAGCTTTAAAAGGAGCACACGCCTTTCGGGATGGGAATCTATTTTTTTTCTCCTGCCCCCGACAAGAGAGACCGGGGGGACGTGGATCGGGTGGCGTTTCTCGCAGCCGCTACAAAGCAGGCAGGTCAACACGTGGCCGACAGACCACCAGCACCTCCCATTTCACGCATGCAGGGATCATCTAAAAAAATGTTTCTCTCGTCCTTCACTTGAAGAAAAAAAAAAAAAAAAAACGACCCTCCCAATCTGTCCTTTCTGTGTGTGTCTCTTTTCTACATGAGGTTACATATATGAGAAGATGAGCTGCACGGGGAGGGAGGGAGGGAGGGAGAGGGAAGAGCAGGCTCAGGATTGTGTGGAATTCTTTGCCTTCTTACTAGCCCTGCTGACTGAGTGATTTACTTAGCAACTGTCCTGGAGCCCGGCCAGAGGAAAGGCCTGCAGGGACCTCGTAAAAAAACTAAAAAAAGAGGGCAAACAAAGGGGGAGAGAGAGAGTTTAAGAATGAAAAAGGGCATAAAAAGGGAGAGTGAGAGCAACAGAGTAAGGAGGGGGAAGTGGAGGGGCCTTCAGGCTGAACAGGAGTGGGGAAGGGAGTTTGACTTTTAGATATTTCCCAGAAGACAACTTTAGAGGTTGAAAGGAGAGGGAGAGGGGGAGAGAGGGGGGGAGAGAGAGAGAGAGAGAGAGCCGGCGCTACGGTGGGCCGGGCTGGAGGAGCGGGGAAAACAGCCACGTCTCACAAGCGTCGTGCCGGCCAGGAGAGGCCGTCCCAGACGGGATCCCATGTACTTTGAACATAACCGAGCACAAGGCCTCAGAGCCGACAACACACACGTATATGGACTCACATTCAACACTCAAAGTACAAAGTACACACACTCGAGAAGACACTGTGGAAGCAGAACCCAGTGATTATTCTCTCTTAACTGAGCTGTAGACAATATTCAGTTTGAACCTTCACTAACCTATAGCCTTATGTTTGTGTGTATATATAGAAAATTGTACGTACAATTCCTAAAATGACCATAGATAATGTTAATAGTAGCAGCATTTGTATTAATGCAGCCGCTTAAGCTCATTGTTTGGGTTTTAGGAGACAGAACCTTGTTGTTTTGGCGCTGCCTTCCTCCCACTTCAGCAGCAGGCAGCTGCTTTTAGGAAGCAGGCTGTGAAACCACCGCGTGCTACCTGCCCAGCAGCACACAGCCAACAGACAAAGTCCACAACCAGAAGCCAAGGTTGTGAAACTGTGCAGCTGTGCACGTGCCGCGGCAAACAAGGCAACGCCGAGCGTTGACCAAACATTTTGAAAATAATTACTATTGTATGTATTTTTGAATTGTACACCACTGTAGGAAGAAAAGCACATAGAACCGTTCAAATCAGATCAAAAAGGCTGATTTCAGGACCAAGTGTGCAGAAAGACAAGCTTTGCTCAGCTCCCCCCCACCCCCACCCGTTTGCCCCTCTAGTCCAGAGATCTCAGAGGTGCAAATTGGAATTTGCAAAAACAACACTGCTGCACTTCAAAGAATATACATAATGCTTAATTATTTGAAATGTACAAGGAATCCTGCAGTGAGCTATTGGCTTAAGTCTCAAAGTGAGCTTGGAATCTCGTTTTAAAGTGCTCCTTTGAGCGTTCCTGTGTTCAGCGGCTTCTTGGCGAGGGTGAGCCAGATTTGATTTCAAGCCCCGGCGTAATTTAAAACCATTGTTGAGGCTGGACGCAGGAATTCTTGTATTGACCCTAGATGGGTTTGTCTTTCAGAGGCCTCAGTCTCAGCTCAAGGTGGAAGCAATTACCTGCGAGGAACCTTGATGTTGCTCGTAGTTGGTGGCTGAAAGGCTGTGACACTAAAGCGTGTCTTTACTCACTCCGGCTTTCTCTCCCTCTCAAAGGCCGGGAAACCTTTTCAAAAGTCGCTTTCAAAACTCTTTCAAGAAATTCCTTCTTGCTACCAGGATGAAAATGCAACGTTTGACTGAATCAAGAAGTTATCACCAAAACCTTTTTTCCTAATGGATGTTTGCTGGTTTTTCTAATCAATATTATTTTTGCAGTAAGATTTTTATCCTCCACAACGATCATTATGTCTTCCCCTGTCACAGACTTTGAAGGGAAGCATTCGGAGGCCTTCGTGCAGTGTTGGATACGTCTTTGAGAGCTCTTCAGAAGCCATATAGATCACATTCCAGCTGAAGGGGCCCAACAGGCAGTCAAATCCAGTGAAAGGTAGACAGTGAATGCTGATGTAAATGCATTCTATAATTCTGTAATGTCAAAGCGGCTTTAATGTGTGGCAGATGAGTTGAAATTCTTTTATATACAGTAAATTCGGGGCATTTTTCGGGGTGAACAAAGGCAAGCCTTATGCGGACCATATGGGAAAGTGTGCATCCCAGCAGAAAAGAACCGGAGAAGCTGTCAAATCTGAAATGGTGAGCGGCGTCTGCTGGACAACACAAAGTAGTGTGTTGTCCAGCACAACCACATCAACTACAGCACAGCATAGCGGGGTTAGAGCATGTCCCTCTGACTGCTGTGAAAAAGGGTCAAGGCAGTCCAGACACCAATACTTCAGGAAGTACGGAAGACCTCCCAGGAGTCCGAGGGAAAACCAGGGACAGGCATG